TGATGAATGTATTCATCTGTTACACAGGAGACTTGGGCATTTAAATTTCAGGACGTTAAAGAAAACAGTTCAGTTATCTGAAGGGATAAAACTACAAGCCTGTAGTAAATATCTGAATTGCAATGCCTGTAGTCAGCAGAAAAGTAGGGTTACACCAGCAAACCATGTTAATGGTTTTAAAACCACAAATCCATTAGAGGTAGTGTTTGTAGACCTAACTGGACAAAAGAAACCTAGCATAGGAGGTGCCTGCTATATTCTGAGCATAGTAGACCATTATTCAAGATACGGATTCTGTTATCTTATGAAAACAAAATGTGAAACATTTCAGCATATTAACAACTGGCTACCTTTTGTAGAAAGGAAACAGAAATTTAAGGTTAAATGCTTAGTGACTGATAATGGTACAGAATTTACTAACCAAAGATTGGAAAAGTTTTTGCAGGATGCAGGGATCCAACATAAACGGTCTGCTCCGTATATTGAGAGACGAGGTCAGACATTACAAGCCATGACTAGAACAATGTTGGCAGATTCTGGTTTGCCTGAAAATTTATGGGGTGAGGCTGTTATGTGTGCTAACCATGGGATGGGATAAACTAGAGCATGCAGATTATAGACATAATAATACTGTTAGTATAAAGCATCATATTCCTGATGATATTCCTGAGGATTTAGATAATGTAGAATTCTCTATCAAGGAGGAAGAACAGGAAGTAGGTTTAGAGGATGCAGTTTTAGGGGAGGAGTCAGATGAACAATCTGCTGTAAGTCCTGTTTTACCTAGGAGATCTACTAGGGAAAGGCATCCACCTGATCGATATAAAGCAACCGTAGTTTGCCAAGTGAATATTGAGCCTTCAAGTTTTGAGGATATCAGGCTTTATCCTGAAAAGGAGCAGAATGCTTGGAAGGAGGCAATGAGTAAGGAAATTAATTCTTTAACTAAGTTAGGTGTTTATGAAACTGTGAAATTGCCACCTGGTGAAAAACTGATAGGTTGTAGATGGGTTTACAAAATTAAGAAAAGCATAGATGGGACAGTAACTCATAAAGCTCGCCTTGTAGCTCAAGGTTTTTCTCAGACCGAAAAGGATTTCTATGAGGTTTTTGCTCCTAGTTTACGTGCTAGTACTTTACGAACAATGCTAGTGTGGGCGGCTAAGTATAAATATACTATTAACCATAAAGATGTAGAGACAGCATACTTGCATGCTCCATTGAGACACACCATCTATATGAGGAAGCCTTTAGGAGTTGAAACACAAAACCACACTGATTGTTGGAAGTTAAATAAAAGCCTTTATGGTTTGAGACAATCAGGGTTTGAATGGAACCAATGTAAAGTTAAAGAGCTAAATAGGATCGGTTTTCATGAAGGTGTAGCGGATAAGTGTCTCTTTAAGAGAGAAAATAATGGTGTAGTATCATTCTTGTTATTGTTTACAGATGATATAGCCATAATAACTAAAACTGACAAGGAAGCCATAGATATTGTTAAACAGTTAGAAGCCAGATTTAAGATCAGAAATTTGGGAAATATTAGGCATTATTTAGGTTTAGATATCAATCAAACAGCTAGAGGTTATAAAATATCTCAATCTAGCAAAATAAGCCAAATGTTAAAACGTTATGGCATGGAGCTATGTAAGCCAGCTAAAACGCCTATGGCACAGGATTTTCAACAAGGTGAAATCCAAAGTCCTAAATTTAGTAAGGAGATCTACCAGTCTCTTATAGGTAGTCTATCTTATATAAGCAATTGGTCAAGACCTGATATTTCATTTGGAGTAAACCAATTAGCGAAATATAATGCAGAGCCAACTGATAGGCATTGGCAGGCTGCAAAGCGTATATTTTAGCGTAGCTTTTAATAAACCAGTTTGCTTATCTCTTATTCATTGCTCTCAGCAACGTTTCACTGTGCAATCTACTCTGCTGGTTGGTAACACAACAATAACCTTAACAGTTTGGAAGGAAAAAGACTGGAATCTTGAATATAGAAAGTTTGGATCTTGAATTTGGTTGGCATGCTTACTTACTTTATGAGAACAAAGTGGATAAAGTATTCAAAAGCCACATACTTAGAGACTCTTTGATGAGAGTTTGGAAGAAGCACCGACTCAAATGGGATTACAAAATACCGTTATGGCTGGATCTTGGTCATATCATGTGGAATACAAATATAATGTCACTCGGGGGGGTTTTATATAAAGAAGTTCTTTTTGCAGATGCGGGCAGATGGCAACTGAAGACTTTAGAAATGCTGTTGGAAGAAGGGATTAATTTAACTTGGTTACAGTATAATCAACTTCAATTGAGATGGAAAGAGGACCAAAAAACTGGTATAATGATGCATGAGGAAGAATTGGTTAGACATATAAAAGAGAAAGGTCCAATGCATATTAAAAGGGTTTATAATGTTTTGTTAGAAAGGGATTCAGAAACTGAATTGGTTAAAGATTGCATGATAAAGTGGGCACAAAATTTTGCAGAACCAGTGATGTTGGAAACATGGGAAAAAATATGGGTTCAGAATGTTAAATTTACAGAGTCGCAGAATTTGAGGGAAAATTTTTATAAAATGTTTTATAGATGGCATTTAGATCCTAAGAAATTGTCGTGCATGTACCCTAATGTTCAACCAAAATGCTGGAGATGTGATTGCCTAGATGCCACATATTATCATGTGTGGTGGACTTGTAAGAAAGTGAAGGCTTTTTGGATAAAAATTTGGTGGGTTATGCAGAATGTTTTGAAGAAAAAAATTCAGTTTTCTCCACAATTGTTTCTATTGGGTATAGTTAAGGGTTTCACAGTGGGTGAAGTAAAGTTGATATTGTATATGATTACAGCAGCGAGATTACTGATAGGTCAATATTGGAAAAATGAAGCTATGCCTACTATTGATGAATGGACTTTGAAGATGGCCAGCTTTGCAGAGATGGCGAAGATTTCAGCATATTTAAAAGATCGCTCACAAGAGATTTATGTATGGGAGTGGAAAAAGTGGATAGATTATGTGCAGAATAAATATCAAACTAGGAAATATCAGATAGCTTTTAACTGAAAGTATTATATAGAGATAGAATAATTGAATTTTGTGAAGATGTGAAAAATATACAGGGGGTGGAGGGGTTCAAGTTTTATAAAAAGGAGATTTTGATTTGGATTATATTTTGTGGAAGTCCAGGGGGGAGGGGTGGGTTAGGGGGGGTTACGGAGGGTTAGGGAGGTCAGGGAGGGGTGGGGGGGGGAAACTGGGGAGAAAATGTAATTGTAAAACTTTTTCAATAAAAAAAAAGAATGAACTGTTTAAGAATAAAAGAGAATAAATATGAATAAATAGTAAAGTTAGAATCTAGGGACAAATGAAGATGGTGTTTATGTATGCAAATATAGAAATATTGAGATATGTTTAAAAAAAGGGGGGGAAAACGATTTTGGCAAAAATTGTAATTGAGTAAAATGTATTTGAATTTGATTAATTGTATAAGATAAGAAATGGTCAACACTGTTCAAAAAAAAAATTGGGGTGAATGTGGGTGAGGAGAAAAAACCAATATAACTTGTTTAAAAAATAATAAATAAATATGAATCAGTTGCCAAAAGCATCCAAATCTCGGTCACGTAACCATGAGGATGGTAAAATGGTCATAAGTGTGAAAAATGGTCATACTGTCACTTTTTTCAATGACATTGCAACTTTGAATGGTGACTAAATAAACTGTTGTAAGTTGAGGACTACCTGTGGTCCTATTGCCCATTCCCTCCAGTATGGTCTCCCAGTCCTTCCCAGTCCAAGGCAAAGGCCTGGGCCTCCTTCTTCCTGCTCCTCCCCACAATCCCAGCAGCTTCTCAAGAGCTTTTGGGGAGAGGGAGCCCCAGACCCCATTTTAGCTCTGGGAAGATTTCAGAATCCAAAGGGATCAAAGCTTTTCTCCAACAGAAGGAGGGGGGGGGATCAGACTCTCCATGATCCAGAACCCGCTTCTTTCCCTTGTGGGGCTGAGGAGAAATGTGTGAATCTAAGGCAGGTGGGACATCCTCACAGTCATGAATCCTCCTCAAGTCAGGACTGTCTGTGTCCAAGCAAGCCGTTCATTTCATGGTCAGCATCCAGAGTTGCTTCTCTTCTTCTGCCTCCAACCCAGCCTATTTAATGGTTAAGATCCTGACAGTTTTTCTTTCTGCCTTTGGAAAAGCTGCTTCATTGATAGTTTCTCTCAGCGATCAACTAGGAACTTCCGAAGGCCCCTTCCGGATTACTAAGGAATAATAACATCATAATATTACATTTTAAATATTTTTAATTCCGCAAATTTTCCCACTTTGGTGGCTTCTGGAATGGAAGAAGGAACACCTGAGGAGGCAAATCCCTGCCTGTCCTAGAAAAGAAAATTTTGGGGATCTTGAGGTTTAGGATGCGGTGGGAGGGGGGGAGGAGCCAGGAGAAAGTGAAAAGGAAGAAAGATGAATCTTGAGGAAGGTTATTGAAGGAGCCTTTCTCTCTCCAGACTCTCATCCTGCTGCATTCACACGGCAGCCTTATCCCGGTCGCTCCTTTGCACCAGTCTCCGCCTCTGCCAATGCAGGGAACCGAGAATCAAGCCGGGTCCTCCCAGCACCAGAAGCCACAAAGAGCCACAGATCACCGCCAAAGGCAGGAAAGAGGATCCAGGCGGAGGGAGTTGGGCGGAGGCAGCCAGGAAGTTTGTGAACTGACCTGATCACGTGCAAACGCCGCTATCCAACAAGCTTCATTTTGGAAGGGAGGGAAAGAATTGAGCTTCGGGGCACCCAGATAGACTTGACTGACATCTGGAGGGTCCGCCCTTGTCCTGTTCCCAAAGGGGCTCTCCTGGAGGGGGGGAAACGTCAGAGCCTAATCCCAGAGGATTTTCCTTTTGGGGATAAATATTTTGGGGGGGAGGAGAGAGAGAGAGATTCCCTGGCAGATAAAAAGGGAGAAACCCCCCAAGGCCCCCAAAGGGACTCACCGAAGCAGCTCTCTCGTAGGGCGACCGCCACCAACACCAGGAGCAGGAAGGGCGCAGAGCGCAGAGCCATCCTGGCCGCGATCCTCAACCTGCGCTCCGCTCTCCTGAAGTCTCAAGCAAACCGAGAGGGGCTCCGGGTGGTCAACAGCGCAACAATCCAGAGCCCGCTGGCGATTGGGTGAACTCAACCAGTAGAAAAAATAACAACCCCATGTTCGCCAAGTGAGGCGTGGAGAGGAAAGCGAAAGTCCCATCAGGAAATCTCCTTCCAGGGATTCCCCCTCTTGTGGGAGGGGCAGAACTGCAGGGCTGGGAAAAGTGGGAGGTGTTTCTGGGCCTGGGAGGGAGGGGCGCAGGCGAGGGGGAGGGGAGCAAGCACAGCCCCTCCCAGCCGGGGATCAGGGGGCGCTGCCAAAAAAGCCAAGGCAGTCTTGGGCTGCATCAACAGAGGGAGAAGATCAAGATCAGGAGAAGCGATAATGTCCACCATACGAAAAGGACGCTGAGAGTGAGACCCTAGAAAGGGAAGAGCCTGTGCAGAGAAGAGCAACAAAAGATCATAAAGGATCCTGAGGCCAAATCTTGTATGGTGAAGAGACTGAAGGAGGGAGGGATTTCTAACCTCTGGCAGAGGAGGAGGAGGGGAGGCAGGATAACTGCCTTCCAGTACTTAGGGGGGGGGCTGCCACAAAGAAGAGGGGATCGGCTTCTTCTCCAAAGCTGCAGAGGGCAGGACAAAAGAAAAAAATGGGTGGAAGCTTCTTAAAGAGAGATCCAACCTAGAAGTAAGGAGAAAATTTCTAACAGTGAAAATGTTTACTCAAAGGAATAGTTCTCCTCCTGGAGTTGTGGCTGCTCCATCACTGGAGGTTTTCAAAAATAGACTGGACAACCTTTGGACCAGGATGCCATAAGCTCTCCTGCCTTAAGCCAGAGGTTGGACTAGAAGACCTCTCAGGTCCCTCCCGGCCATACAATTCTGTGTTGCAGGTCAGAAACTCCAACTGATCTTCGCTGAGGATGAAAATGCTCAAAGGCTTTAGTGGCATTTTCAAGACAGAGCTGGTCAGTCAGAGGAGTCTAATGAATAAATACGTTTCTAAAAGCTTTGAATCAGTAGAAGATGCTCAAATACGGATTGGATTCTCACCAAATGCTTTAAAGCAGCCGTCTCCAACCTTTTGGCTTCCCTGGGCAGCACTGAGTGAAAAGGGATTGCTTTGGGCTGCATATAAATTAGATAATATAGTCCGTAAACCCTTCTATTATTTTTTTACATTGTTTATTATAACATTAAGAGTTTGGTGGAGCTACATGATTAGCTGCCCAAGGCTGAATGCGACTCTTGTGTTGCAGGTGGAAACTCTCCACTTTTTAGGCTGTCAAAGATGGGAGCTCTTGAGGGCATCTGGGGAGCCCAAAAGGAATTGGGGTGAAAGACCCCTCCCCCTTTTCACTCCTCTCCCAGAAAGCATCCGCTATACAGGTAGTCCTCGACTTACAACAGTTCATTTATTGACCTTTCAAAGTTACGGTACTGAAAAAAGGACATATGATCATTTTTCACACTTATGACCGTTTCAGCGTCTTCATGGCTCATGTGATTTACATTTGGACGCTTGGCAACTGCCTCATATTTATGACGGTTGCAGAGTTCCAGGGTCATGTGGTCCCCTTTTGCGACCTTTTGCGAAACAAAGTCAATGGGGAAGCCAGACTCGATAACTGTATTATTAACTTAACAACTGTGGCAAAAATGGTCATAAAATGGGGTAAAACTCGATAATTTTTAGGGTCAATTGTGGTCGTAAGTTGAAGACTTTCTGTAATATGGGGGACATCTTTCCCATCCGTCAGGGGTCTCCCCACTCTTGGGCCACTGCATCCTATTGGGCAGCTGAGGAGTCCAGAGAGGATCTCCCAGAAGCAGGAGAAGCTGCCCTTCTGCCAGGGAATCAGGACGGCTCTGGCTGGGCATTGAACTCCTGTCTCCCGAAGGGCCACTGGGTGAGGCTCAGAGACCAGCCACTTGGCCAACAGCCTGAGGCAAGAGAAACATCTGGACACAGGAGCAAAATGGCTGCCTCCTCCCCAAGGAGCCCCCCAGTTTTTGCCTTGGTTCCTCCCCTTCCTGCCACTCAAAGGGAACTCAGGGTCTCTGAACAGCCAGGAGGGGAAAATCCTTGTTATTCCCAACTTCCAATAATAGGAAGCAACTCAGGTAAGAAGAAGGCAAAACCATTTATTTTCAACAAACTATTTTCGTATTCTTATGGTATGTGTGCAACAGTTAGGGGGAAAGGAGCCAGGCCAAACTGTGGATCTCCTGTTCCACTTTTCTTAGAATTGACCATTTTATTGTATTTTATGCAAAAGATTAAAATCCAAAAGAAAAGAATTGAACAGAGACAGAACAAAACTAAACAAAAACATGGAAAAAAATTAATGAAAAAACAAGAAAAGACATATTAGGCCCTCCCCAGTTGAACGCTGAGAAATCTATTTCCCCCTTGCAAAAGAGGTCCAAAATTTATAATCTTGTAGATCTATTTGCAGCCTAACAGACCTGTCATAGATCCTGTACATTGGAGAGCATTCTTTTTTCGGTTATCTCCCAAAATAATTTATCGCCTTTCGAAGACATGAAAAACACTTTCGGTTTTCTCTTCAAGGACAAAGAAGCAGATAAGCAACAGCTTCCACAGGGGGAAAGGATTTTTTCCGCTAGTGTTAAAAAAGGGGAATTTTTTCCATAAAAATTAAGAGTTAAATATCAAGACTCTAATAAAAAGAAGGTAAAAAGCTAGAAAGAGCAAGATTTATAGTATAATCCTGTGTACATATAAACATAAAATCCATTGCAACTTTCTTACGATTAAAAAAATAATAATTTAAAATTAATGGTAAACAATGAAAGAGGAGGGAAAAAAAGTTGTAAAAGTCCAGGTTATAAAATAGGTCAGAAGTGAGCTAGACATAAATCAAGAGATTGTAAAGCTTCAGAAGTGCAATTAAAACCCGGGTGTGCTTAAGAAAGCTGAGCAGCTGAAGGGAAAGGATGGCAAGAGATCCAGCCCCCTCTCTTCTCTGTCTGTGCATGATTGTCCGAAGGTCATCTTGGGTTGTTCCTAGTCTCCCCTTTAAAAAACAGGGAGTAAAGCCGCCAAATAACCAACTTTGTGGCAAAATCAGCTGTTCATTGGCAGCAGAAAAAAATTATGTCCATTCAGCACGGCATGATGGGAGAAGGTTCCTATTACATTTTTCAAAACTGTAAAAATCCATAAATGGCAGTATATGGTACATACTATTCATTATACAACTTATACAAAGAAAAATGAGAGAGAAAAAAGCCTCTACTTCCAATCCACTCTCCCTTAAAGTGAAACCAGCAACTCTTCATCCTATTCCTCGCCCCATTCGCTATGGGCCTTTCTCTAAAACCTGTTAATCAGCAGAAACCCATTAAAGGACATCAGAAATAACAACATACTTGCTACAAGTTATATTACAACACTATTACAAGCTGTACAAGGCAGTTTGTGTAGTGGTTAAGGCACCAGGCTAGAAAGCGACTGTGAGTTCAAGTCCCACCTTAGCCACGAAAGACGGCTTGGGTGGGCCAGTCATTCTCTCTGACCCCAACCCACTTCCCAGGGTGGTTGTTGTGGGGGAAATAGGAGGAGAAGGTGTTAGATATCTTCCATGTCTTCAGCAGGATACAAATAAATAAAAAATAAAATAATATCTACTAATCCCAGTTTGAATCCTTTTGATTAGATAATTATAGACACCTAAGATGTTCTTTTCTCCTCCGTTCCTCAATCGTAATACAAAAGGTTACTGATCCAATGATAAAAGCGATGGTGAAAGACCCCAAATGCATCCTGGTTCCAAGCATGCAGGATGGGCCTGAGAGTCCAGCCTAATTCAGGAGAAGGTCGGTCCCATCTTCTCTCCTCTCCTCATGCTGGGACTGTCCACTCGTGCTGCAAAGAGAGGGAAGAAGCAGGCAGGGTCAGTCTGGGAGGGAGCCCAGAGGAGGAATCCCACCACCCAGGCTGAGGGATCAGCACCAATCTACCCAGCTGATCCCACTCCTGAGAACTGCTGCTTCCTCAAGAGAGGGATCAACTGGGTGGGATTTTCCAAGGTAGAAAGAAGGGAGAGGCAGGGCTGGGACTGGCTCCTGAAGTGGCTGAGAACCTGCCCCACAAGTTACATAAAATCAATGTCCCTCTCAAATACAGGAATCCAATACTAGTCTGTGTTGCTTCCGGAGACCTATGGATCCCTATCTCCCCCCTATGTCTTCCTTCAGCATCTGGAGGGAGGGATCCCCAGAGGGCTGGAAGGAGTGGAGAGAAGCCCCTTCTCCATCCATGACTGCAAGACCCACAAGAAGCCCCTCATCTGCCCCTCTTTCCCTCCTGCACTGGGGACCCCCCAGTCCTGTTAGGATATTAAATTTAGGAGCTGGAACAGGAAAATGTACAATAGGCAGTAGTTGATTGGTTGAGCTGGCTTCTGCATGAAGCAATCCACGCTGTGATTGGTTGCTGTGGGTATAAAGGGGGAGTTTCCCTTTTTCCCGCCTTTTTCGTCTGTGTGTTCCGTGTGCCTTTTGATTTACCTCAAGATATTCCTGTCTTTCTGCCTATCTTGTCTGCTGCAACTATAAATGTTAAATACTTTTATATATCTAACCTACAAGTTTGTCTCAGTGTCTTTTGACTTCATCTGGACAGCTGCTACGTCCTTCCTTGACAAATCTCCTCTCTGCAGCTCTCTGAGCCTCCTGATCCAAGACAGTCAGATCCCAAAAGGAGCCACAGTCTGGCCTTGCAGGAGAAGAGTTTGGGGGCAGGCAGAGCCCCCCACTTCCCAGAGCCCCTCTGGATCTCCCCCAAATTCCCTCCCTTCCAGCCTTTGAGATGAATAGGAGAGAGAAGAGGGATTTCCCAAAGCACCTTCACCATCTGTTGGCCCTTGGACCTCAAAGCCCTCATTCTCCTCTCTCCCTCCTCCCCACACAGACCCCCGTGGGGCCACTCACCTGCGAGTGGGCTGCTATATGGCCTGGTTCCTCCCTGCATTGGAGAGACAGACACAGAGTGAGAGGATAGGATAGGATAGGATAGGATAGGATAGGATAGGGACAGGAATAGCTTTGTCCAGATCCTCTCTCTCTTCACCATTAAACCTCTGCAGCTTCATCAATCTCTCAAAGGATACCAGCCTATTTATTTAGTTCATTATTAAACCTCTATGCCATCCCTCTGTTCAAGGTGACCCTAGGAAGCTTACCATAAAATGCCATGTAAAAATCAGGCACCGGGTTCGTATTATCAAATGTGGTGGACATGCCCAAAGGCAAAAAAATATTGGACAGAAATACATACATGGTTAGAAAAAATGGTAAAGCAACATATAGATCTAAAACCAGAAATATTCTTCTTGGGCATTTTACCAGAAAAATACAATAAAGGGAAAACATACTTAATTTTACATGTCTTAACTGCAGCTAGAATCGTGTTTGCACAACAATGGAAAAGTGAAGAGATCCCTGCGGTGGAAAATGTAATTAAAAAAGTACTAGAATGCGCAAAAGTGGATAGATTAACACTTAAAATTAAGGAGAAGGAAAAACTGAATACTTTTTAACATGGGACTTATTATATTAATGGCTAACTAGCAGAAACGGAATTTAGAAATTTGGAAGCATAAGGGAACGATTAATTACATAAGGAAGGTTTATCAAAATGGATAAGCAAATATGTGATCAATATTATGAATATTATTGTTATTATTATTACTATTTCTCAAAATTAATTGTACTTAGACAACACACTATTTATGTAGAAATGGATTTTTTTATATTTAATAAAAACTTTTTAAAACTTGAAAAAAAGAAGATCATATCCGGTGTTGATTGACTATTGCCTTGGGTCGGGTCCAAGATGATCTGGGGGAGGCCCATGGGCACCAGGGCGGCCATGAAATCCTGGGCTGCTTCCGAGGCCAAACCCATGGATGGCAGATTGCAGTCTCCCAAGACCAATAAAGGAGAATATTTGTAGCTCAGGGTTGAAATGGGGGGTCCTTGATGTTCTGTGAGCTTGTTTGTTTTCTTGCAGATGTTTCATTACCGTAACTAGGTAACATCCTTAGTGCTAGTCAAGCAAGCTCAGAGAGCACCAAGGACCCCTCTCGCAAGACCATGATCCTGGGGAACTCCACTGCCAACCCCAAATAATCTACAGCACTCAGGTAGGGAGTTTTCATGGAAATCCTTCTCTGCTGTTCTTTGATCAAAGCCTTTGAAAGGGACAGAACGGGGATGCCTCTTCCCAGCTCAGCAGAAAACAGGATTGCCCGAATCTCAGATTCAGCTGAATTGAGACTGGAATCCCAGCAAGAGGCTGAGATCTCAGATGCTCCCCAAGAGGGCTGGGAAAACAGAAGGAAGCCCAGAAGAAGCTCCCCAGAGGGAGAGATTTGGGAGGAATCTCTGTGTCTTCCTTAAATCACCCCAAAAATGATACTTACTGAAGAATACCAAGATCCCAACAATCAGACACACCAGGACAAGACCACCCACAACACATCCGATGATGAGCCCCAGGTTGGATTCTGGAGTGGAATTGGGAGAAAGAGAAGATCATTGAATGAGAACCCCAAACAATCATCCCAATTAGGGGAGAGACTTAAAAGCAACAGCAATAGCACCTACACTCGTATACTGCCCCATAGTGCTTTATACCATTCTCTCAGTGGTTTACACAGTCAGCATCTTGCCCCCAACAATCTCGGTCCTCATTTTACCAACCTCAAAAGGATGGGTGGGAGGCTGAGTCAACCTTGAGCCAGTTAGGATTGAACTCCATTCAGAGGGCAGAGTTAGCCTGCAATGCTGCATTCTAACCACTGATCCACCAGGGCTCTATATGCAGCCGAAGGACTGGAAAGTCCCCCAACTAAACAGTCTAAGGGTTCCCCTTCATGTCCCTCTAATGGTAGCAGGAAGACACCTTGACGTTTCCTTGGGACGCTGCCTTCGTCTCAAGGTTGATTGTGACTTCAAGTTCTGACTTAACCATGAAAGCCAGCTAAGTGACATTGGGCCACATCCAGAAAATAAATAAGTGAATAATCTCTCTCTCGTTCTCCGCCCCCCACCATACACACCCACACACCAGGAGTGAAATTCAAAATTTTTCCCTACCAGTTCTGTGGGCGTGGCTTGGTGGGGGGGTTCCTGTGATTGAGTGGGTGTGGCCAACTCAACATGACTCATGGCCACGCCCACACAGTCACACTGCAGTGAAAATTACCAGAGCCGCTCCACTTCTTGAACACGTCGGCGTCACCCTGTTCCATGCGCTGGCTGCACACATGCACATCGTTGCCTGCTGCTGCTGTGCCAGAAGGACTTTCCCAGGCAAGTCCAAGCGGAGCAGCACAGCAGGCAACGGTGTGTGCGTGTGTGGCAGGCGCATGGAGCAGGACGGCATCACTGAGCGGCTGCTGTAATTTTCACTGCAAGAAGCTTGCAGCGCAGCCGCCGTCTCTTTTTCGGCGCAAGAAGCGTCCAGCCGCACTGAAAAAAAGGCGATGGCTGCAGGTTTGCCTTCCCTGGAAGCCAGCCGTGGAAGGAAGGTAAGGATGGGTGGCGTTGCGAAGGGAGAACGGGCAGCAGGCGAGGCCAACCAGAAGTGGGTTTTACCGGTTCAGCAAACCATTTAAAGTCGCCGCCACCATTCGGTCCGAACCGGTCAAATTTGACCTCTGACACACACAAACATCCACTGGAGCATTTGCAGAGTTCTTTCCCAGAGGATTATTTCCCTTTGGTTTTATGCTGAGCCTCAGGAATTCCTATCAATGCCTGGCCATAAAATAGTGTGTAGTTTTCTTTCTTACAGCAGCAACACAGAGTGACATTTCGTTCTTTACAATAGGAAAGCCGTGTAAGCCGTGTAAGTGCGGGAAGGATATTGCAAAATCTCCATTCCCTCCCCAAACTGGGACCAGCCAGAGGTGGTATTTTCCGGTTCTCCGAACTACTCAAAATTTCCGCTACTGGTTCTCCAGAACCTGCTGGATTTCACCCCTGATGCAGGGCCACAAACCTCAACAATGGAAAAACCAATGGATTAAAGCTCAGGAATACTCACATCTGGACACAGCTGGGGCCAGATTTCCCTCCCACAACCCTCCAGCCTGCAAAGAGCCCAGCCCTTCCCTCCCTGCAGCCTCTGACCTTTTATGGCCACGTCCAGAGGGTCCTGCAGCCCATCGTGCTCCACGTGGCACTGATAGCGGTCCCTCTCTTTGGGATCGATCCGGATGCTGAGCCAGTAGTGGTAGGTCCCATCTGCGTTGGGGGCCACAGGCCCATGGTGGGTGTCCTGCAGCCAGACCTCCCCATCCCTCTTCCAGGAGGCATCGATCTCCCTGGGGTAGAAGCCATCCACGCGGCAGACGTGCGTCTCCATCCCATCCTCCATTTCCATCTTGCTGCTCACCGTCACCACTGGAGGCTCTGCAGAAATAACACCCCCAGAATGAACTCTGAGCCCCTCCAGAGCCTGGAAGGTGGATGAGAAACTTCGAGGGGCAGGGAAATCTCCCACTGCTTAGTTTCAACCAAAAGATTTATATTCCACACCTGCAGTGTCTCCAAGAGTTTTAGGAAATGCTCCAAATCTGGAAAATTTTCAGCCAGAAGGATTCCTGATTTTGAGTCCTTCTCAGTCTGAAAAACCTCCCGCAGCAAATTGTGGCCCAAGTAAATTCCTCTCTGACTGCTTTGAACTCTGAGGGACCTTGGGCTGCTCCCTTCCGGGGAGGGATATTGGAGCTGCTCTTTAGGGCTTCCTTTTAAGAAATAACAACACAGATATTTCTCCCTGCTTTTGAAGTCCACTTCTCTAGATCTCAGGCTGTTTTAGGGCTCTTTCAAGAGGCACAACCACAATTTCAGGATTATTTATTTTATTTGGCATAGGGCAAAACTTTCCAAGAGGGGGAGAATGGGAACCAAAGCAAGGAATTTAGGAATCTCGCTCTGGTTAATTTGGGAAACAGATTCTCTCTCTCAAAGGGGAGCAGAGCGAGGTGAGGCCAATGGAAGAGAGAGGAGCTGTTGGCAATTGTGGGGAGGGGTCTCTAACGGGTCCTGATCTCACCCAGCTGATCCTGCAGTGATCAAGGAGCCCAGAGAGGAAGGGGCAGGCCTAGAAGGGGAGGGATGGTCTTGATGGGAAAATAATAACCTCACAGGAAAGAAAAAAGGGGAAGGGAGCCCTGTGGGGTGAGGGAGCGTTCGTGAAGGTGGGGAAGGGGTTGCTTTCTGGGGAAGCCACTAAAGTCAAAGATAAGGAAGCTGTTTGACCCACAAAATCTGTGGGTTCCCCTCCCCCTCACACTTGGCCATTATGTGGAGGCACTGATAATGTTCTATTCATGGTAGGTGCCCCCTAGTGGTGGGGGTGGGAGGTGCATCATCAGATGCAAGGGAGGGATGGAGCCCCCTGTGGGATGTGGGGGGGAAGGAGAGTTGCTGGGAGGAAATTAAGGCCAGACATCACACTAGGATCTCTTTTGGATAATGGTGGATTCACTGAAGAACTCAAGGTGGCCCTGTTGCCTCTTCATGAGCTGTGAACAGGACACCCCTAATAGCTTTTGCCAGACACCTGGCAAGTAGATGCTGCCTTTCCTGGTTCTTTTAATGGCTCCCTGGGAATAGGAACCAAACAGGGGTTCCCACATTCTGGAGAGATGCTGGAAGGGGAGGAGGAGGATTCTTTCCCTGGCATCCAGGCTGCAGACCAGAACCCAAAGGGGCTGAATGTGTCCAAAAATATCTATCTGTAAAGGAGGAAAGGCCAGCCTGGATCCAGATGCTCACCTGTCCTCAGCAGCGTCTCCTTCCCGTAGGACAGGTACTTCTCCAGCCACTCAATGCATTCCCCCTCCAGGTAGGACTTAATGTATTGATTTTGTGTTCGAAGAGCATCCCATTTCCTTTTAGTGATCTGGGCCTGGGGGTTGGAAGCCACCCAAGTGAGGGTCTCCTTGTCGAAGGTGATGAAGGTCTTTCCTTCGTAGCCATACTGCCAAAACCCTCCTTTGCTCTCGTTTCCCTGGAGTTCACAGCTGACCATCCTCTGCCACGTGTGAAGGCCTGAAAGAGGGACAGGAGGATGGTTTGGGGAGTCCTCAGGGGACCCAGAGCCCCCCCTCCCTACAGGGATTTGAGACTGGAAGGAGGCACTGACACCTCCATTTCCTCCATAGCAATTCCCCCCAACTGTCCCATTTCAGCACCCCCTACAGGTCGGCCTGGCTTCCTGCATCTCCCCTGATGGAGCCCCTGAACCTCGCCAGGAAATGGGCAGCTGGCGAATCCCCCTTTCAGCTTCTCAGGATCAATAAAAAGCTGTGGGGGATTCTGAGGAGGACCAAGAAGGGGGCGCAGAAGGAACAGAGGGGCAGAGCTTCCTCTGTCTTTTTCTCTCTCTCTCCTATGCTGGGAGGGGGCTCGGAGGGGTGGGCGGAAGAAAAGGATCCCAGAGGAAACAGTTGCCTGAATCAACAACATCCAAGAGGGACTAAGAATCTTGTGGCCTCAAAGAAGATCCAGACGATCTGAGAATCTTTCAGGGATCCCTGTGGCTGTAAATCATGCTCTGCATTCACCAATAGCACCAAGTCAGAAGGGATGCTTCCCACTTTGGGCTAACCAGAAACAAACCAGGGCTTGTTTGGGAATGAAGCCTCGAAGGGCCACAAAGGAATATTTTCCTCAGCAACAGCAGCAAGTGGCCCAGTCTGATCTGGACACCCAAAGCGTTATTGACCTTTGAAAGGAGCTTGAAGGTCACAGTCTTTGCAAGGCCCTGGAGAAGATATTTCAACTTCAAGTGAACAGATTCTTGGATTTAAAAAGGAAAGAAAAGGAAATTCTGAAATCTTTCTACGTGTGCTTGGGCTGGAGAGTGAGGAAGGATGCCAGGAAGTCTCAAATCTAATGGAAAACCACCTGGAAGGCCTGCAGGGATCCTTTCTCTGCATCTTCCGCTCAGCCAGAGAACTTCCCTTTGGAGGAAGAGGAAGATCCTCGTGAGCTGCAGTCTGATCCTGCCCTCGAGAGGAGATTCCCTGATCTCCCCATGGGAAAAATAATTCTGGATTTCTGCCTGTAGGAAGAAATATCCTTCTGGGTTCAGCTCCAAGTGGGGAAAAAGACACTGGAAACATGGAGACTCCTTGGAAAGATGGTTTAATGGTGGACGCAGTGAGTCCTCAGGTTTTATGCCCCCTCTGGCTTTGAATTTCCTGGGGCCCCGAAAAAGTATCCTGATTGGTTGTCAGACTCCCGGGGGGGGGGTGTCTTAGCTAGCCTTGCTGGCTGATGGAATCTTCCCAGGTGCCATGTGGTGAGTTTCTATTGCTAGATGGCTCCTATTGTGTTGCAGATGATAGTCTATTGACAAAGATTGAGTTTCTGCCTCTGGCCCATTGACAAAAGGTGGGGGAGGCAGAAAGGTGGGAGCTGCTTTGTCTTTAAAACATGTTTCTCCATTTCTCAACCAGGGGAACATAATATTCTGCCTTTTTAATATTTCCTAAAATATTTCATTCTTCTAGGAAAGGGCTGGGTGCTAACTTCCTACATGCCCAAGAAGAATCTCCTGCCATTCACAGGAAAGCACTGAACATCTGGCAGCAGTTTTCGACTTCTGAGAACAAGCTCTGTCTTATTTCAGAAGCACCAAAAGCTAAGACAGAAATTGTCTTATTTCAGTCGAAGATGAAATCTCTGGGACATAATCAGTGGTGGGATTCAAGTAATTTAACCGGTTCTCTACCCTAATGATTTCTTCCAACAACCAGTTTGCCAAACTGTTCAGAAAGTTAACAACTGGTTCTCCCGAAGTGGTGCGAACTGGCTGAATCCCACCACTCAGTGGTGGGATTCTGCCGGTTCTAGGCGGTTCGGCCGAACCGTTTGTTAAATTGCTGGCTCACCCCGCCCATTGCCCCGCCCCTCCGCACCACTATTTATTACCAATGGTTTTTTGTAATTTATTGGCCTCGCAGCACACCGAACCGTTTGTTAAATTTCTGGCTCGCCCGCCCCTCGCCCCGCCCTGCCTCCCACCCGCGTAGCGCCAGCCTACCCTAGCCCAGGGGTGGGCAATTGTGGCTCTTTTACAACCTGTGGACTTCAACTCCCAGAATTCCTGAGACAGCTTGGCTGTTCACAGGTTGTAAAAGAGCCACAATTGCCCACCCCTGCCCTAGCCCATCCAGTCGCTGGGGGAGACGCGCAACTTTTCTCCTCCCTGGAACACTGGCTGCCCAGGCTGCAACCGAAGCTCTGCATCGTAATGGGCTCCAGGAGGAGGAGGGGCGCCCTCTGCCCCATTGCGAAGCTCAGTAAGAGCAACAAGAACTGGCTGCAGGTGCAGCTGGGTGGGCGCACGCACAGTGGGGCGCAGGCTTAAGGTGCCGCCTCCAAGCCGAGGGGCGACCCGATGGTGCGGTAGGTTCGCTGCTGCCGCTTCCCAGACAGAACAGGAGAAAGAGATGGAGAGAAAGAGAAATGAAGAAGGGGGGGAAAGAATGAAGGGGAGAAAGGGGGAGGGAGAAAGAGATGGAGAGAAAGAGAAATGAAGGAGAGAAAGGGGGGAGAAAGAGAGATGAAAGAGAGAAGGGGGAAAGAGATGAAGGGGAGAAGGGGAGGGAGAAAGAGATGGAGAGAAAGAGAAATGAAGGAGAGAAAGGGGGGAGAAAGAGAGATGAAGGAGAGAAGGGGGGAGAAAGAGAGATGAAGGAGAGAAGGGGGAAAGAGAGATGAAGGAGAGAAGGGGGAAAGAGAGATGAAGGAGAGAAAGGGGGAGGGAGAAAGAGATGGAGAGAAAGAGAAATGAAGGAGAGAAAGGGGGGGAGAAAGAGATGAAGGAGAGAAGGGGGAAAGAGAGATGAAGGAGGGAAAGGGGGAGGGAGAAAGAGATGGAGAGAAAGAGAAATGAAGGAGAGAAAGGGGGGAGAAAGAGAGATGAAGGAGAGAAGGGGGAGAAAGAGAGATGAAGGGGAGAAAGAAAGAGATACAGAGATACCTGTTTAAAAGAAAATACTGGGAGCCACAAAACCTGGGTGGGAGTAAGTGATATGGAGTTGGCAATGATCACCAGGTTTAAGGTTGTGTATAAGTGTTTACATGTGTTTAAGGTTGAGTGTTTAAAGTTGCAGACCCCTGACCTACCCCATCCGATCGCTTCACCTTGCAGCCAGCCCTGTAGGCCTGCGCCCGCCTCCCACCTGGGCAGCAGCGGCCTACCTACCCCGGTTGTATCACCTTGCCCTGCAGCTGGCCCGAACGCCCGCCTTGGACTGCCTCCGACTGCTCCACCAGGTCATTTTTATTTAATTAATTTAATTAAGAATGCTGCAATGGCCATAAATGATGACCGGTCAAAAGTGTGAGGACCTGTAGAAATCACTTTTTTCAGCCCTCTGGGTAGTCCCTATGTGCATATGGACTACTCAGAAGGCTGAAAAAGTTACTGTATTTTCTGGCGTATAAGACGACTTTTTAACACATGAAAATCTTCTCAAAAGTCGGGGGTCATCTTATACGCCGGGTGTCGTTCTCCTGTAATCAGGCAGACTAAAAGGCTCTGACGAACCTTAAATGGCTCTGGCGATCCAAGCTCTGACAATCCCAGCTTTGCCTGCTAATCAGGCAACGCAGGTGGGATCGCCAGAGCCATGTAAAAGGAAAAAAGTTTTCCCCCTCCAGCTTGCTTATCTTGCTGCTAGTCGCAACGCTTGCCTCGCTTGCCTGAATCCATTCCATCAGCAAGCCACTCCCTGCCTGCAATCAAGCAGGCAGGGAGTTGTGGACTTCAACTCCCAGAACAAAGCTGGCTGAGGAATTCTGGGAGTTGAAGTCTACAAGCCTTAAAGTTGCCAAGGTTGGAGACCCCTGTTCTACTGGGTAAGTTTTTTTCCCCTTTGGGAGCTTTAAAAAAAATAGTTAATTGGGGGGTTTTTTAGTTGTTATTTTTTAGACCTAGCCATTTAAAGTTTAGGAAGTTTTAAATTTAGTTTTCATATAAAAATAAAAATAAAATAAAATAATATTTGTGCAGCTTTCTGAGATTTAGTGTGTTTCTGTAGTGTTTCACTCTAACTACACAAACACAAAAAATCTCACAAAGCTGTATGTGGAATTTTGTGTGTGTAAAGTGTGAAAGTTTTTTTGGGGGGCTTTTTGTGGCTGTGTGAGGTTCCTGCTTGTTGCAGGGGCCATTTTGGGACTAGCACAGCTGCTTTTGCATTGTGGGTGAGCCAGTTGTGTTGTGTTGTGTGTGTGTAAAGTGTAAAAGTTGTTTTTTTGGGCTTTTTGTGGCTGTGTGAGGTTCCTGCTTGTTGCAGGGGCCATTTTGGGTCTAGCGCAGCTGCTTTTACATTGTGGGTGAGCCAGTTGATGTTTTTTAATTTTTATTTGGTGTGCGTTGGAAGAGGGGTAGTCTTATAGGGCGAGTATAGCCCAAACCCTATATTTTAACAGGAAAAGTCAGGGGTCGTCTTATACGCCCAGTCGTCTTATATGCCGGAAAATATGGTATTTTTGACCGGTCCTCGCACTTTTGACCAGTCCTTGAACTTACGACTGTCCTCACATTTTATGTTTTGCACCCTATCTTGTCACCGTGGTGAAGAGAAGTAGTGGTGAAATGACTGACACGGTTGTTAAGAATGCCTCAACGGGCATAAATGTGAGGATGGTCATAAGTGTGAGGACTGGTCAAAAGTGCGAGGACCAGGCAGAAATGACTTTTTTCAGCCCTGAGAAGTCCCTATGCACATAGCCACGCCCACCCGGTCACATGACCAGCTAGCCACACCTACCCAGTCACATGATCAGTTAGACATGACCACCAAGTTACATGACCACCAAGCCACACCCCCAACTAAGCCACGTCCGCAGAATCGGTTGTTAAAAAAATTGAATCCCACCACTGGACATAATTGAATATTTGTGCAGCAAAATATAAGCAGAGGGATCACACTGAAAAGGCAAGTTTCATTGTTTAATGTTTAGTGTAGGAATTCTGTTAATGCATCTCTACGCATGAAACAATTCTGGGCTATCTCTGAGCCTGGATATTCTGAGGTTTCCTGAGGCCTGAAAAATAATTCAAGGGTTCCTGCAGGGTCAAAAGATTAAGAAAGGCTGATTTAGAGAGGCTAAAATGTATTTATATTTAGAACTGCTGTGAAGAATATCAGAAGCCACTTTATGTTTTTCTTTCTTTAGTCCTTTTCTTCAACTTGTTTTCTTGTTTTATTTTTCTTTGATTTCTTTCCTTTGTCATCTTTACTTTATATTAGTTTTTATATTCTCATTGAAAAGATTTAATACAAATTAGATTAAAAAATTTAAAAGGCGAACAGGATGACAGGGATCATTGCCTGAAAACACAGAGAGGCTATTGTCACAAAGCCTTAGAATAAATCAAGGATGCCACCACATCTGGAATATTGTGAGCAGTTTCTGGTCAAAAGACCTCCGAAAGGAGAGGAGGGAGCCTGAGAAGGTCCAGAGGAGGCGACTGAGGTGATGGGAGGGAGGAAGCAGCCTCCCTTTGAGGAAAGGTTGGGACATTTGGGGCTGTTGAGCCTGGAAAGGAGGCTCCCCTCCACTCTGGCCGGTCTCCTTCCCCCTTCCTCCACCAGGGGGAGCCCTCTGGGTCCAGCTCTGCTCCCCTGGGAGGCCAGCAGGGGGCCTGGAGGGATCTGGGGAGACCCTCAGGGATCAGGGGCAGAACTGGCAGAGCTCTGGGGGTCACCTGTAGAGGGGGAGGGGCAAGGAAAGGGTGGAAGAATTGGGGGGGCTGCAGCTCCTTGGGGTGAAAGGAGGGAAAATGGCTCCTGTTTGTGGAGAAGCTTTTCTTCAGCCAAAAGCAGCCTCTCTTTACACACACATTTCCTTGCAGACCCTCCCCAAATAAGGTTCCTTGGAGGTGAATCTTGTCCCCCAAAGATGGCAGAAGGGGGGGCTGCAGAAGAAAGAGTCTCCCTCCCTCCAGGGCAGCCCCACCAAGAGGGCAATGCAGGAGTTCAGCCTGAGGGACCAAGGATGGGAAGCCATGAAGGCTCTGAGAGACTCTGGAAGGGCCCCAAATGGAGGTTTCTTTCTTTTCCGTCTCTTCCCCATGAAGATTGGGAGGATCCTGGCCCTGAGATCCCCCCCCCACAAAAGCCCCCCAGCCCCCCATTTGGTCCTCCCGGCCTCTCCTTCCAACTGGAGGGTGAGAAGAAGCTCCTGGCATTTGGGCCCCACTCGCCCCTCCAAAAAGGGGGAGAAGGAAAGGGATCTAGTCTCCCCAGGTGGATCTGCACTCGATCCCTCATTTCTCTGGGGTGGAAACAGACAGAAGGAGTAGGACCTGCTTCTCCCAGGATCTAATTAGGATCCACCTGCCTGGTTTTTTTTGTGGGGGGGATCTGTGATTCCCTTCCTCCCCCACAGCAGGAGATCCCCCAAGGCCAGAACCTCCATCTTTCATGGGGGGAGGGGAGATTTCGGTCTCTTTTTACCTCAGTTTATATCCATATCCATATCAACATTCAGAAAGACAGAAGGATAAATTTAAACATCTTTTTATTAACTGCAATTGGCAGAAAATGTCAGCTATGGAGGGAAGGAGAAACTTACATTGATTTTTTAAAAAAAGAATAAACATATAAAAAAAGACTTTTTAAAAGGTGTGGAAGCAGCCTTTCCCTTTGAAGGGACCCATTTCTCCCCCCTCTGGTTCCTGGGGAGGGGATTATGGGGCCGGAGGAGCCACCCGACCCATCACTCACCTTCGCTCTGATTGTAGCGATTCCTCAGGTTCTCCAGGTTTTCTCTGAACCATTCCTCAGAGTCACGTTCTCTCTGGGTGTTTCTGTCCCAGTACTTGGGATCCTCCTTCCCCACCTTCTCCATCCAGGAGACTCGAGGCTCCATCCTCTGGCTGTTGCTGTCATAGTAACTGAAGAGTTGATCATCCACGTACCCCAGAGTGACAAAGTGGGGCTGCCCCTGACTGGGCTCCGAGATGCCGGTGTAGAAATACTTCAGGGAGTGGGAGGAGGCGCCTGGAAGGGAGCCAGAGGGGAAGAGTTAGGGGGCTTCAGCCAAGGACCCTGATCCCATGGAGGCTCCCATCTGAGGCTCTGGGGAGAAAGAAGGAAGAAGAGGAAGAGGAGGAGGAGAGTTGGGGGGCAGAGGAGGAAGGGGGGAAGGAAGGAAGGGGGAGATGGTGGAAGAAGAGGCAGGAGATGGAAATGAGGGAGTGACTGAGAGGGAAGAAAAGGAGCTTCTGGAGGGACTGAAGGGTTGGAGGGAAGGGAAGGTGGGTGGGGGGGTGAGAGAGGAGGGGAGGGGAGGGTCCCCCAAACTTTACCTGCCCCAATGGTGCCCTCCCCCCTTCCAGCAAGGCCTCCCTCAACCCCCCTTCTGGGTTGCTCAGCCTCTGCCCCAAGGAAGCTGCAATGGCTGCACAGGTAAAAGGGGGGATTCCACCCTCCCAGAAGCTCAAAAGCAGCAGGAAAGCCCCCCTGGTCCCCCCTCCTTTCCATTCACAGAACAAAAAAAACCCCATCCTGACTTCACTGAAGGCCAACCTGGACTGTTAATAGGTGCAGATTTGGGGAGGGATTTTATAAAATGGGGGAGGGGGAATCCGGGTGAGACCAGAGGCCATGGGATCCTTTGGGGAAACCCAAATGGGGAAGGGCAAAGGGGGCAGGGAAGGAAGGAGCAATGAAGTGACTTAGCCCCCCAGATCTTCCTCCTCAACCCTGTTCCCCCCCCCCTTCCTGGCTGGAAAATCCCCCCTCCCCTCCCAGAGTTCAGCCATCTGAGCAAGAATCGGATTTTGAACCCAGGACTCAGAGGGGCTCCTCCTCCTTCCACAGAAAATCTCAGTCTGATTAAACCAAGATTTCTTCCTTTCAGCAACCCAATTAGGGCCCTCAAACTCTCCTTCAAGGACCTTTGCAATGCCCCAGATTTCCCCTGAATCTCCCCCTTCACTTTCCCCAGAAGCTGCTCTGACCCTTCTCCTCCTCTGGGGCTGATCCTGCACTTGGTCAGCACAAAGAAAGGCAGAAATGCCCCTCAGCCACCTTGGAGGGGATTGAGATCCTGGCTACCCAACTCTTCACATGATCAGTGTTACTCTTAACGTAAAGGCCTAAATTAAGAGTTTCTCAGACTCCGACACTTGGACTTCAACTCCCAGAATTCTGCTCACCCCCAGAAAACCATTGGCCCCTCCACCCTGGCCCCACCCCCTGCCCCCAAGGAGGATGTTGGGAGTTTCTGCTGCCAGCTCCCATATTTGGGGTGGGGGGCTCAGCTGGGGTCCCTTCCCTAAATTCAGTCTTTGTCTGGAGGGTCCTGTCATCTTTAAAGCCCCTCTGGGGAATCCAACATAAAGATACAAAATTATGTCAGTTTCTATCATGCAAACTCCAGAATGAGGAGCATCAAAGTTTTTTCAGCCCTTCTTTGAAGGACAGGCTAAATTCACAAGACAGAAAACTATGCTAAACTTTACTAACAATGACCCAAAAAAATCACATTAATTCACTGTTTAGTTCTTACTGTCAAAATAGAAAAACAGAAGAGACTCTGCCCAATGAACAGAAAAACAATGGCTTGTAAGTGGATTAAAAGAATTAAAAGAAAATAAGATTAAACTGGAAAATCTCCAAGGCCCCTTGTTTGTGTCCATTCTGAAGTCTCTTCAGATCAGAAATTATTTCAGGGCACCAAAGATTTTGAAGATCATTTTCAGGATCGTTCATGGGACTTATTTGGGCAGAACCTGGGTCTGCATACAAAAGGGCAGAACCTCCAAAGCCCAGAGAAATAAATACAGGCAGTCCTTGACTTATGACCATATATGAGCCCACAATTTTTGTTGCTAAGTGAGACATTTGTTATGTGAGCTTTTTGCTCCATTTTACAACTTTTTTTGCCACAGTTGTTAAATGAATCATTGCAGTTATTAAATTAATAACCTGGTTAAGTCAATCTGGCTTCTCCATTGACTTTGATTGTCAGAACGTTGCAAAAGGGGATCAGGTGATACAGGGACACTGCAACCGTCATAAATATGAACGAATTGCCAAGCATCCAAATCTCGGTCACGTGACCATGAGGACGCTAAAATGGTCATAAGTGTGAAAAGTTTTCAATGACATTGAAACTTTGAACGGTCATTAAATGAATTATTGTAAATCGAGGACTACCTGTGGTCCTACTGCCCATTTCCTCCAGTATGGTCTCCCAGCCCTTCCCAGTCCAAATTTATTAATTAATTAATTAATTTATTATTAAAATTTATATGCCGCCCGTCTCCCGAAGGACTCGGGGCGGCTCACATAAATAAAAAAAAATAACAATAAAATCTAAAACCAATCCAAAATTAAAATCCCCAGATTTAAAACCTCGTAGAATGATCAGGGAGTTTGCTGGAACAGCCATGTCTTCAGGCCAGCGCGGAAAGTGCGGAGATCGGGAGCCTCGGTGGGTAACCCATTCCAAAGGGTCGGTGCGGTCACAGAGAACGCTCTCATCCTGGGAGCCGCCAGCCAACACTGTCTGGCCGACGGAACCCGGAGGCGGGCAGCTCTATGTGAACGCACAGGGTAGTGGGAGGCCGGTGGGAGGAGGTCCTGCAAGTACCCCGGGCACATGCCATGTAGGGCTTTATAGGTCAATACCAGCACCTTGAAGCTGATCCGGAAGGCCACCGGCAGCCAGTGCAGCTCACGCAGGAGAGATGTTGCACGAGAGTAATGGGAAGCTCCCGTAACAACCCACGCAGCCGCCACAAGGGCAGCCCCATGTAGAGGGCATTGCAGTAATCCTACCGAGAGACAATGAGAGCTTGAGTGACTGTACGGAGGGCATCCCTGTCTAGGAAAGGCCGCAACTGGCGCACTAGGCGAACCTGTGCAAAGGCCCCCCTTGTCGCGGCCGATAGATGGTCCACCAAGGACAGCCGTGGATCAAGAAGGATGCCAAGATTGCAAGCCTTTTCAGAGGGAGTAAGTAGCTCCCCTCCCATCAAAAGTGATGGGGTAGCTAGATCAGGCGATGCTGGTATCCACAGCCACTCAGTCTTGGAGGGGTTGAGTCTGAGCCTGTTTCTACCCATCCAGACCCGTACCGCCTCCAGGCACTTAGACACCACGGAAATGAAAGGCCTGGGCCTCCCTCTTCCTGCTCCTCCCACAATCCCAGGGGCTTCTCAGAGCTTTTGGGGAGAGGGAGGCCCAGATCCACTTCCTGCTCTGGGGAGATCACATCTGATCCAAAGGGATCAGAGCTTTTCTCTAACAGAAGGAGTGGGAATCGGACTCTCCGTGATCCAGAACCTGCTTCTTTCCCTTGTGGGGCTGAGCAATGAGGAAGTCTGAAGTCTGCCTGAGAGGAGAAACGTGTGCATGTAACTCAGGTTGGGCATCCTCACAATCCTGAATCCTCTTCATGTCAGAAATGACAGGTGTGACTATAACACAGGTGTGCATAGGTTTGGCATCCTCACAATGGTGAAAGTGCCTCCAGTCAGGAACGGCTGGTGAGTTTGGGCCTGTCTGTGTCTGAGCAAGCGATTCAATTCATGGTCTCCCTCCAGAGGTTCTTCTCTTCTTCTGCCTCCAACCCAGCCTTTTTCATCCTTAAGATCCTGACAGCTTTTTTAATGCCTTCGGAAATGCTGCTCCCTTCAAACGGTAGTTTCTCAGAGCAAACAACTGGGAACACCCCAAGGCCCCTTCCTGATTCCTAAGGAACAATTGTACATTTTAAATACTTTGGATTCTGCTAACTGACCCATGCTGAGCGCTCCTGGAATGGAAGGAGGAGGATTTTGGGTGGAAAAAAGAAAAAAGCTCTGGGGATGTTGGGGTTTAGGATGGAGGAGAAAGTGAACGTCCTAAAGGCGGAAACATTGTTCAAGGAGTGTTTCTCTCCAAGCTTTTTCCTACTGCATTCACAGGGCAGCCTTATTCAATGGCATCAGCCTCTGCATCAGCCAATACACCAAACCGCTTCCAGGAACAAGCCGGGTCCTTCCAGCACCAGAAGCCACCAAGAGCCACCAAGCCCCCCAAAAGGCAGGAGAGGCCACCCAGGCGGAGGGGTTGGGCGAAGGCAGCCAGGAGGTTCGTGAATTGTCCTGATCCCGTGGAAACGCCGCTTTCCCACAACCTCCACTTTGAAATTGGGAAAGAACTGTGCTTGGGGGTGCCCAGGTAGACTGGACTGAGATCTGGAGGGGCTACCCTTGTCCTGCTCCAGGGGGGGGGCTCTCCTGGGGGGGAATAGGCAGCAGAGTCCCATCCATCCCTTCTGAGAGTGGCCAGAGGGGGGGATGGGGAAGCGGATTAGGAAAAGGACCGAATCAGGATTCTCTTTCTGGGAAGAAACTTTTTGGGAGAGAGAGAGAGATTGCCTGGATGGATTCCCAACAGTAGAAAAAGGGGCCGGAACCCCAGATGCCCCCAAAGGGACTCACCGAAGCAGCTCTCCCGCAGAACGACCACCACCATCACCACCACAAGGGACAGGGAGCGCAGAGCCATCCTGACCGCGAACCTCAGCTCAGGGCTTCTGAAGTCGCAGGCAGAGAAAGACGCTGCCTGGGCGATCAACAACGCAACAACCCCGAGCAAGCCGGCGATTGGACAAGCTCAACCAGTAGAAAAAAGATATCCCCGGGTCGTCATTGTTGCTAGGCAGATGGCCAGGCACAACCAGCCAGAGAGGAGGGGAAAGGAAAGCGAAAGTTCCCTCAGGAAATCCCCTTCCAGGCATTCCGCCTCTTGGGGGAGGGGCAGAGCTGCGGGAGTCGGAAAAGAGGGGGGCTCTCTAAACCTGGGGGGAGGGGCGCAGTCGAGGGGAGGGGATCAGGTGGAGCTGCCAAAAAGGCCAGTGCAGTCCTGGGCTGCATCAACAGAGGGAACCTCAAGAGAAAGGTTTTTTTGTGGCATCTTCAAGGCAAAGATATTTCTTTCTATGGGAAAATGCCAAAGGTATCAAATACAGTATATAAATTCCGTTTCTTTTCCTTCTCTGGTGAAGCCATGAATCTTTAGGAAGCTTCAAACTTTTCTCTTTTCCCACAATAAACTAAGATGGCTGCTCTCTCCTTTGGCGGTTCTTCTGGAGACTCCTTGGACTAAAATAATAAATCCCTCTTCCGATTACAGTTGTTATTATGATCCCCAAATTCAGCTGATTTTACATTTCCTATGATGAACAAAGTATGAGAAACATCCAATGGTCCTTTCAGGGTTTGAATCATCTTGTTTCTTCTGCAGTCACCTTTCCACTGAGCATGTACAGAGTGGAAATTAGGCCCTGTTTGTGGAAAAGAGGAGGGGATAGCTTGATAGTTCAAGAATATAAAATATCAAATATGGAACATAAAAGAATATAAATCTTTGAAAAATCTTTCAAATCTGGAGAGTCTCAGCAAGGCGGGCCCTAAGAATTTCCGGAAACATGGATGAGGTGGAGAATGGCGCCCCCTGCTGGCTTGAGGCTTTGCAGTTTCTCCTCTCAATTAGCAAAGTGGGAGGGAAGGAAAAACCATCCCATCAGAAGAAAAGTCTCAAATACTGTTTTAAGCACCAAGCCAGCCAGAAATTAATCAAATTACATAGAAACAAGCCAGCGAAAGATGGAACTGATCAAATTAGCTGCTGGATTGTGTAAACTCCCTTTCTCTTTGCCGGCTTCTTTGTCAGACAGACAGACAGACAAAGTACAGACCTGCGACAGGCAATTCCTGACGATGATAGGTTAGGAAGGTTTTGTTCTCTTGTATTAAGTACAACACATGTAATCCTGTACCCAAAAGGACAGATGTAATTGAGCAGATGTGAACACTAATCCTGTGAAAGAATTCCCATTGATTGCTTGCAAATAAGAAACTTTCTGTGTGAATATCTGAGCCGTATTTTACACAACATGCTAGATTTGGACTTTTGTCCCAAAGATCAGGCTCTCCATTTCTGCAGACATAAACAGATGAAAGTTTCCTCCCTCCTTCCAGCCTCACTTCTTGGCCAACCTTGCAGGGAAAACAGAACCCAATGGAGGCTCCGGCTAACCGAGGGACCTTCTGCCTTCCTTTCACCCGTCTGTATCTCTACTGATGAAGAAGGCCGAGGCCATTAGAGGGAGATTCCAATTCCTGGTGAGTCCCTGGAAACTGGCCGTCTGCAGGATGAGCCTCCCCTTCAGATCCTCCCTTTTCTCTCTGGGTCCACAGCAGGCGTAACCTTCCTCTGTTTTAACTGACTGGTCGGTTTATGGTGCAGCATCTCATGCAAATGGGATCCACACACAATACACACAAGTCCCTGAAGGGAAAATTCACCAAGGTTGCAGGGAACCCAATGGAGCCTTGGTGGTGCAGCGGACTAAGTGCTGTTATGTAGCACTTAGCTGCAGGCTGTCTGCAATTAGTGCGAGTTCAAATCTCACCAGGCTCAAGGTTGACTCAGCCTTCCATCCTTCCGAGGTAGGTAAATTGAGGACCCAGATTGTGGGGGCAATAAGCTGACTTTGTAGAAACACCGCTTATGGGGGGCCAAAAGCCCTAATAAGCAGGTATATACAAAAGAATGAAGGCTATTGCTGTAAGTGCATTGTAAGCCGCCCTGAGTCTTTGGAGAAGGGCGGCATATAAATTGAACTAATAAATAAATAAATAAATAAATAAATAAATAAATAAATAAATAAATAAATAAATAAATGTGAGAAGGTCATGGAAACGAATCTCTTAGGTGCATGACTGACCCAGTTACATCCGCTGTGTGAATCTGGCCTTTGAGGGTCTGGAGGATCCCTGGCAAAAGAGACTCTGGGCTGCTTCCTGAGCTACGATTTTGGAAAGGAGCCAAACGCCAGGAGACAGGCCGAAGCAGCTCAGGACAGCCTTTGGCTAATACGTATTAAGTTTGGAAAAGTAAAAGGTTGAGGCCGTAATGTTATTATTTTTATTCAACTGTGTTGAAAAGAACACACAATTTTATTGTTTGGGAGATGATAAAGAAAGACCTGGCATTGCTTTCATAGCCAAGAAGGTATATATTGTCTCCCATTCCATATCTATCATGTCAGCTAAGAAGGCAAAGAGTGCTGCCATCTTCCTTCCACCTTCCAAAGACCACCACTGACTAAAAAGGGACGTAGTTGATTTTAAGATAACATTTTTCTTTTTTCTGAATTTTCCCTTTGGAGGCAACGTAAATAGAGAACAATGGGAACGCGACGGGACTCAACATGCTGAATCGCTTTCTCCTTCCTTGAGCCAAGGAGCTGCTGAAGCTGCACAAGGATTTCACGAACCACTGAAAAGAGGCTGCAAATGCAGGCATCACTTTGGGACCTTAAGGGCTGCGTGTGAGAGAGAGGCGTCTGTCCAGAACGTTGCTACCAGCTGTGCTGTTTTCGTCCTGTCTCTTCAAGGCCTCTTCCCAGGAAGAGTACAACAAAATGGCCAGTAAAAGTTGTGCTGTGAAAGAACTGAGGGTGTGGGGAAACAAGGTGTGTATTTTTGTGTGGAAGTAAAGCGGTTAGAAAGGGGTGTTCTCGGCTTGTCGTTCGTTCAGAACTGCGATAGGAAATAATCACCAGTAACACACAGAGAATCAGGGTTTACTTTGGCAATGATAAGCTTGCAGTCAAAAGTAAAGTACAAGTCGGTGTTTTGGTTCAAAGTCAGCGCTGGGTGTAATCACACCACAGCGCTATTTAACAAAAACTCAGCCCCTTAAACATACATCCGGTGATTATCAATCAAGCACCCCCCACTCCCTTAACAGTAACAGCTGCGAGCAGCGAGGACAGCAGAATCGGAGAGGCCCAGCAACGTCATCAATCATTGCCCTGAATGCTGCTATCCAGGAACTGTTTGTGTGTTCTCTGCGGCTGCTTATCTCCACTCCTTCATCTCCCACACACCCCATTGATGGCGAGCTCCGGCAGGACTCGACAGGCGGCCCCCCCTACCAGGAGCTCACCTATAAATGGAAAGCATACAGATGTTAGTCACTGTTACGATCCTGCATTAGGTTTGGCTGGGTATTTCCGATGGAACCGTTGTATCAATCGGGCAGCGTGAACATCGGGTGCTGCCACCCACGAGGCCTGTGTTACAGGGTATCCTTTCCACCGCACAAGATATTGTAACATCCCCCTACGAACCCTGGAGTCCAATATTCGGTCTATCTCATATTGGTTGGTATGCACGGGACCCGGTGGAGTAGTTGAGGTACCTGGCCTTTCTATCGTCACCGGTTTCACCAAACTGCTATGGAATACGGGATGTATCCTACTGAACAGAGGGGGAAGTTTAAGAGCTATGGTTACCGGATTGATGACTTGTGTTATGGGAAATGGTCCTATATATTTCGGTCCTAACTTTTTACTGGGCAGTCGGAGTTTAAGGTATTTCGTAGATAAGTATACTTTGTCTCCTATCCGGAATGGTTTTGGATCAGCTCTTTTCTTGTCTGCATATTTTTTGTACTCGTCTGCTGCCTTTTGTAATGCTGTTTTTACACTTGGCCATACATTACTAATTTTATCGGCCCAACTGCGTGGCGTGTCACCGTCTGTCATAGGGGGATCTAACTCTGGAATGGCTGAAAACTCTCGGCCATATATTACTTGGAAAGGGGAGAACCCAGTACTGCGGTGGGGTATGTTGTTATATGCCACTTCGGCGAAAGGCAGGAGTCCTGACCAATTCGTCTGCTGGTATGAAACGTAGCATCTGATATATCTTTCGACCATGGCATTGGCCCGTTCAGCCGCCCCGTTAGTGCTCGGGTGGAATGCTGAACTTAACCCTTGAGAGGACCCAATTAAACGGACAAATCGTCTCCAAAACTTAGAGGTGAATTGAACACCGCGGTCGGATATAATCCTCTTAGGTGCTCCATGGAGACGATAGATATGTTGCAAAAAGAGTTCGGTTAATTGTCGCGCGGATGGTATGCTTTTACATGGCACAAAGTGGGCCTGTTTCGAAAACAGATCTACCACCGTCCAAATTACAGTGTGGCCATGGCTAGGGGGGAGATCTACTATGAAATCCATAGCTATCTCTTCCCAAGGCCTGCTAGGATTCGCGACTGTCTGTAATAGTCCTAACGGTCGTCCAGACCAGGGTTTGGCGGTTGCACAGGTTGTACAACCTTTTACGTATGTTTCTATGTCCTTACGCATTCGTGGCCACCAGAATTGCCTCCTCACAAGGTGTAGAGTTTTTAAATACCCAAAATGGCCTGCTGATTTGGCATCATGGCACCTGCATAACACTACGTTCCGTAAACGTTCTGGAACATATATTCTATTCTCCCTCCACGCTATTCCATCATTATAGCTAACCATAGAGGGGTTTTGGATTACCCATCGATCCTGTTGTAAAGCTGTTTTAAACTCGGTACGTAAGTGACCATCTTTTCTGTAGCAGAACTCACAATGAGGAATGCAGGTGGGAGGAGCTGTGGAAAAGTATGAGCAGTGTGTGTGTATGTGTGTGTGTTGCCTAGGGACCTGTGTTATTATTGGCTCTTACAGAATAACAGGACCTTGGAGGTCATCTAGTCCAACCCCCTACTTATTATACAATTATTTTTATTGCTGGTTGGAAAAGAGATATAAATGATTAATTTTATAATTAGGTGTAAAAATTCGATGATAGGAATATGGTTATAGGAATGAACGGTTATAGTAGTTTGGATGACGATTAAGATAGAAGAAACTTCTGGAAGAAGAAGAACAAAAAGAATGGAAGAAGATACCCCGAGATGCCACAGGGGCGGAATGATTGATGTATGAAATGTTTGTTTGTCTTAAAAAAAAAAAAACCCTTACATTAAAAAAGAGATGGATTAAATGCAAAACTTGAACAATAGAAAACGATGATTCTAGAGGGCATTCCACAAGGGGCAATTAATGCTTGCAAGTGTATCCAAGGGCTTCCAGAAGACATTTTCTCTTGTGTAGTTGCTGAGGAAGAAAATTCTCAGATACCAAAAGAAATGGCCCGGATGACTGAGAATCTCCATAGACATTATGCTTCCTTAAAGTTAAAAAAAAAAAGAGACCCAGCCTCTCTAGTTAAAAGCACAAATATCCCCTTTTAAAGTGCTAATAATGAAGCTTAAAATCCCGGGAAGCCCTGGCTGTAATTAATTGTAGTCCTATAGTATCAGTTTGATTTTCAGGTCATGGAATTAGCAATGTCCCCAGGAACCTCAACCAAAGTAAAGCCTTGCCTTCCAAGTGTGAGTGTGTGTTTATTTAAAAGAAGAGCATACAAAAGAGTTGTTTAGTTGGTCCACAGTCCAAGAGCCAGCTCAAGGTCATGAGCAGCTCCCAAAGTCTTGGTGCTCATTTCACTTTTGTGTATTGTATTTATGGTCTCCCGGTTATTTATTTACCTTTTCACAATATTCTAATTTTCTGAGATTGTGAATTTGGGGTTTTTATGAGGGTTTTCATGCTTTTGATAATCATCAAAAGTATGACAAATCAAGGCTTGAACTATCTCGCTTTGCATGTAATGAGTCTATCTCATATATTAGTTTCACCTTTTAAGTTGCATTACTGAAATAAATGAACTTTTGCATGATATTCTAATTTTTCGAGTTTCACCTGTATGTTGAGAAGAGTCGGATAGCCAAGATCAACCCCCTCCCCAAGCTTCCTGGGGGTCATTTCTGCCTTTCTTGGGGCGGACTGTTGTGGCCTGCCACTGGCGGCAGACTCGGACAGTGAGAAGGTTGGGGAGAAACATGGGCCAGTCCTGCAATCTGGGGAAGGCTCTGATGAGGGCTCTGCATGCCAGAGTGTTGTGGCCCCGCCCTCCGAGCCTATCTCATCGGAGGAAGAAGGCTCCGAACATGAAGAAGAGGAGTCGGCCAGGCCTCCCTCTCCAGGCCCCTCCCCTCTGGCACTGCCTCAAGTGCCGGCCGAGGAAGAGGAGATTATCCAGGAGCCAGGTGTCCCCGATGAGAGCGAGGGAGGTGATCTGTAGTTCCTGGATCCACGCCAACGAAGGCGTGATAAACGGCTGCAGCAGTTAAGGAGGCGTGCCAGGGATTATAACTGAGTCACTGGACCACACCCCAGAGACTATATAAGAGAGTGTGGTGGCCATTTAAGACTCTGTGACGGACAAAAACTAACTCTGGCTAGTCACTTGAACAACGCTTAAAGCTGCCGAAGGTTTCTTGTTTGGAACTGGACTATTTGCAATTTGTATGTATTTTCTGTTTATCTGATGAAGTAAAGCCCTTGGCAGTCGATGCTCGTATAGCTGCCAAGTTTTAGATAACAACCTGTGTGCGTGCCAAGTGCTTTCTTAACCCTCGGCTGGCTGTGTTTGTGTGTGTATGGAGACGGGGACAGAACACAGAGATGGGGCCAGGGCCGTCTGACAGTTATCATCTACCTTCTGAGTCGGCGATAAGTGGGGCAGAAGAACAACTGGAGCCTGTTCCCGATGTGCGCATGCGCAGAACTGTCAGGAGAAGGGAACAGTTAAGGAACAGGGGTCGACTCGGGAGTAAAGGCACAAGTGGATGCTGAATGGCCCCTCCAATAGGAGCAAAAGGGGGGTGGTGTTTGCAGGAGACGATTCGTTTGTTTATTAGCGTGAAGATTTGCTTATCTGAGCTAGTGCCTCACAGAGACTCCTTGCCAAGTATTTCATTGTACAGCTTTGCGCCTGGAAGCTATCAGTCTGGCAACTATCCAAGGACTGATAAGGTCTGTGGTTGCAATTAAACCTCGAAAGGCTTTTTCTGGATGTGAACGCTAGGAATTCACCTTAACCAAATAAAAAAAAAAGGGGGGGGTTTCGGGGCAAGGAGTCTGTTTTGTGATTCTGTGAAGCCTAGGTCAGAACACTGACAGAGTGCAATGAGCACCAAAGGAGGACCAGTTTCAGAGCAGCTTCTGTGGAAAGTGAAGGGTGAGATTCAGAGTGAATCTGGTGCATTTCAAGAGTCTGGGAAGTGTTGTGGCTCCGTTGCCAGAGCCTGGGCTATCGACAGATGCAGACTCTGAGAGTGAAGGGGAGGAGTTGGCAAGGCCTCCCTCTCCAGGACCCTCCTCTCTGGCAATGCCTCCGGAGGACACTGAAGGCCAAATGATAGGCTCAGAGTCAAGCACGTCCCCGCAGCCACAGGTGGACAGCGACGAGGAAGATAAGTGCTGGCTGGACCCTTGACAGAGGCGCAGGGAGAAGTGTGCACAGCAGAGGGGAAGGCGTGCCAGAGATTACCTGAGTCACTGGACCACACCCCACAGGGTATAAATGTGGGTGTGGTGGCCGGTTCAGTTTGTGACGAGCAAAAACTGGAAATACTCCATGATCTCTGCGTTACTGGACTTTGCCTGCTTTATCGGACTGCATTTGGACTAATCCTTGTATTATTGACACTCTGCCTGTTTTATCGGAATGCTGCAGTCTAATCTTTGTTTTGTGTGAGTAAAGTCTTAATTGGCAGCTAGTCACTGGGTTGCTGCCAGCTTTATCATCAAAGAGTTTTGTCGTGTGGCTTATTAACTCCGGGCTGTCTGTGGGGGTGTGTGCGTGGTACGGGGACAGAACAGGAAGGATGATTTTAATGCCCTGATTGGGTGGCTGAAATTGAGAAATCTTAGGATAATCACAGTGGGATTTTCTATAAAATGAGGGGAAGCTCCACTGAGTCCTGGGTTCAAAGCCAATTCCTGCTTAGATGAGGGAGGGGAGGGGGGATTTTCCAGCTGTGGGGTGAAAGTCAGGGTGGGGGGGCTGCACGACTTCATTTTTGTTCCCTTCCCTCCCACTTTGAGTGCCCACATCTCCCTGGCAAGTAGTTTGGATTTCCCCCAAGGATCCCATGGCCTCTGGTTCCTCTTAAATCCTTCTTTCCCTCCCCTATTTTATAAAATTTCACCTACTATCTACATACTAGTGCAGTATAAACCAGAATTATCATTTCTCGGGTTCTCTTGATGTTCTCCCTCTGTTGATGCAGCCCAAGGCTGCCTTGGCTTTTTTGGCAGCTCCACCTGATCCCCTCCCCCTCGCCTGCGCCCCTCCCGCCAGGCTTAGAGATTCCCCCCCTCTTTTCTGACTCCCGCAGTTCTGCCCCTCCCCCAAGAAGCGGAATGCCTGGAAGGGGATTTCCTGATGGAACTTTCGCTATCCTTTCCCCCAACATCTGCCTAGCAACAATGACAACAGGGGGATATCTTTTTTCTACTGGTTGAGCTTGCCCAATCGCCAGCTTGCTCTGGGTTGTTGGGTTGTTTGATTGCCCAGGCGGCGTCTTTCTCTGCCTGCGACTTCAGAAGCCCTGAGCTCAGGCTGAGGATCGCAGCCAGGATGGCTCTGTGGTCTCTGTCCCTTCTGGTGGTGGTGGTGGTGGCGGTGGTTGTTCTTCGGGAGAGCTGCTTCGGTGAGTCCCTTTGGGGACATCGGGGGTTCCGACCCCTTTTTCTACTGTTGGGAATCCATCCAGGGAATCTCTCTCCCCACCCCCCACCCCCAAAGTTTCTTCCCAGAAAGAGAATCCTGATTCGGTCCTCTTTCTAGTCCGCTCCCCCTCTGGCCACTCTCAGAAGGGATGGATGGGACTCTGCTGCCTCTCCCCCCCCAGGAGAGCCCCCCTTGGAAGCAGGACAAGAGTGGCCCCTCCAGATCTCAGTCCAGTCTATCTGGGCGCCCCGGAGCGCAGTTCTTTCCCAATTTCAAAGTGGAGGTTGTGGGAAAGCAGCGTTTCCATGGGATCAGGTCAATTCGCGAACCTCCTGGCTGCCTTCGCCCAACCCCTCTGCCTGGGACGCCTCTCCTGCCTTTTGGGGGCCTTGGTGGCTCTTGGTGGCTTCTGGTGCTGGGAGGACCTGGCTTGTTTCTGGAAGCGGTTCGGTGTATTGGCTGATGCCAAGGCTGGTGGCATTGAAGTGTCGGGATAAGGCTGCCCTGTGAATGCAACAAGAGAAGAGCCTCAAGAGAAACACTCTTTCAATAATGTTTCCGCCTTTAGGACGTTCACTTTCTCCTCCATCCTAAACCCCAACATCTCCAGGAACTTTTCTCTAAGCCAGGCAGGGATTTTACCACCCAAAATCCTCCTCCTTCCATTTCAGGATTGCTCAGCATGGGTCAGTTTGCAGAATCCAAAGTATTTAAAAAGTACAATTGTTCCTTAGGAATCAGGAAGGGGCCTTGGGGTGTTCCCAGTTGTTTGCTCTGAGAAACAACCGTTTGAAGGGAGCAGCATTTCCGAAGGCATTAAAAAAGCTGCCAGGATCTTAGGGATGAAAAAGGCTGGGTTGGAGGCAGAAGAAGAGAAGAACCTCTGGAGGGAGACCATGAATTGAATCGCTTGCTTGGACACAGACAGGCCCAAACTCACCAGCCGTTCCTGACATAAAGAGGATTCATGAATGTGAAGATGCCCAACCTGCATTAGATTCACACGTTTCTCCTCCCAGGCAGACTTCAGACTTCCTCATTGCTCAGCCCCACAAGGGAAAGAAGCAGGTTCTGGATCACGGAGAGTCCGATCCCCCCTCCTTCTCTTAGAGAAAAGCTTTGATCCCTTTGGATTCTGAAATCTCCCCAGAGCAGGAAGTGGATCTGGGGCTCCCTCTCCCCAAAAGCTCTGAGAAGCCCCTGGGATTGTGGGGAGGAGCAGGAAGAAGGAGGCCCAGGCCTTTGCCTTGGACTGGGAAGGCCTGGGAGACCATACTGGAGGGAATGGGCAGTAGGACCACAGGTAGTCCTCGACTTACAACAGTTCATTTAGTGACCATTCAAAGTTGCAATGTCATTGAAAATAGTGACAGTATGGCAATTTTTCACACTTATGACCATGGTTACGTGACCGAGATTTGGATGCTTGGCAACTGGTTCATGTTTATGACGGTTGCAGTGTCCCCGTATCACGTGACTCCCTTTTGCAATGTTCTGACAAGCAAAGTCAATGGAGAAGCCAGATTCACTTAACAACCGGGCTATTCATTTAACAACTGCAATGATTCATTTAACAACTGTGGCAAGAAAATTTGTAAAATGGAGCAAAACTCACTTAACAAATGTCTCTGGGAGGGGAGAGGGGATTTTCCAGCGGGGTGGGGGTGGGAGGACAGGGATGAGGAGGAAGATCTGGGGGGCCAAGTCATTTCATTGCTGCTCCCTTCCCTTCCCCTCCTCTCTCACCCCCACCTTCTTCAGTCCTTCCAGAAGCTGCTTCTTTCCCTCTCAGTCGCTCCCTCAGTTCACTTCCTACCTCTTTTCCCACCATCTCCCCATTCCTTCCTCCACTTCCTCCTCTGCCCCCCAACTCTCCTCCTCCTCTTCTTCTTCTGCCTTCTTCCTCCCAGAGCCTCAGATGGGAGCCTCCATGGGATCAGGGTCCTTGACTGAAGCCCCCTAACTCTGCCCCTCTGGCTCCCTTCCAGGTGCCTCCTCCCACTCCATGAAGTATTTCTACGCCTCCATCTCGGAGCCCAGTCAGGGGCAGCCCTACTTTGTCTTTGTGGGGTATGTGGACGGTCAGGTCTTTGTTCACTACGACAGCCACAGCCGGAGGATGAAGCCTCGAGTCTCCTGGATGGAGAAGGTGGGGAAGGAGGATCCCGAGTACTGGGACAGAAACACCCAGATGGCACGTGCCCAAGAGGAGATGTTCAGAGAAAACCTGGAGATTCTGAGGAGTCGCTACAACCAGAGTGAAGGTGAGTGATGGGTCGGGTGGCTCCTCCGGCCCCATAATCCCCTCCCCAGGAACCAGAGGGGGGAGAAAGCGAAAGTTCAAAGCGAAAGGCGGCCTCCACATCTTTTAAAAAGTCTTTTTTATATGTTTATTCTTTTTTTTAAATCAATATAAGATTCTCCTTCCCTCCATAGCTGACATTTTCTGCCAATTGCAGTTAATAAAAAGATGTTTAAATTTATCCATCTGTCTTTCTGAATGTTGATATGGATATTGATATAAATTGAGGTAAAAAGAGACCAAAATCTCCCCTCCCCCCATGAAAGATGGAGGATCTGGCCTTGGTGGATCTCCTGCTGTGGGGGAGGAAGGGAATCACAGGCCTCCCCCCCTCCCTGAAAAGAGGCAGGGATCAAGTGCAGATCCACCTGGGGAGACTAGATCCCTTTCCTCCTCCCCCTTTTCGGAGAGGTGAGTGGAGCCCAAATGCCAGGAGCTTCTTCTCACCCTCCAGTTGGAAGGAGAGGCCGGGAGGATCAAATGGGGGGTGGGGGCTTTTGTGGGGGGGGGATCTCAGGGCCAGGATCCTCCCAATCTTCATGGGGAAGAGACGGAAAAGAAGGAAACCTCCATTTGGGGCCCTTCCAGAGTCTCTCAGAGCCTTCATGGCTGCCCATCCTTGGTCCCTCAGGCTGAACTCCTGCACGGCCCTCTTGGTGGGGCTGCCCTGGAGGGAGGGAGACTCTTTCTTCTGCAGCCCCCCCCCCTTCTGCCATCTTTGGGGGACAAGATTCACCCTCAAGGAACCTTATTTGGGGAGGGTCTGCAAGGAAATGTGTGTGTAAAGAGAGGCTGCTTTTGGCTGAAGAAAAGCTTCTCCACAAACAGGAGCCATTTTCCCTCCTTTCATCCCAAGGAGCTGCAGCCCCCCCAATTCTTCCACCCTTTCCTTGCCCCTCCCCCTCTACAGGTGACCCCCAGAGCTCTGCCAGTTCTGCCCCTGATCCCTGAGGGTCTCCCCAGATCCCTCCAGGCCCCCTGCTGGCCTCCCAGGGGAGCAGAGCAGGACCCAGAGGGCTCCCCCTGGTGGAGGAAGGAGGAAGGAGACCGGCCAGAGTGGAGGGGAGCCTCCTTTCCAGGCTCAACAGCCCCAAATGTCCCAACCTTTCCTCAAAGGGAGGCTGCTTCCTCCCTCCCATCACCTCAGTCGCCTCCTCTGGACCTTCTCGGGCTCCCTCCTCTCCTTTCGGAGGTCTGGTGACCAGAAACTGCACACAATATTCCAGATGTGGCTGCACCCTTGATTTATTCTAAGGCTTTGTGACAATAGCCTCTCTGTGTTTTCAGTGCTATGTCAATGATCCCTGTCATCCTGTTCGCCTTTTAAATTTTTAAATCTAATTTGTATTAAATCTTTTCAATGAGAACATAAAAACTAATATAAAGTAAAGATGACAAAAGAAAGAAATCAAAGAAAAATAAAACAAGAAAACAAGTTGAAGAAAAGGACTAAAGAAAGAAAAACATAAAGTGGCTTCGGATATTCTTCATAGCAGTTATAAATATAAATATATTTTAGCCTATCTAAAGAGTGGTGGCACTCTTGATTTACTCTAAGGCTTTGTGACAATAGCCTCTCTGGTTTCAATACCATTTTAATGATTGCTGATATCCTGTTGGTCTTTTTAATTTTTTAATATAATTTGCATTAAACGTTTTAAACAAAAAATAAAAACTAATAGGAGGTAACATAAAGTAAAGGAGGTAAAAAAATCAAAGAAAAATAAAAAAGTACAAGAAAAGAAAACAACTGAAGAAAATAAAGAAAAAATACAAAAAAGTGGCTTCTGATATTCCTCTCAGTAGTTCTAAATGTAAATATATTTTAGCCGCTCTAAAGCAGCCATTCTCAGCCTTTTGACTCTCCAGGAACCCTTGAACTATTTTTCAGGCCGCAGGTAACCCCTGAAATCAGAGAAAGGCCAAAATTGTTTCATGCATAGACCTGGAGAGATGCATTAATAGTGTTCTTACACTAAAAATAAAAAAATGAAACTTGCCTTTTCAATGAGATCCCTGTGCTTTCTTTTTACTGCACAAATATTCAGTTCTGTGCCAAACTTGAGATAAGAACACATTTCATCTTCAAGTGAAATAAGATAATTTCTGTCTTAGCTTTTGATGCTTCTGAAGTACGACAGAGCTTCTTCTCAGAAGTTGAAAACTGCTGCCACATGTTCAGGGCCTTCCTGTGAATGGCAGGAGATTAATCTTGGGCAGAAATCCACAACTATTTTTCCCACGGGGAGATCAGGGAATCTCCTCTCGAGAGCAGGATCAGATTGCAGCTCCCGAGGTTCTTCCTCTTCCTCCAAAGGGAAGTTCTCTGGCTGAGCAGAAGATGCAGAGAAAGGATCCTTCACCCGTCATTCCTGGGTGTGGAAAGGGAGGGAAAGGACTGGTCAGTTTAGTTCAACTGTACTTACAGGTGGTTTTCCATTAGATTTGAGAGTTTCTGGCATCCTTCCTCCCTCTCAAGCCCAGACAGGAGTAGAAACATTTCAGGATTTCCTTTTGGTTTTTTCAAACATTCAGTTTTATTTTAAATCCAAGATTCTGTTCACTTGAAGTTGAAATATCTTCTCCAGGGCCTTGCAGAGTCTGTGAACTTCAAACTTCATTTCAAAGGTCAATAACCCTTTGGGTGTCCAGATCAGATTGGGCCACTTGCTGCTGTCACTAAGGAAAATATTCCTTTGTTGCCCTTCAAGGCTTCATTCCCACATTACATTAAGCCATGGTTTGTTTCTGGTTAGCTCAAAGTGGGAACCAGCCTTTGTGACTTGGTGCTATTTGTGAACGTAGACCAAGTTTTATGGTCACAGGGATCCCTGCAAGCTTTTGTGTAGATCATCCAGATCCTCTTTGAGACCATGAGATTTTGAGTTCCTCTTTGCAGCCGCAGATTCAGGCAACTGTTCCCTCTCTGGGATCCCTTCCTCCGCCCCCCCCCGAGTCTCCCCAACAGAGAAATGGTAGAAGGAAAGATGGAAGGGATTTCCGTCCCTCCGTTTCTTCTGTGACTCCTTCTTTTCTCGGTCTCCCTTGGGATCCTCTGCTGGCTTTTCCAGCTTTGCTTTTTCCTGGGGAGGTTCAGGGGCTCCATCCTGGGAGGGAAAATGTAGGGAGGCGGGTTGAGGGAGGGGAGAAGGGCTGTTAGTGATGGGGTCTTTCTTTCCCTTGATTGTTAGGGAGGAAATGGGGGAATCGGTGCCTCTCTTCATTGTCAAAAGTCCCTGCAGGGAGGGGGATCTCTGTTTATCTTGAGGACTCCCCAAACCATCATCTTGTCTCTATTTCAGGACTTCACATAATACAGTGGATGTATGGGTGTGAGCTCCGGAGAGACAGAAGCAAAAGAGGGTTTATGCAGTTTGGCTACGAAGGGAGGACCTTCCTCACCTTCGACAAGGAGACCCTCACCTGGGTGGCTCCCGATCCTCTAGCCCAGATCACCCAGAGGAAATGGGATCATATTGCAGGATTGAATCAGAGAGACAAGTCCTACCTTGAGAATATCTGCATTGAGTGGCTGGAGAAGCACCTGTCCTATGGGAATGAGACCCTGCTCAGGAGAGGTGAGTATCTCGATCCAGGCTACACTTTCCACCTTTACAGTTGGATTTCTTGTGCACATTCAGCCCTTTTGGGTCCCTGTGCGGAGTCTGTTTGCCCTGGTGGGAATCCTCCTCCTCCCCTCCCAGCACCTCTCCAGGACATGGGAAGAACTGATTGGTTCCCATTGCCAGGCAGCCGTTCAATGGACCAGGAAATGCAGCCTCTGCCTTGGGGGTGTCTGTGTGGATCAGGCAGGAAAAGCATTTAAGGGTATCCTGTTCACTGCCCACAGTGAGGCCTCCATTTGGGGTTCTTCAATGAAACAACCCAAACTTTAGCCAAGAGTGGTGGGCACCCTTAATTTCCTCCCATTAACTCTCCTTCCCCCCACATCTCACAGGAGGCCCCCTCCCAGTCTCATCCCTGATGGTGCACCTCCCATGCCCATCACTGGGGGGCTCCACTTCTACCATTAATAAGACACTAGCAGTGCCCCCACTTGGGCAAAAAGGCCCATGAATGAGGGGTTCTTTTCTTTCCGAGGGAGGAGCAAAGTTTCTGTCAATCTTTCTCTTAAACCTCAAACAGGTTCCCAGAATTCTTAGTCCGCCTTTCCTAAAAACAACCCCCTCCCCACCTTCAGGAACACCCCTCATCCCACAGGGGGGCTCACATTATAATCTTTTCCTAGAAATTTTTATTAATGTACCATCTAGAACACCCCTAGATCTACCCCTTCCCCTCTGGGGCCCTTGATCCCTCCAGGATCAGCTGGATGACATTAGATGGAGAACTCCACCCCACACCCCACTGATGATTGCCAACAGGCAGCCCCTCCCTTCCCAGAAGAGAGACCTTCTCTCTCTTCCATTGGCATCACCTCTCTCGGTCCCCCCGCCCCTTTTCAGAGACAAAATCTCTTTTCCAAATTGATCAGTGTGAGATTCCCTTTGATCTCTCTTAAAATTATGGTTGTGTCCCTTGGAAAGAGGCCTGGAGCAGCCTCAGAATCAGGGGAGCAGAAGAGGATGCAGAAAGTAGGGTGAAACTTCTGTGTTGTTGTCGTCTTGAAAGGGAACTTAAAAGAGCATCTCCACTATCCCTCCCCTGAAGGGAGCAGCCCAAGATCAGTCAGAGTTCAAAGCAATCAGAGTGAAATTTTCTTGGACCTTCAATTTGCTGCTGGGGGTTTTTCAGGCTTAGTCTCTGGGAAGGACTCAAAATCAGGAGTTCTTGTGGTTGAGGATTTTCGAGATTCAGAGCATTTCCCAAAACTCTTGGAGATGCAGCATGTGTGGAGTGGGAAGTAGTGGGAGATTTTCCTGCCCCTCCAGGTTTCCCATCCACCTTCCAGGCTCTGGAGGGGCTCAGAGTTAATTCCTGTGTTTCTGCAGAGCCTCCGATGGTGACGATGAGCAGCAGATCGGAGACCGAGGATGGGATGGAGACGCACATATGCCGTGTGGATGGCTTCTACCCGAGGGAGATCGATGCTTCCTGGAGGAGGGACGGGGAGGAATGTCTGGTTGACACCCACCATGGGTTTCTGGCCCCCAATGCGGATGGGACCTACCACTACTGGCTCAGTATCCGGATCGACCCCAAAGAGAGGGGCCGCTATCGCTGCCACGTGGAGCATGACAGCCTGCAGGAGCCTCTGGACTTGGAACTGAAGGGTGAGAGGCTGCAGGGAGGGGAAGGCTGGGCTCTTTGGCAGGCTGGAGGGTTGTGGGAGAGAAATCTGACCCCAATTGTGACCAGGTGTGAGCATACCTGAGCTTTAAGCCATTGGTTTTTCCAGTGTTTGAGGTTGGTGAAGCTGCAGGGACCAGACCATAGAACTGGCTTCAGGTGATGGAAACTACAGAATCCCATCACAATACTTGGCCGATCCTAATGAAATGCCCTTAGATCCTCTCTGAGGCCTTCCCTGTTTCTTGCCCCCAGCAAGTCTGAGTTTTTTCCCATCAGAGACTAACAGGGTTTCCTGGTTTAAAGGTCAAAAGGTCACCCTGTTTTGCTGCTCTAAGAAAGAAGTTGCACATTATTTTATGATATGATATGTGAATTCAGCATTAAAACCGAAGGAAAAAAAACTCTCTCAAAGAGTTCTATATATGCTCATAAGTGTCCTTAACATACACTGGACTTCCAAAGTTGCAAAATTCAAATTTTTATATTGATGATTGTCACCACCATACAAGAAATATTCAAATGTAATTGTTATGCCGATATCCCAGGCAAAATAAAATATTCCTTTTATTTTTGTTGTTTATAGCAGGCATCAATTCACAAGTGGCATGATTGCTATTCAATGGGAATCCTGAATTTTGTGCGAGAGAAATTTACATTTAAATTTAAGTTCCCTCCTCAAATCTGCTCCCCTCCCCCCACAAGCAATACCAATTTATATTGCCTTGATAAGACCATACTTGGAATTCTTCATCCAGTTTTGGTCGCCACAATATAGAAAAGATGTGGAGACTCTGGAAAGAGTGCAGAGAAGAGCAAGAAAGAGGATTAGGAGCCTCGAGACTAAAATATATGAAGAGCAGTTGCAGGAATTGGGCATTTCTAGTTTAATCAAAAGAAGGACGAGGGAAGACATGATACGTTCCAATATCTCAGGGGCTGCCCCAAAGAAGAGGGAGTCAAGCTATTCTCCAAAGCACCTGAGGGCAGGACAAGAAGCAATGGGTGGAAACTAATCAAGGAGAGAAGCAACCTAGAACTGAGGAGAAATTTCCTGACAGGGAGAACAATTCATCAGTGGAATGGCTTCCCTTCAGAAGTTGTGGCTGCTCCATCACTGGAAGCATTTAAGAAGAGAATGGAGAGCCACTTGTCTGGAAGGGTATAGGCCCTCCTGTTTGAACGGGGTTGGACTAGAAGACCTCAAAGGTCCCTTCCAACTCTGTTATTATGTTTCTGCCATTTGTGGGACCATCCAGAAGTTGGATATCACCATATTCCATTTTCATGCTGAAGTTCTGGAAGCACAAAATACAATTTTATGCTATTTTTGAACAAAGAAATTAAAGTGTGTACTTAAAAAAAAAGGCCAGGTGATATGAACTATTTTACTTTATATAAAATGCAAACACTCAAACTGAAAAAAAAAGCATATAGATCTGCCCAATTCCATTCAGAGTCATGGTTTATTGGGGCAGCCTATAAAAGGAAGGAAAATGTTTTTGTTGAACAAATTTTGTTTACATTACTGTGTTGGTGAAGTTTTTGTTTTGAAAGCTGCTAAGAGTCACAAGGTGGCAAATGCCTTCATGTTACCTTGAGAAGGACACAAAAATGAGCCCATGGAGTTTTGAATTTGGGGAAATTCCAGCTTTCACTTCTTTAGGTCTCTTCCCTGATTGGGAGGATTGTTTGGGGTTCTCTGTCAGTGATCTGCTCTTTCTCCCAATTCAGAACCAAAATCCAACCTGGGGCTCATCATCGGCTGTATTGTGGCTGCTCTTGTCCTGGTGTGTGTGATTTCTGGGACTTTGATATTCTTCAGTAAGTATCTTTTGGGGGGGGTGATGGAAGGAAGATGGGGAGATTTCTCCCAAATCTCTCCCTTTGGGGAGCTTCTTTTGGGTTCCTTCTGTCCTGTTTTCCCAGCCCTCTTGGGGAGCATCTGAGATCTCAGCCTCTTGCTGGGACTCCAGTCTCGATTCATCTGAGTGTGAGGTTGGGTCAATCATGTCTTCTTCTGAGCTGGGAAGAGGCATCCCAGTTCTGTCCCTCTCAAAGGCTTTGATCAAAGAGCAGCAGAGAAGGATTTCCATGGAAATCTTCCTCCCCTCCCAGCTGCTGCTGCTGCTTCCCCCAATTCCCCTCCATCCATCTCGGAGGCAGCAGGTCTCTCTTGGGGCAAATCAGGAGATACATTTGTATTTTGAAGATCTTTCTGTCTTTCTTGATGGGACAAAGTGACTGTGAAATACCTCCTGAGGTTCTTCCTCCTAGGGAGGGAGAGAGTAGATGATCTCTGGTGGATTTTTGTGAGCTTTCACTGATTTTTATCCTTGCAGAGAGACATCAAGATGGCTACAATGCAGCACCCAGTGAGTGTTTTGTCCTCTTTCCATGTAATCTCCAATTTAGAGCAGGAACCACAGAGTCACTATTAGTTGAGAGGGATGTGTGTATGTATGTTTCTGTGTGCTATCTTCCTCTTCACCCTAAAAACCAGGCTGGGGAAGATGGGCCCCCTTTTCATTACAGCCAGGTTATTCTTTGTTATGTCCTTATAAGGACATCCGCCCGGATTGGCTGCCAGCCATCGGGCGGGAAAGTTTGAATCGCTGTCAGGGGCGGTGCGACTGCCGGACCGAATATAAGGAGAGCTCCGGCAGCGCACAGCCAGTCTTGCTACTGTTTCTTGTTCTCAATAAAGTTACTAATGTAACGAGCTGGTCGCGTCTTCCATTCCTGCGCCGATCTAACACTGGCGACGAAGGACTAGAGGAAAGAGACGAACCTCGTGGCACCAAGCCAACAAGACTAAGACGCCGGGACCTGAAACCACAGTAGGCATTCCCGAAGGCATGGCATCCGCTGAAGTCACTTTGCCAGCCCTTGCGCCATTCCGCCCAGGGAAGGACAAGTGGAAATCCTACGTGGTCAAATTCCGGCAATACCTGAGAGGCAACAACATCAGGGATGCCGATGATGACCGGAAAAAGGGCATCTTCCTGGCCAACTGCGGCTCCGAAGTCCTGGATATGGCAATCGATCTCGTAGCACCACGAGACATCGAAGAAGTGCCATGGACGGACCTGCTGCAAACCCTGGAAGAATACTATGCCCCAACTGGAACACCAGTGGCGAACCGTTTCACCTTCCATCAGAGGGACCAAAAGGAAGGTGAGACCATCAAAGAATTCGTGGCTGCCCTGCGCCAGATCGCAGCCAGCTGCGAGTTCGACCACGTGGACAACGCCATCGCTGACCGTGTGGTTTTCGGCATGAGGGACAGAAGCCTGCAAAAGAAATTCCTGAGCAGGAAGAAACTCGTGCTCAAGGATGTGGTGGAGGAAGCCACCGCATCCGAAATCTCAGAGAAAGCGGCTGCCGCAGTAAGCAGAGCTAAGGGAATCCACAAGATTCGCTCATCACAGCAATCATCAACTGAGGATTCCACAGCTGGATCAGAGTCGGAGGTGGAGTCCACCGTACACAAGGTATCCAGACCCCCAAGGCGGGAAGCCGCCCAACGAAGCTACAAGGGGGAGCGCTGTGCCAGCTGCAGAGGGGACCATGCCAGGGCGACCTGCAAGTGGAGAGATGCGACCTGCCGACGCTGCAACAGAAGGGGTCACATCGCCGAAGCTTGCAGAGCCGAGGAACCAGCCACAGAGCCATCCAGCCACCGTCCCCACGAGATTCGGAAGGATTACCAGAGATCATCCAAACGGTCCTCTGGCCCATCCAGACGCAGAGACGATGATTTTCCCCGGAGCGGAGCGGTCCACCAGACGACCATCGCACACACGGACTCACACAATGCCACCAAGTTCCACGTGACCATCCACGTGGAGGGAGCACCCTGCGAAATGGAGGTAGACTCGGGCTCGGTCTACTCCATCATAGACTGGCAACAACTGAAGCGCCTGCAACCCAGCATCACCAAACGTGACCTGAAGCCATTACACTCCAAGCTCATCGACTTTGGGGGCAACCCCATTGGAGTGTTAGGAAGAGCCATCATCCGAGTCGCCTACAACGAGTTCAAAGGCAAGCTCCCCATCACCGTTGTGAAGGACAGCCGACCGAACCTGCTAGGAGTGGAGTGGTTTAAGCCGCTGGGGCTTTCAATCGAAGGCATCAACCAAATTCGCAGGGACGAACTCGACAACCTCATCGAAGAGTTCAAGGAAGTCTTCGATGGTAAGCTGGGGAAATTTGTGGGGAGGCCAATCTCTTTTAATCTGGACAAGGGAATCACCCCAATCAGGCTGAAGCCCCGCCGGGTTCCATTTGCCCTGCGGCCTAAAGTAGACGAGCAGCTGGATAAGCTGATCGCCCAGGGCATCCTGGAACCGATCGATCATGCTTCATGGGAGACCCCCATTGTGACCCCACTGAAGCATGATGGGTCTGTGCGCATCTGCGCCGACTATCGTTGTACCATCAACAAGGCGTTGGCACAGAGCGCATACCCAGTCCCAGTAGTGCAGCACCTGTTGCATTCCCTGGGAACTGGCACAATTTTTGCAAAACTGGACCTGGCCCAGGCTTACCAGCAACTGCCAGTGGACGAAAAAACGGCGGAGGCCCAAACCATAGTCACACACAGGGGGGCATTCAAATGCAACCGTCTCCAGTTTGGAGTCAGCGCTGCCCCCGGCATCTTCCAATCAATGATGGAACGCCTCCTCCAAGGCGTTCCAGGGGTGGTGCCATACTTTGATGATGTGCTGATCTCCGGAGACTCACAGGCACAACTCCTTGATAGGCTCAGGCTTGTCCTGCAGCGCTTCAAGGCCAAGGGCTTGAGAGTCAGGAGAGATAAGTGCATCCTAGGAGTACAGGAAGTCGAGTTCCTGGGCTATCTCATTGATAGCACTGGCATCCACCCCACCAAATCTAAAGTGAAGGCAATCCATGAAGCTCCGAGCCCCAAAAACAAAACGGAACTTCAGGCATTCCTTGGGTTGCTCAACTTTTATGCAATCTTTCTTAAACAGAAAGCCACAGTTGCTGAGCCACTCCACCGCCTGCTGGGGAAAGCGGCTTCCTGGAAGTGGGGCCAGGAAGAGGAAGCAGCATTCCGAGCCGTGAAAGGACTTTTAACCTCAAAAAGCGTCCTCATCCAGTACAATGAGACGCTCCCCATTAAGCTAACCTGCGATGCGTCGCCCTACGGGGTGGGGGCAGTCCTCAGCCACGAACTGCCCAACGGCTCTGAAGCCCCAATAGCATTTTTCTCAAAAACCATGTCTGGCGCGGAACGCAACTACAGCCAGCTGGACAAAGAAGCCCTGGCCATCGTTGCAGGAGTGAAACGATTCCACGAGTATCTCTACGGGAGGAGTTTCACCATAGTCACCGATCACAAGCCACTCCTGGGGCTCCTCGCAGGCGACCAACCCACACCGACCTTCATGTCCCCGCGGATGACGAGGTGGGCCATCTTCTTAGCCGGCTACTCCTACAGGCTCGTGCACCAGCCAGGCACAGCCATAGGAAACGCCGATGCGCTGAGCAGATGCCCATTGAAGGATCCTGTAGAAGACCCAGCCCCCACGCTCCACCTATTCCACATAGACGACGACGCCAGCTGTCCAGTCTCGTCTGCAGATGTGGCCGTCCACACCCAGAAGGACCCCACACTCCGCCAAGTGAAGTCCTGGATCCTCAGGGGGTGGCCATCGCAACAGACGGAGGAGAAGTTCAGCCCGTTCGCCAGGAAGCAGAAGGAGCTGTCCACCATGAAGGGCTGCTTACTATGGGGAGACAGGGTGCTGATCCCAAGCACTCTGCAACGGCGGACACTCGAAACGTTGCATAAAGGGCACCCAGGCATCGTCCGCATGAAGGCCCTGGCACGGAGTTACGTCTGGTGGCCCGCACTGGACAAAGACATTGAAGAATGGGTCTCCAGATGTGACCCGTGCCAGGAAGTTCGCCCAGCGCCGCCACAAGCCGAAACAGCGAAGTGGGAGACCCCCAGCAACCCCTGGTCGAGGATACATATCGACTTCGCGGGCCCGATGCAAGGGCGCCACCTCCTCATCGTGGTAGATGCCTTCTCCAAGTGGCTCGAGGTGGTACCCATGGCATCTACCACAACGGAAGCGACGATCCGGGCCCTGCGCCGCCTTTTCGCCACCCATGGCCTACCGGATGTGCTGGTCTCCGACAACGGCCCCCAACTCACATCCCTGGCCATGGAGGCGTTCCTGGCAGGACTGGGCATCCGCCATGCCCTGTCCGCCCCGTATAGGCCAGCTGGGAACGGACAAGCGGAACGGATGGTGAGGCTCACCAAGGAGGCACTCACCAAGATGGGCACGGGCGACTGGCAGGAAAGAATAGACAACTTCCTCCTCACCCAGCACATCACGCCGCATGCCACCACCCACAAGAGCCCGGCTGAACTGTTGATGGGCAGAAGGTTGAGGTCACCACTGGACCGGCTGCACCCACAATACAGCCCAGAAGTGACCGCAACGGCCAGCCGCCCGCTTCGCGCCTTCAGCAAAGGAGATTCGATTTTCGCGCTGAATTTCCACGGCTCTCCTAAGTGGCTGAAGGGGAAGATAGACAGCACAACTGGCCCAAGATCCTACACCGTGGAGCTGGAAGATGGACAGGTCTGTAGACGTCACATCGACCAGCTCCGGAAAAGGTGGGGGGGAGTGCAAGAAAACCAGCCTGACGGGGGAGGCCTACAACACCCCGACGAGGTAGGCCTGCAACACCCCTGCGAGGTAGGCCTGCAACACCCCGGCGAGGAAGGCCTACGACACCCCTGCGAGGTAGGCCTACGACACCCCGACAAGGTAGGCCTACCACACCCCGGCGAGGCAGACCACCACCACCCCGACGAGGCCGGCCAAGCGCACTACCAGGCGCTGACACAGCGGCAGTCCGGAGCGGTAGACCGGGGTCAGCCGAATGGAGGGTGGCAACACCAACCCAGCGAGGTGGGCACCCGGCACGACAGGGCGAGAGACCGCCATCACAGCACACGAGTAGACCGGGACCTGCCCAGAGGGGAAGCACCACACCCCGCCAGCGAAGGCAACCCACATCAGCCCTGCCAGGGAGACCTCCACTCCAGGCGAGTAGACCGGGGACCATCGGAGATGGGCACACCGCAGCCCATGGGCAAGGGTGGCACACGACTCCCCGGCGAGAAGGATCCCCATCCAGCACAGAAGACAACCCGGCAACAACAACAACCCAGCCCAGATGACTCCAGCCACCAACCTGCGGTAGACCAGGGACTAGGGCGAAGGGAAAGCCGACAACAACCCGGCCAGGGAGGCCTGCGCCACCCCGACAGGGGAGACCGCCACCAACCCGCGGAGGTAGCCCCGCAACGACAGCCCGACCAGGGCGACCACTACCGACCTGACGGGGGAGGCCAACACCAGCCCGGCCAAGGAGACCTGCGCCACCCCTGCGAGGTCGGACACCACAACCCGAACCAACACCATCCACAGCTGGCAGACCGGACCCGAGGGCACCGATCCGAACCACCCACCAGGCAACAACGAGCCGAACCGCGACCGAACCGCAGCGCCCGGGAGACCGGGGAAGAGCAAGTGACAGCCGGTGACTTACCAAGACTCAGACGCTCTTCCCGGGTCGGAACCGAGCAGCATCAACGAGGCGAGAGATCCACAGGCCAGGAGGAAGACCACCAGAACCAGCCATCCAGGGCCTGCGGTCCGGCCGGAGGCGCTGAGGGTGACCCCGCACACTCGCCAGCCGAACCGAGCCCGGTTCCGGGGAAGGAACCAGAAGACGGAGGAGCCCCGTCCGTCCAGGGCGGGGACGAGGAAGAAGTGAGACTGCGCAGGTCAACTAGGGCGCTGAGGCGTCCTACGTACCTGCGGGACTACGTGACGTTTATAAATGAACTTTGAAATTTTTGTCGGACTAAGGGGGGAGGAGTGTTATGTCCTTATAAGGACATCCGCCCGGATTGGCTGCCAGCCATCGGGCGGGAAAGTTTGAATCGCTGTCAGGGGCGGTGCGACTGCCGGAGCGAATATAAGGAGAGCTCCGGCAGCGCACAGCCAGTCTTGCTACTGTTTCTTGTTCTCAATAAAGTTACTAATGTAACGAGCTGGTCGCGTCTTCCATTCCTGCGCCGATCTAACATTCTTGGAAATGGAGTCTTCAAGGAGAAACATCTGGGAGAAGGAACCTTCAAGAAGATGAGAAGATCTGGCTGGTGGAAAGTCCCTCTGACTGAGAAATTGCTCTGTTTCCCAAGTAGGCAGAAACGAAAGGCCTGGCCAAAAAAGAATCAGAAGTTCCATAAAATTAGGGATCAAAGGGGCACATTTTGAAGGAAAAGGAGCTTTGGGGTATCTCAGCTGGATCTCCTCTTGGTCATTGATTATAAGGCTCTCTAAGTACGAACTGGTTAGAAAAGGAAACTTTGGATCCATTTATACATAAATTTTAAGAATTCTTTCTGATGCCTTTTAGCCAAAGCAGTTTGATCCAAACTCTCTCCATGGATTTGTGGGTCTTTGATTGTGTGCGAGAGAGGGAGGGAGGGAGGGAGCTGGAGTCAGAAAGAGCTGAGCTTCTCCACCTATAAGCTGAGAGAGCGACTTTCTCACCCTCTTTTTCTTTCTTTCTTTTCCAGCAAGTGACAAAGGATCCCAGACTTCAGACCAGGGTGAGTCAGAGGGAGCTGCTTCTGCTGTATGAGCCATTCTCTCCCTTTGCAAGACTTTGGGTGGATGACGGGATGAAAAGAGGGAAAGGCCTCCATTTTTTGAAGGCTCCCCCCAATTCATCCTCCCTGGGTTCTCACTGAGTCTGCTTCTGGTGGAATAATTAAAATAATTGCACCCACTTTGGCTTAAGTGGTGAGGGCACCAGGTCAGACCATGATGTTCTAGTCCCACCTTAGGCATGAATGTCACAAAATTCTCTTTCCTTGCACTGGTTCATTCTGCAGAGGAGAAGGGAAACTCTCCCTGTTGGATTCAGGCAGGTTAGGCAACCCAGAGTCTGCTTGGTGGATCCTGGCCCCCTTTGGAGGAAATTGCCTCCAATTCTTTGAGGGGAAATAGGGAAACCACCATGATCCCCAGTGGTTAGAGACTCTTCTGGTGGAATAGCTGAGACCTGGCTGACTCTGGGAGGGGAGGGGGGTTCCCTCTGTCAGTGATGTGCCCAGTGGGTTTAATGTTTGGCCCCAACCGATACCCCAGGGCAGGGGAAGTGGGGTGCAGTGCTCATCTGAGAATCTTTGTTGGCACTCAGGTGCCTTTGCTCCCCAGGTTTCTGGTTATGACTCCCCGTTTCTGACTCTGGGCTCACTGGATCAGTTGGGCTTGTTGCTACATACCAGCCTCCCTGCTGCATGGCCACCTCCCTGCCTCAGCTGCTGGGGGCCACCTCAGGGTTGGCATGGACTTGCCCAGGATTATGGTCCTGGGAGACTTCAATCTGCCACCCCTGGGTTTGGCCTCAGAAGCAGCCCAGGGGTTCATGGCCTCCATGGCGGACATGGGCCTCTCCCAGACCATCCTGGACCCGCCTCAAGGCAGTGGTCAATAAACTCCGGATGTGATCTACTTGCCAGAGTAATGGTGACATGATCTGATGGGGGAATCTGGTTTTTATATATCGTTTTAAATATTCTACATGGCATTTTATTGAATTTAACTGTAAGGTGCCTAGAGTTACCTGGGCGAGATGGGTGACACAGAAGAAGTTTGGTGATAAATAAATAAATAAATAAAAAGTCAGATGTCCTCTGAGAAGTTCATGAAGCTGCAGAGGTTGAATGGTGAAGGGAGAGATTTGTCCTCCTCAGAGGATCCAGACAAGGCAGAGACTCACTTGGGGTCTTTCTCTCCAATGCAGGAAGCAACCAGGTCATTTAGCTGCCCCCTCGCAGGTGAGTTTCCCCCTCTGGAGGCTGCATGGGGGGAGAGGGAGGGAGGGAGGGGAGGGCTTTGGGGTCACATGACCAGTGGATGGGGAACATAGTTTGGGAAATCCCTCTTCTCTCTCCTGTTCATCTCAACCACTGTAAGGGAAGGAAGGAATTTGGGGGAAGAGGCATTGGGGCTCTGGGGAGGGGTCTGCCTGCCCCCAGACTCTTATCCAGCAAGGCCAGACTGTGGCCAGAGCCCTCTCAGGATCTGACTCTCTTGGGTCAGGACTCAGGAGGCTGAGAGACCTGCAAAGAGGAGATCAGAGGGTTCCCACTGCAAGGAGGGAAAGAGGGACAGAAGAGGGACTTCCTGAAGATCCTCCAGTCATAGATGGAGAGGGGGCTTCTCTCCCCTCTTTGATCCCATCTGGGAATCCCTCCCTCTAGATGCTGAAGAGAAGACTTGGACTCTCTGGAGGCCATGAATCCATTTCCACTTGTCTCTGGACTAAAATTGAAATTTTGTATTTGAGGGGGGATATTGATACGTGTTATATAACTTTTGGAGCAGGTGCTCCCCCACCTCAGGAGCCAGTCCCAGCCCTGCACCTCCCCTCCCCCCTGCAACTCTGAAAATCCCACCCAGTTGATCCCTCTCTTGAGGCTTCTGCTCTTATACTGGGCTGATCTTTGTTGATCCCTCAACCTGGGTGGTGGGATTCCTCCTCTGGGCTCGTTCCCAGACTGACCCTGCCTGCCTTTTCCCTTTTCTTGACAGCACGAGTGGACAGTCCCAGCAAGAGGAGAGAGGGGAGAAGATGGGATCGACCTTCCTCTGAATTAGGCCGGACACTCAGGAGGAGCCCTTCAGGGCCTTCCAGCATGCAGGAACCAGGATGTATTTTGGGTCTTTCGTGATGGCTTTTATCATCGAATCAGTAACCGTTTTTATTTTAATTGAGGAAGAGAAGAAGAAAGAAAATCTTATGTGTTTATAATCGTGGGATCAAAAGGACTCAACTTGGGTTTAGTAGATATTTATTTAATTATATATATCCTGCCGAAGGTATCAAAGATACCCAACACATCTTCCTCCTCCTATTTTCCCCACAAAAACGACAACCCTGTGAGGTGAGTTGGGCTGAGAGGGAGTGATTGGCCCAAAGTCACCCAGCTGCCTTCCATGGCTGACACAGGACTTGAACTCACGGTCGCTTTCTAGCCTGCTGCCTTCACCACTAGGCCAAACTGCCTTGTATAGCTTATAATGGCTTTGTAACATAGCTTGTAGCAGCTATTTCTGTTATTTCCGAGGACCTTTAATGGGCTCCTGCTGAGTGAGTAACAGGTTTTAGAGAAGGCTTCGTGGAGAATGGGGGGAGGAGTAGGATGAAGAGTTGCTGCTTTTACTTTATAAGGGAGATAGTTAAACTGTTAATCTCCATCATACGTGCTTGGATTGAAAGGGGAGTTTTTTCCCCATCTCTTTATTTTTTTTCCTATTAATTGTATAATAGATAGTATGTATAATGCAGACTTGTCAAACTGGATGGATACTGTTGTGGCTCCGTTACCTGAGCCTGTGTCATCGGCAGGAGAGGACTCCGAGAGTGAAGGAGAGGAGTTGGCAAGGCCTCCCTCTCCAGGACCCTCCTCTCTGGCAATGCCTTCGGTGTCCGCCGAAGAGCAAGAGATAGGGCCGGGGCCAAGCACGTCCACGCAGCCACAGATGGACAGTGATGAGGGTAATAAGTCTTGGCTGGACCCACGCCAGCGCCGCAGAGATAAGCGCATGCAACAGAAGAAAGGGCGTGCCCGAGATTAGGCTGAGTCACTGGACCACACCCCACAGGATATAAAAGGGAGCGTGGTGGCCAGTCAAACCTTGTGACGAACAAAGCTGAAAGCTTCCACGCCATTCTGCATTGCCGGACTTTTGCTTTAAGACTTTGCTGGAAGTATCTCTGGACTTGATTTAATTCCGTAATTATTGAATGCTTTCCTTTGATGTATTAGAAGTGGGGAGAAGTCATCTCTCCTCTTTGTAAATAATAAACTCTTGGCAGGCAGCCACTAGGTTGTTGCCAAGTTCCGTTATCATAAGGAAAAAGATTTTGCTGGCTGGTTTGGTCTTTAACCCCTGAACGTCTGTTGGTGTGTGTGTGTGGGGTTGGGGACAGAACATGCAGGCCACGCCCACCCTGGCTCCGCTGAGGCAAAAACATCGTGATACGTCACGATCCGGCCCGTGACACGATTGAATTTGACACCCCTGGTATAATGTGCAATAGAATCTTCCAAAAAAAATATATATTTCTTTTAAAACAGAAGTGTGCGTTCTGAGATTTATGCCACTAAAGTAAATTCATTTCAATTTTTTAAAAAATTAAACTTTACCATATATTTGATCGTCCAAAGTTTGACAAATAATTAATATACCAAGTGTAGCTTTCAAACACTAAATGATTCCAGATCGTCATTTATGGAGTTTCATGCTATAGAAAAAGGGAACATGAGATGGATTACACAGCCAGGCTGCTACCTCCTTAACAATTGTACATATATTGTAAGTTTGCCAAAATTATTTGCTATAAATAAATGCTTTTGTTTTCTTCCCACTTGAGTTGCTGCCTGTTTTGGGAGGTATAATAATCCAAATTCAGAAGGGGGAATATGCTTTGGGGTACAGGCTCACTTTGTGTTTGCTGCAAATGTTTAAAAGATTTGTGCAGAGGGGCAGGAAAAAGCACAATGGATGTGAGGTATTGAGAGGTCTGGAGTGTGTGCCCACACAAGCTACAAATTCCTCTTCCCCTTTCAAATCCAGATTGTTGTACAACTTCAAGAGAGGTAATTGAAAATTTGAAATCTTCATTTTTTGGGCTCTTTTTTGGGCCGTTTTCAGCCATTTTTCAGGCTGTTTTGGATGTTCAGTAGTAGTAAATAAATAGGGAAATTGTACTTTGTTGAGGGCTTTGATTCAATTTCCTTCTCTATATATTTACTACTACTGAACATCCAAAATGGCCGAAAAACAGGCGGGTGTGGGGCCAGCCAGTGGTGAGTCGTTTCACTGAACTGGGCAGAATTTTAACAACCAGTTTGCCCGAATCGGTCCGAACTGGCTGAATCCCACCTCTGTTTCCTGGCTATGATAGCAATGCCAGTTCTTTGTTAATCACCTCCCAAGGAATAAAATTGTGTGTTTGTTTCAACGCAGTTGAATAAAAATAATAACACTACAGCCTCAACTTTTTTCTTTTGCAAACTTAAAATATACTAACTATTTTTATAACAAGAAACTGGTCTAATCAATAAAACGCAAAGACAAAAGTTTTGTTTTTTTCTGTCTCAACAAAATCTAGAAGCAGTTTCCAAGTAGAAACAGAAGAATCCAAGTGGATGTATTCTTATTCTTATTATCTTTATTCATTAAATAAGAAACTCAGTCAACTGAGCATTCAAAAATGCATCACAAATACCATTTGCACACCAGAACAACTAGACACAAGAACAGTTTTTTCCCAAACACCATCACCCTGTTAAACAAATAATTCCCTCAATACTGTCAAACTAGTTACTAAGTCTGCATTGTTGTTCTGTCCCGGCTACGGATCCCAAAGAACGCAGCACACACAAAGTCCGTTCAAACCTTAGTTTACTAAATAAACCAGTCTTTTACAACAACGGCTGTTAATTAACTGCATTAACAGCCGCCAAGAATTCAAAGAATAATAACTGAAAGCTTACTATGGTGGCAGAATGCCCAGAAGCAATTTGCAGGAAGCTGATAAGATAAGACAAAACATGAAGGTATGTGAACTAAGTTGTTCCCTGCAAATTGCTTCAGTCGGCGTTCCTCCTTAAATAGGCTAAGGGAGTGGCCAGTTAGCCCCAAGCCTTACTCTCGAGGAGACCTCCTCCTGAGGAGCCACTCCTGCCTTTTGGCAGCTCTGCGTGCCTGTGCATCGAGAAGAGGCTCCTCCTCTTCGTCCTCTTCACATAAGGGAGCTTCTGGAGGTTCTGAAGGCCCTGGCTGAATCTCCGCCTCTGACACCACATCTTCTCCAGCCTCCTCATTGTCTGATTCGAGTGCCAGCTGCACAGGCTGCTGGCGCAGCACCACACCAGCCTCCTCACTGTCTGAATCAGCTACTAGCTGCACAGGCCACTGATGGGCCACAACAGCACTACTATTAATCTTCTCATTGTTACCATCACCCATCTCCTTCCACTTATGAGTGTGCGACTGGCTTGTATCCTTATGATTTATATTGATATTGATTGTTTCTTTTATGTACTTTGAGAGCGTATGCACCAAGACAAATTTCTTGTGTGTCCAATTACACTTGGCCAATAATAAATTCTATTCTATTCTAAGATCACTTGGAGTTTCTGACCTGGAACATAGAATCATAGGACTGGACCTCAGGGATTGTCTAGTGACTAGACTCTAGTCCAACTTTCTGCTTAAGGCAGGAGAGCTTATACCCATGATAGCGAACCTATAGCACGCATGCCACAGCTGGCACGCAGAGCCCTCTCTGCGGGCACGTGAGCTGTTACCCAGCTCACTTCCACTGCACATGCGCACGTGCCTCCCGCTGGCCAGCTGATTTTCGGGATGCGCATGTGGGAGATGTGCACACATGCGAGGGGAGCGCATGCTTGCGCAGGAGTGTGGAGAGCGTGGGATGAGAGCGGAAGCTCTCCACTTCTTCTGGAAGTGGGAAACGGGCTTGTTTCCAGCCTTTGGAGGGCCCCCAAAGCCGAGGGGAAGCTGTTTTCGCCCTCCTGGAGGCTCGAGCAAAGCCTCTAGAGCCTGGGGAGGGTGAAAAACAGACCTCCTGGAAGTTCTGGAAATGGGCCTGTTTCCAGACACTGGAGGGCCTCCAGAACCTGGGGGAGGCTGTTTTTGCCCTCCTTAGAGGCTCAAGGAAAGTCTCCGGAGCCTGGGGAGGGCAAAAAATAGGCCTCTTGGAAGTTTTGGAAGTCCGGAAATCAGCCTGTTTCCAGCCTCCAGAGGGCCTCCAGTGCCCGGGGGAGGCCATTTTCACCCTCCCGGAGGCTCGAGGAAAGACTCTGGAACCCAGGGAGGGCATTTCTGCCATGGTGCAGGTTGCTAACATTTTTGAATCCCACTCCTTGCATGCATGCGTGGGGTGGGGGTCACGGCGGGGGTCGCATAGTCTCTTGGGGAGATTTCAGCCTCTTGCTGGGACTCCAGTTTAGATTTGGCTGAGTCTGAAGTTGGGAGAGTCCTGTCTTCTTCTGAGTTGGGAAAAGGCATCAGAGTTCCGCCCCTTTCAAAGGCTTTGGTCAAAATGTAGCAGAGAAGGGTTTTCATGAAAAATCTTCCTCCCCTCCCAACTGCTGCTGTTCTTTCTCTCAGTTCTCCTCCATCCATCTTGGAGGCAGAAGGTCTTTTTTGGGACAAATCTGTTCAGTTTGTAGTTTGAAGATCTTCCTGTGTCTCTTAATAGGAATGGCCTGGAGTTGTTGTGACTAAACAACTGTAAAATACCTCTGGGACAGGGGTGAAATGTAAAATGTGTTACTACTGGTTCTGTGGGCGTGGCTTGGTGGTGGTGGGTAAAGAGAATGGGTGGGCGTGGCCAACTTTTTTTTTTTAACTTTTCAAAGCATTTTTTCTAATGCTTTGAAAAGCCTCTGCCGATCAGGCAACTCAGCTGGGATCGTCAGAGACTTTTTTTTTTAACTTTTAAAAGCATTTTTTTCATCGTAAGAGGTTGTAGAAAAAATGCTTTTAAAAGTAAAAAAAAAAAAAAAAGCCTCTGATGATCGTGCAACTCAGCTGGGCATGGGGGGGGGGCAGAGATTTTTGCTACCGGTTCTCCGAACCACCCACCGCCATCGCTACCGGATTGGGTGATCCGGTCCGAACCGGGAGCATTTCACCCCTGCTCTGGGGGCTTTTCTTTCTAAACAGGGGGAAATTCATATGCTCTCTGGTGGATTCTTTTGAACTTTGACTATTTTTTCTTTTTGCAGAGAAATATCAAAATAAGTACAGAGCAACATCAAGTGAGTGGTTTGTCCTCTTTACATGGTAGGTCCAAGTCAGGGTGAGAATCAGAGGCAGCATCAGTTGAGATGTAGATGTGAGTATGTATGTACAAACACAAAAGAAGCTCATGAAGAGTTGTGTTAACTTCCTCTTCCTCTCAAGAAATCATCTGTGGAAAGTGGGTCTCTTTTCACAACAGCCAGGCTGTTCTTGGGAGTGGAGACCCCAAGGAGAAACATCTGGGACAAGGAGCCCTCAAGAAGGTGAGAAGATCCAGCTGAATGGAAGATCCCTCTGACTGAGAAGCTGCTTTGTTTTCCAAGAAGGTGGAAAGGAAAGGCTTGGACATCATGTTATTTATTTTTATTTATTTTGTCAAGCATGTATTAGATACCAGATATCAGTGTAGACATAACTATGAATACATGAGATGGATACGAATAAATGGGGACAGTAGGACAGGGATGGTAGGCACGCTGGTGCGCTTATGCACGCCCCTTAAAGACCTCTTAGGAATGGGGTGAGGTCAACAGTAGACAGTTTAAGGTTAAAGTTTTGGGGGTTTGGGGAAGAAACCACAGAGTCAGGTAGTGCATTCCAGGCATTGACCACTCTGTTGCTGAAGTCGTATTTTCTGCAATCGAGTTTGGAGCGGTTTACCAGGACAGTCAATGGAGAAGCCGGCAGGTAAAGTGGCAGTCATATGATGTCTTTGTTATGTAAAATGTCTAACTTTGTTATGTAAAATGTCTGTATCCCTACCTCCCTACAGTTCTGCAAGGGTTAACAATATCACACGCCCTCTCATTTCCATAATCCTACCTGATTCCTGACTCCTCCCCTTTGGTATAAAAAGGACTCTCTGAGGTAATCTTGTTCCAGTTCCAGCTGTGTATCTGTATGAGATAAACATAAGGTCAATAACCATTCAATAAAAGGCCTAGAATCTATCCAGGTCTAGAATAAAAGACTGAAAATAAAATACTCTTTGATTAGTGAGTTATTGGGTTAGAACCATCATCCTTAACAGTCTTGCTTAACGACCAGGGATTCACCTCATGTGCTCACATGAAGTTTCACGGAATGACCACACTTCTTGATGACAAATTTTCCAGCCCCTATTGTCATACATCAAGGACTATGTGCAGGAAAACGGTTTGGGATGCAAGCAAAGCTTTTACGACAGGATAGTTTAAACTTTAAGATAACGGAGAAAAGGCAAGATGAACACACAAGCGATTTTGGATGAGACAAGAAAAAGGAAGTTTTTCAAAAAGTTTCCAAAGAGGACAACTATTGCCTGCCAAATTAAGCTTCCACGGAGGCAATTCTCTATGAAAATTAATAATTAAATAGTTCACTAACAAAGTGTTATCTGTAAGAGAATTGGAAATCAAGATGAATTATGCAAAAAAAAAGAAATCTGGAATTTGCAAACACTGTGAAAATGGTTGGTATATAAATTGGGTAAAGAAAAAAAAAACAGCCGTCAAAAGGAGAGCAGAACAGAGGTCCGATTGGTCATTGCCTAGCAACAGAGTAAATGTTCCGATGAGTGACAGTTGGCTGCTGCCTATAGAAGAGGTTGGGATGCCTTCGTTCTCTTTGCTGGAAACCACATTTAGCTCAGATGGATATGAATTTCACATTTGAATCTCAGCCCTGTAGACCTGCTCGACCTTGGGCTAACTTTAGATGATTCTTGGAAGCTCCTCTTTGAAGAACATATTTTGCAGGCCAGGCTTCACTTTGGTTGAACTTCCTGGGGATATTTGTGTTACCTGATAACGATACCTGATATTCTCTTGCAGGACTAAAATTAAATACAGGCAGCGCTTTGCCTGGGATTTCATTATTGGCATTTTAAAAGGGGACATTTGCACTTTTAACATGGCAGTTTGGATATAATTTTTTTAACATTAAGGCAGCGTGTTTTTCTCTCCTTTGCCAAGGCCGTTTCTTTTGGTATGGGAGAACTTGCTTTTTCAGCAACTACACAACAGAAAGTGTCTTCTGGAAGACTTTTGGAGGCACCTGCAAGTCAGTGGTGGGTTCCTACCAGTTCGCCCTGGTTCACACAAACTGGTAGCGGCAGCAGCGAGAGGCTCCACCGACCCGCCCGGATGTCATCACAGACGGTCTGCGCATGTGCAGAAAGTTCTGCACACGTGCAGAAGCAATGCACGCATGCAAATTGCCCACACGTTCACGAGAGCGAAGCAGTAACGAAGGAAAGTGGAACCCACCCCTGCTGCAAGTATTAAGCAAGATAAAAATTTATCTGGAAAAGAGAGTATATAGACCCGTGATGGCGAACCTATGGCACGCGTGCCACAGGTGGCAGGCGGAGCCATATTAGTGGGCACACCAGCTCAGCTCTGGGGCGCATGCGCGCGCTGGCCAGGTGATTTTCGGGCCTTCTGGACCCACCAGAAGTAGGGAAACAGGCTGTTTCCTGCCTCTGGAGGGCCGGGGGGGGGGGGAGAAGGCCCGTTTTTCTTTCTTACCTGGCTCCAGATCCTCTCTATTTATCTGGGAAGGGCGAAAACAACCTTTCCCACCCCCTTGGAGGCCCTACGGAGGCTGAAAGGGCCCATTTCCTGACTCCCGGTGGGACAGGAAGTGACGTTTTTTCCTGTCCCCAGCCTCCAGAGACTCCTAGAGAGGCTCCTACAGACTCCTAGAGAGGCTCCTACAGACTCCTAGAGAGGTTCTGGAGGCTGGGCTGGTTTTATTGTTTGATCACTTGCTTTCTGTCATTTCACATATAACAAAAGCATGTATTGTTTCTGTAACCAATAACTATTTAAAAATAGTTTCTATCCTTGGGCTGTCAGACTCTTAAACATGACCACAATCACTCCACGCACACATGGAAACGTATGACTAATTTTTATTTTTATTTTTATTTCCCCCCCTAATTGCATAAGGATTATTCTTTATACTATTTATATTGTTTGTATTTTTTGTCGTGGATTGCACCAGTGAGGCTAAAACCAATTTCGTTGTATACATGATGTACAATGACAATAAAGGCTATATTATACATAAAAAGATTTGGGCCCGTCAGGTTCTTTAAACTACCGTGTTTCCCTGAAAATAAGACCCTTGGATTTGCAAGGCAATGGGATGCGTGTGCGTGAAGAACATGGCGGCGACAAACATGGTGGCCAGGGTGAGCGAGTGGTGACCGGGGGACAGGTTCGGGGGCGTGGCCAGCCAGCCATTACTACCGGTTCTGCGACCAATGACAAATTTTTACTAGCGGTTCTCCCGAACCGGTGCAAACCGGGAGAAACCCACCACTGGATCAGTCTGTTAAAACAGACAAAGGTTACGCCTGCTGTGAACCCAGAGAGAAAAGAGAGGATCTGAAGGGGAGGCTCATCCTGCAGACGGCCAGTTTCCAGGGACTCCCCAGGAATTGGAAGCTCCCTCTAATGGCCTCGGCCTTCTTCATCGGTAGAAATACAGACGGGTGAAAGGGAGGCAGAAGGTCCCTCTGTAAGCTGATGCCTCCGTTGGGTTCTGTTTTCTTTGCAAGGGTGGCTGGAACGAGGGAGAAAAGTTTCATCTGTTTATGTTTACAGAAATGGAGAGCCTCACCTTTAGGACAGAAGTCCAAATCTAGCATGTTGTGTAAAATACGCCTCAGATATTCACACAGAAAGTTTGTTATTTACAAGCAATCTATGTGAATTCTTTCACAGGATTACTGTTCACTCCCGATCAATTACATTTGTCCTTTTGGGAAGAAGATTACATTTATTGTACTTGGTACAAGAGAACAAAACCTTCCTATCCTATCATTGTCAGGAATTGCCTGTCGCAGGTCTGTAGTTTGTCTGTGTGTCTCTCAAGGAAGCTGCCAAAGAGAAGGGAAGCTTAGACAATCCAGTAGGTAATTTGATCAGTTCAGCTTTTGCTGGCTTGTTTCTACATAATTTGATTTGTTTCTGGCTGGCTTGGTGCTTCAACACTAGTTGAGAGCTTTCTTTTGATGGGATGGTTTTCCTTTTACCCCCTTTGGTAACTGAGAGGAGAAACTTTTCCTACTGGTTGAGATCAGCCAATCACCAGCTCACACTGGATTATTGTATTGTTGGTCTTTGGGAGCGTGTCTTTCCCTGCCTGCAACTTCAGGAGAGAGGAGCGCAGGCTGAGGATCGCGGCCAGGATGCCTCTGCACTCTCTGGCTCTGTCGCTTCTGCTATTGGTGGCGGTCGCTTTATGGGAGAGCTGCTTCGGTGAGTCCCTTCAGGGGCCATCAGGGGTTCTGGCCCCTTTTTCTGTTGGTGGGAATCCATCCAGGGAATCTTTCTCCTCCCCACCCCCCAAAAAAGATTATTCCCAGAAAGAGAATCCTGATTTAGTCCTCTTTCTAGTCCGCTTCCCCTCCCCCTCTGGCCACTCTCAGAAGGAACCTCAAAGGGTGGATGGGATTCTGCTGCCTCTTCTCCCCCAGGGGAGCCCCTCTGGGAACAGGACAAGGGTGGCCCCTCCAGATGTTAGTCAAGTCTACCTGGGCACCCTCAAGCACAGTTCTTTTCCCTCCCCCAAAGTGGAGGTTTTCAGCCGTGTTTGCTGGTGATCAGGTCAGTTCACAAACCTCTTGGTTACCTTCGCCCAACCCCTCCACCTGGATCCTCTTTCCTGCCTTTAGCTGTGATTTGTGGCTATTTGTGGCTTCTGGTGCTAGGACGACCCGGCTTGTGTCTAGAATCGGTTCAGTGTATTGGCCGACCCGGAGGCTGGTGTAATTGAACCGTTGGGATAAGGCTGCCTTGTGACTGCAACAGGATAAGAGACTAGAGAGAAACAGTCCTTGAATAATGTTTCTAAAGATCCCGCCTTCTTGACTGTCACTTTCTCCTCGATCCTCTGGTTTCTCCTCTAAGGCAGATTTCATTGCTCAGCAGGACAAGGGAAAGAAGCAGGTTCTGGATCACGGAGAGTCAGATCCCCCCCTCCTATTCTTAGAGAAAAGCTCTGATCCCTTTGGATGCTGAAATCTCCCCAGAGCAGGAAGTGGATCTGGGGCTCCCTCTCCCCAAAAGCTCTGAGAAGCCCCTGGGATTGTGGGGAGGAGCAGGAAGAAGGAGACCCAGGCCTTTTCCTGTGACTGCGAAGGACTGGGAGACCATACGGGACAGAATAGGAAGTCAGACTATTTCTTTCTCTGGGCTGTGCAAGTATTTCCTTTTTCTGTGTAGATCCAGGTTCTGCCCAAATAAGTCCCGTGAATGATCCTGAAAATGATCTTTAAAATCTTTGGTGCCCTGGGACCCCCCCCACCCCAGCAGGGGGGTGGGGTTTTGACGGAGGCCTTTCTGGAAGGGGAGAGGGCAGAACTGAACATGACTGCACAAAGTTTGGGGATCCTGCTCTCTCTTTGGCCCTGGTTTCCCTTCCCTTCCTCTCTCTCCCCCAACCTCTCTGCCTTCCAACCCTTCAGGCCCTCCAGAAGATGCTCCTGTCAGGTTTCGTTGCTATCTTAAATAAACTTCATTCTCAAACGCAAGGTCTCTAATGAATCTTTTTTTATTTAAGAATAGGAGAACGACATCCCTGAACTCTGTGTGCAGCCAAAACTGGCACCTCCTTCCAACCCCTCCCTTTCCGTTCTTCAACCCCAATGTCTCATTGGCCATCGTGCAGATCCATCTCTTCGTCCCAAGCACTTTCTTTCCACAGGAATTTCCCCCCTCCCTCTGTCACCCAGGTAACGCTATCTACTAAAGAGCAGGGAACTAGGTAAAAGTTCATCTCAGCATTAAAGCAAAGCTTCTCCCTCTTTCATTCATGTCAGCGCTGGAGGAGATCATAATTTGGAACGCTGACAGCTCCTTTGCCTCTTGGTCATTCCCTCTTTCCACCCTCTGCTTTTTCTTTCTCTCCCAACATCTCTCCCTTCATTTTCCCCTTCCTCCTCCACCCCCCAAGTCTCTTCTTCTTCCTTCCAGACCTGAAAAGGGGTCCAGCTGTGTCCCACAGGATCAGAGTCCTTCAGCCGAAGTCCCTTAACTCTGTCCCTCTGGCTCCATTCCAGGCACCTCCTCCCACTCCCTGAAGTATTTCTACACCTCCACCTCGGACCCCAATCAGGGGCTGCCCCACTTTGTTCTTCTGGGGATTGTGGATGGTCAGGTCTTTGTTCATTATGATACTCACAGCCGGAAGCTGAAGCCTCGAGTCTCCTGGGTAGAGAAGGCGGGGAAGCTGGATCCCAAGTACTGGGACAGTCAGACCCAGATATCACATGGCGAAGAGGAGGCATTCATAGTAAGCCTGGAGAATCTGAGGAGTCGGTACAATCAGAGCGAAGGTGAGTGATGGGGTAGGTGGCTCCTCCTGCACCATATTCCCCATTCCCAGGAACCAGAGGGGGGGGGGAGGGGAGACCAGGGGGGTGTCACTTCAAAGGGAAAGGCTGTTTCCATACCTTTTAAAAATAATGTCTATTCTTTTTTTAAAAATCAGTATAAGATTGTCCTTGCCTCCATAGCTGACATTTTCTGCCAACTACAGTTAATAAAAACATTTTTAAAGGTATCCATCTATCTGTCTGAATATTGATAGGATGCCCCTGGTGGAGAAGGGAGGAAGGAGACAAGCCAGAGTGGAGGGGAGCCTCCTTTTTCAGGCCTGTTTGTATGTTTCTGCTTAGCCCAAAATGGGAACCACCCAGTAGTGGGTTTCAAATCCCATTGCTACCGATTCGCTTTTGGGCACGTGCGTGTGCACCTGCACAGAAGCATCCGGTGGGTGGGTGGAGCTTCCCGCCACCGCTACCGGTTTGCCCGAACTGGTAGCAACCCACCACTGGAACCACCCCTTGTGACCTGCTTATATTTGTGAATATTTGTGAATATAGAGCCAAGATTTATAGTCACAGGGATCCCTGCAGGCTTCTTTGCAGATCTACCAGATCCTCTTCGAGGCCACAAGATTGTCAGTCACACTTTGCAGCCACAGATTCAGCAACTCTCTGGGATCCATCCCTTCCTTCCCCCCCCAAGAGTCCGCCCTGCAGAGAAATGGCAGAAGGAAAGATGGAAGGATATCCGTCCCTCCAATTTTTCTGCAATTCCTTTTTTTCCTGGGTCTCCCTTGGGATCCTCTGCTGGCCTTTCCAGGTTCCCTTTTCTTGGCGAGGTTCAGGGGCTCCATCCCTGGTTGGGGGGGGGAGGAAATGCAAGGAGGCAGGTCAAGGGAGGGGAGAAGGGCGGTTATTGATGGGGGCTTTCTTTCCCTTGAAGGCTAGGGAGGAAATGGGGGTGTCAGTGCCCTTGTCAACGTTCCTGCAGCGAAGGAGGGTCTCTGTCTATCTTGAGGACTCCAAACCATCATGTTGCCCCTATTTCAGGCCTTCACACATTGCAGAGGATGTATGGCTGTGAACTCTGCGCAGATGGGAGCAAAAGAGGGTTTCTGCAGCTTGGATATGACGGAAGGACCTTCATCACCTTCGACAAGGAGACCCTCACCTGGGTGGCTCCTAACCCCTTGGCCCAGATCACCCAGAGGAAATGGGATGCTATTCCGGGAAAGAGTCAGGGACATAAGGCCTACCTGGAGGAAATCTGCATAGAGTGGCTCCAGAGGTACCTGTCCTACGGGAAGGACACACTCCTGAGGACAGGTGAGCATCTGGATCCAGGCGGGACTTTCCTTCTTTATGGCCGGATCTCTTGTACACATTCAGCTCTTTGGGTCCCTGGCCGGATTTCTTGAACGCATTTGGCCCCTTTGGGTCCATTGTCTTGGATGCCCAGGAGGGAATCTCCTTCCAGCACCTCTCCAGCACACAGGAAGCTCTGTTTGGTTGTGGAGTGGAAGGTACTGGGAGACTTTTCTGCCACTCCCAAGTTTCTCATCCACCTTCTAGGCTCTGGTAGGACTCAGTTAATTCTGGGGGTGCCATTTCTGCAGAGCCCCCAGTGGTGACAGTGACCAGAAGGACAGAGACTGAGGATGGGATGGAGACGCACATCTGCCAGGTCCACGGCTTCTACCCCAAGGAGATCGATGCCTCCTGGAGGAGGGACGGGGAGATCTGGCTGCAGGACACCCTCCATGGGTCCGTAGCCCCCAATGCGGATGGGACCTACCACTACTGGCTCAGCATCCGGATCGATCCCAAAGAAAGGGGACGCTATTGGTGCTATGTGGAACACGATGGTCTGCAGGAACCTCTGGATGTGGCCATAAAAGGTAAGAAGCTGCAGGGAGGGAAAGGCTGGGCTATTTTTCTGGCTGCAGGGTTGTGGGAGACAAATTTGATCTCAGCTGTGTCCATCAGTGAGCATACTTGACTTTTAAGCTGTTGGTTTTTCCTGTGTTTGAGGTTGATGGTTCTGCAGGGACCAGTCCAGGGGTGAAATGCTCCCAGTTTGGACCAGATAGCCCAAAACCGGTAGCGATGACGGCGGGTGGTTCGGAGAACCGGTAGCAAAAATCCCTGCCCACCCCCCAAACCCAGTTGAGCCGCGCGATCCTGAGAGGCTTTTTTTTTTTTTACTTTTAAAAGCATTTTTTCTTCAGCCGAAAAAATGCTTTTAAAAGTAAAAAAAAAAAAAAGCCTCTGAGGATCGCGTGGCTCAGCTGGGATCGTCAGAGCCTTTTAAAAGCATTTTTTTCTACAACCTCTTCGGCTGAAGAGGTTGTAGAAAAAAATGCTTTTAAAAGGCAGCTGAGCCGCGTGACCATCAGAGGCTTTTTTTCTTTTAAAAGCAAAAAAAAAAAAATTGTTTTAAAAGAAAACAAAAGCCTCTGATGATCAGGCAACTCAGCTGGGATCGTCAGAGCCTTTTAAAAGCATTTTTTTTCTACAACCTCTTCGACTGAAGAGGTTGTAGAAAAAATGGTTTTAAAAGTAAAAAAAAAAAGTTGGCCACGCCCACCCAGTCACATTACCCCCCCACACCAAGCCACACCCACAGAACCGGTAGTAACAAATTTTACATTTCACCACTGGAGCAGTCCATAGAATTGGCTTTATGTGATTTAAGGGAAGCAACTAAATCCTATGACAAGAATTGACCGGTCCTGATTAAATGCCCTTAGAGTCCCTTAGCCTTTGTCACTGGCCTGTTTCCTATCTCCAGCCATGAGCTATACTATACTATACTATACTACACTACACTACACTATACTATACTATACTATACTATACAGCTATACTGAGCACCCAAAAAAGATTTTATTTTCTTTAGCCTTCCCAAAGTACAAAAGTCAGGCGGAGTCTCGTAGTCCCTTTTCTTAAGGCCAAATTTCATTTAAATTGTTGAACTGCAGCTGACTTCAAGAAATGCATAGAGTGGCTGGACTGAGGCCTCCGTAGTCAGAAAAGCGACTATCAGTCTGAATAAAATAAAATAAAAAAGTCGTTTTTTTAAAAAAAAAATCAAGCATCAATCCATCAGGGCCGTGGCTGCTCTTCAGTGAGAGTCCTGAGTTTTGTGCAAGAAAAATGGAAAGTTCCCTTCCTTAATCCTGCCCCCCCTGGAGCCCCCACCAAATCTGATTCTGCCATTTGAGCGACCCTCTAGAAATTGGATATCACCACATTCCATTTTTCATCCTGAAAATCTGAAAGTAAAAAAATTACAATGTCAGACCTGGAAGCCATCTTTTTCCTTTGAGCCTTCAGGCCTGCCACAAATTCTACTGTGGGAAAATGGGAGGGGGGAATTGTATGGAGTGAAGATGATATGTAGTCAAAATAACATTCTTTCTAGAAAGTCAAGGCCGTTGTGCCCTGCAGCTGTGCTGAGAAGAATGAGGAGGTATCTTCTGTTCCGGAGGGTACCTGATTGGTTCGTGTGATGGACATGTGGGTGAAGGGCAAGGATTTGAACTTTCTTTTGGGAGAGAAAAACCCGGAAGTTCTCAGATTCGGGTTTTCCCAGATGTGTTCTGTCCCCCACCACACGCACACACACCAACAGACGTTCAAGAGTTAAAGACCAAACCAGCTGGCAAAATCCTTTTCCTTATGATAATGGAACTTGGCAACAACCTAGTGGCTGCCTGCCAAGAGTTTATTATTTACGAAGAGGAGAGATAACTTCTCCCCACTCCTGGTACATCAAAAGAAACAGCTCAATAATTATGGAGTCAATCAAGTCCAGAGATAATCCAGCAAAGTCTATAGCAAAAAGTTTGGCAATGCAGAATGGTGTGGAAGCTTTCAGCTTTGTTCGTCACAAGGTTTGACTGGCCACCACGCTCCCTTTTCTATCCTGTGGGGTGTGGTCCAGTGACTCAGCCTAATCTCGGGCACACCTTTTCTTCTGTTGCGCGCGCTTATTTCTGCGACGCTGGCGTGGATCCAGCCAAGACTCATTACCCTCATCACTGTCCATCTGTGGCTGCGTGGACGTGCTTGGCCCCGGCCCTATCTCTTGCCCTTTGGTGGACACCGAAGGCATTGCCAGAGAGGAGGGTCCTGGAGAGGGAGGCCTTGCCAACTCCTCTCCTTCACTCTCAGAATCCTCTCCTGCCGATGACACAGGCTCAGATAACGGAGCCACAACACGATGTGCCAATATGACATCTCTAATAAAAGTTAGCTTTGAGGAACTTCAAGCCTCGGAGTTTGATTTCGTTGGGGGTGTTACTTGGAAACCTGACATAGAATTTTTCTGTTTCTGGACTGGTCACAACTCCTCACCATCATCCAAAAATCAGGAGAGGAAGTGGCATGATATAAATTAGATATTATAAATTATAAATTCTGCCCCTGGGTATTTCCCCCCTCAAATCCTACAATGCATGTTCCAGATCTGCAGAATTTTGTATTTTTTATTTGCAGTTGAGCAGAATGAAATAGAGAACAGTTAAGGGATCTTTAAAAGATGAGAATGTCATCTGGATGTTCCATGGTATTAAAGTTTTATGGTAAATCAGGCACTTTGTCCCATAAAAACTCAATCTGGAGTCAGTCAAAGGCCTCTTCGGCTAATCAAAGGAGGCCAGATGGCTGGACAATGAAGGGGGATCCAAAGCTGGCTTGAAAATCTTCCTCCAGGAGTCCCCATTGATGGTTCCTCATCAAGTTGAAGATATCAAATAGATGCTAGAAGAATCAGCCCGTTGTCATCTGTTCTTCAATATTCCTTTTAGTGATTTGGACGAATCAATAGAACAAATAGTTATCGAATTTGAAGGTGATATAAAACTGGCTGAGTGAGCTAATATCCTCAAAGAAGGGCGTGAAATTCAGAATGGGCTGAGAGGAACAACAATGAAATGGAAGAAGGACTCAAAAGAAAACAATGTCCAGGAAGGATGAGAATCTCAAATGAACTACTAAAGTCACAATCACATCCGACTGAATTTAATGGATCCTGTACCGAGCAAATGGTAAGACTAGATGACCTCTTAAGTTCCTTCCTTCTAATTCTAGGATTCTAAGTGCGACGTTCTTCACTTTGCTCCCCAAATAAACCCCACTTTATTTGGGGTAGCAATTTTAGGCTACCCCAAATAAAGTATAACTTCCAAATGATAAAGGTAAATTTCTCCCTGAGTTCTGCCATGATCAGAGCCAGCCTCAAGGAGAAGGTCCAGTTCCGGGCAACACCCTTTAATTGTTCTGATCTAGGCTTCCCCAAAAAGCACGAAGCAGAATCCTGGTCCCAACAAAACCTCTTTTATTAAACAAGCAGTGAATTCCTCTCATTCACCTTCAGCAAAGTCTTTCAAGAGAGAATTTACAGTCACAGACCTTATCTGGCTTGGAGACCTGCCAGGCCGATATCTTCAAAACTTGGCAAAGAGTCTCAGAGAGTCACAAACCAATTAGTGAACTAATTGTCTCCTGCAAACGCCACTCCCCTTTCGCTCCTCTTTTTTTCCCTCTGGGAGGGGTTGCCTGTCCACCTGTGGCCTTACTCCCAAAAGAAAGAATAAGGGTTTAAAGAAACCCTTGTTTTTAGTTGTTCCCTTCGTCCGGCAACTCTGTGCATGCGCACAGTGGGAACAGGCTCCAGCTGCTCATCTGCCTCACTGATGTCTGACTCTGAAGGCAGCTGATAACTGTCAGACGGCCCTGGCCCCCTCTCTGCCTCCGATGCAGAGCCCTCATCAGAGCCTTCCACAAATTCCAGGACTGGCCCATGTTCCTCCCCAACCTCCTCACTGTCTGAATCTGCTGCCAACTCCGCTGGTGGGACACAACATTAATACGAATTCAGAGCAATTGGAAAACGTTCACAGTACAGCAACAAGGCTGATCCAGGAAAGGAAACTGAATCCTCTGTAGACGAATAGAAGAAGCTCAGCATGTTTAGTCTTGAGGAAAGAGCAGTGGTGGTGTTGGTGAGGTACGTGATAGGGCTGCCCTGGGATTCCCACCTCGGTTGGAAGTTCCAAATGCAAAGACTGAAACAATTTCTATCATGCCACTTCCTGGCTAGAAGACTGAGTATATGAAGTGAACGTTCATTCTTTTCTTCTCCGGGGGGAGAGACCCATCTTACAAGAGATAAAGAAAATGAAAGTATACTTTAAAAAAGGGGGGGGGATGGATGATATGAAGCCTTTTGCTTTAAATAATAACATGCTACTATTCAAGGAAAAGAAAAAAGATAGCTACTGGATTTCCTGAAGAACATAATGAGCAAATCAGCCAGCCCTGGCCTAGGCAACCCATATCAATCAGGACCTCCCCAGTTTCTCTAGGGCAGTGATGGCTAACCTTTTTGCCGTCGCGTGCCAAAAGTGGGGGGAGCATGGGGGGTTGCAGGTGCAGGTGCCCACATCCATAATTCAATGCTCCCCGCCCTCCCGCGCATGCGCACGTGACCTCCCCACACTTCCCACTGCTTTTGGCACACGATGCCATGGTGGGCACGGTAGGCCTGCTTTTCCCCTTCCCCAGGCTCCAGAGGCTTTCTAGGAGTCTGGGGAGGGCAAAAACAGCCTTCCCCATCCCCCGGAGACCTTCCAGAGGCTGGAAACAGCCAGTTTCCCGACTTCCGGTGGGACCGGAAGGCCTGAAAATCAATTGGCTGGTGCGTGCATGTGCATTGGAGCTGAGCTAGGGCAACACTCACGTGCCCACCAATATGGCTCCGCGTGCCACCTGTGGCACCCGTGCCATAGGTTCGCCATCACGGCTCTAGGGTTCACTTATAGGGTCCTTGGAACTCTTCCTGCAATTCACTCAGCCACCTGAGTTGGACCCTGGTTCTTTGTGGACTATCCAACCACAATAGACATAAGTGTTGCATCCAGAACATGTTCACTGATTCATGTTTCACTAATTGCAAAATTAAAATGACCAGGTGCAATTTTTCTTCTTGGGCCATGAGATGCTTGAAGTCAAATTAACATAAAATAATCATTCAAAAAAATGTATTAGGATCTGTTGCATGGGTATATTGGGAGCGAGTCTTCAGTCTCATAAGCTCTCCTGCCAAGGATTTTAATCATGATTTTTTTCTCAAAGCCGGTTAGATGCTGGCTGAATTAGATGTAAGAAAAGTTAAGGCAATGGTTGGGTTTAAGTATCTCTTAAACAAATCGTGGTTTGATTGTTTTGACTTAGCACACAATAATCATCCTGGCCTCCTTCCACATTCTAAATTTTTATATGCTGTTTTTATAGTTTAACATTTTATTGTAGACTGCTTAGTGTCTCACATGAGGGAGACGGGCAGTTTAAAAATATGGAGAATGAATAGAAAGAAAGAGAGAGAGAGAGGAAAGAAAGAAAGAAAGAGACAAAGAAAGAGAAAGACAGAAAGAAAAAGAAGGAAAGAGAAAGAAAAGGAAGAGAAGGAAGGAAGGAAGGAAGGAAGGAAGGAAGGAAGGAAGGAAGGAAGGAAGGAAGGAAGGAAGGAAAGAAGAAAGGAAGGAAGGAAAGAAGAAAAAGAAAAGAGTCGGCTGCTTTCATGCTGGCTTATCTGAGACAAAAGCAGCGTCATGAGGACACGTCCTGTAAACAATGGTTTGCAAGGCGTCTTCATGCTACAGTTAGAGGGACATGAAGAGAAGCCCATTAGACTGTTTAATGTTGGGAATTCCCAGCCCTTTGGCATAATTAGGTGCTACCTGCCACCAAATGGGAATGATTGTTTGGGGTTCTCCTTCAATGATCTGCTCTTTCTCCCAATTCAGTTCCAGAATCCAACCTGGGCCTCATCATCGGTTGCGTTGTGGCTGCTCTTGTCCTGTTGTGTGTGATTGTTGGGACTTTGATATTCTTCAGTAAGTATCTTTTTTGCGGGGGGGGTGTGATAGTCTCTCCCTTTGGGGGAGATTCTTCTGGGCTTCCTTTTGTCCTGTTTTCCCAGCCCACTTTGGGAGCATCGGAGATCTCGGCCTCTTGCTGGGATGCCAGTCTTCACTTGGCTAAGGTTGTTGGAGGTTGGGACAGTCCTGTTTTCTTTTGAGTTGGAAAGAGGCATCCCAGTTCCGCCCCTTTCAAATGCTTTGGTCAAAGAGCAACAGAGAAGGATTTCCATGAAAACCTTCCTCCCCTCCCAGATGCTGCTTCTCCCAATTCCCTTTCTTTCATCTCAGAGGCAGCAGGTCTCTCTTGGGGCAAATCTGTTCGTTTGTAGTCTAAAAATCTTCCTGTACCTATTATAGAAGTGGTTGTGACTAAAAAATTGTAAAATATCTCCTGGGGCTTTTCATTTGGGGAAATTGGATGATCTTGGTTGGATTTTTTTGAGCTTCGACTATATTTTGTTGTTTTTTTGCAGAGAAACATCAAACTGCATACAGAGAAGCATCAAATGTGTGATTTGTCGTCTTTACATGGTAGCTCCAAGTCAGAGTGAGAGTCAGAGGCATCAGTTGAGCTGCATATCTAAGTATGTATGTACAAACACAAAAGAAGCTCATGAAGAGTTCTGCTAACTTCCTCTTCGTCTCAAGAAATCATCTGTGGAAAGTGGGTCTCTTTTCACAACAGCCAGGCTGTTCTTGGGAGTGGAGACTCCAAGGAGAAACATCTGGGACACGGAGCCCTCAAGAAGGTGAGAAGACCCCTCTGGTTGGAAGATCCTTCTGACTGAGAACTTGCTCAGATGGAAAGGAGAGGCTTGGCCATCACGTGATCAATAGGAGGCATTTTGAGAAGAAAGGAGGCTTGGTGGATGCCAGCTGGATCTCCTCTTGCTCTGCCACCACAAGGCTCTCCCAACTATGAACTGATTGGAAAAAGAGACTTTGGAGTAATGTGTAGGTTGTGCTCCTTCTGTGTCTGGTTCTGGTGAAACCAGAATCTATTTGGGTAGTTTGGGACAATTTTGCTAGGGAACCTGAGGAGCAAATCATTCAGATCCGTTCAGAGAGGGAAGAGACCTGGGGAAGTTGGGAGGGGATGACTGGGATTTTGTCTTCCCAGGAGATGTGGGATGAATTTGGTCTTGGGCCTCCTGAGTGAATGGATGAGGCCCTTTGCAGCAGAGGCTCTGCCAAATGTCCTTCCTGGCTAGTGAAAACCTTTGCAGTTGACAGGGTACAAGGCAACAATAAATGGTTCCTTGGCTTTATTTCACAAAAACACACACGTGCACGCACCCCCCCACCCTCTGTTTTCCTTCCCCTCACTGTAAAGATGACTTATGGATCAGACTATCCCCACAGCACAACCCATTTCCTTCCAGGTAATGTGAATTTGCTTCATGGACACAATCAGGAAGCTTTGTTGGCATCAAGGCAGAAATGGCCAATCACACCTTCTTTCAGGATGGTTTTTGAGGGCCAGCCTGGAAAACAGGCCTCGCCTCTCAGCCAAATACTAAACGGCCTGACCCAGTTTATATTTTTGGATTTAAAAAGGCTTGAAAGGAACCTGCCAATTCAGGTGGTGGCAGGTAGGAGTCCTGACCCACTTGAAGCAAATGAGTGAAAGGATCTTCACTGTTAACCTCCCACTGAAAGCATCTTTCCCAATGAATGGAAGGCAGGGCAAAGTGGGGCCTTACCCAGGGCGGCCATATTCCTAAAAACCTCTGTTGGAAGAAACGTCCTTCTAGGTTCTGCTCCAAGTGGGGAAAAAGACACTGGAAACATGGAGACTGCTTGGAAAGATGGTTTAATGGTGGACAGGATCACATGGCTTGAGTTCCTGAACAGAAAAGGGGCAGATACAGTAAATCCTCGGGTTTTTATGCTCTCTCTCTGGCTCTGCATTTCTTGGGACCCCAAAAGAGTATCCTGATTGGTTGTCAGACTCCCAGGGGGTTGGGGTCTTAGCTAGCCTTGCTGTCTGATGGTCACATGTGCTTCCCAAGTCACATGTGGTGAGTTTCTGCTGCTATTGTGTAGAGGACTAATCCTATCTTTGTTGGATCTTTGGCAATTCCTACTATGGCTCTGCCTGAAGGAGGTAGATCTTTGTTATGTAGAATAGACTGGCCCAGGCCTTAATGGCCCATTGACAAAGGGTGGGGGCAGGAAGATGGGAGCTGCTTCAAAATATGCTTCTCCATTTCTCATCCAGGGAAATATAATATTCTGCCTTTTTCATATTTCCCAAAATATTTCACTCTTCCAGGAAAGGGGTGGGTGCTAACTTCCTACACCTCCATCATGATATCCCAGCAGAAGGCCCTCCAACTGGGATCCAGCAGCGTCCATTCTTCCTCTGTCAAATCGAGAGCCATCTCCTCTAAAGTGATTCATCTCAGTCTATATAGGCTGGGCAAAGAAAAAAAAAAGCCAAAAGGAGAGCAGAAGAGAGTTCCTATTGGTCATTGCCTATCCTATTTCCCCCCAAAATAAGACATTCCCTGATAATAAACCCAATCTGGCTTTTGAGCGCATGGCAATAAGGCCAAGCGCTTATTTCAGGGTTCAAAAAAAATATAAGACAGGCTCTTATTTTCGGGGAAACACGGTAGTAACAGAGTAAATGTTCTGATGAGTGACAGTTTCCTGCTGCCCATGTAAGAGAATGGGCTGCCTTTGTTCTCTTTGCTGGAAAGAGAACAATTTACACATTTAGCTCAGATGGATATGAATTTCACTTTTGAATCTCCGCCCTTTAGACCTGCTGAGAATCTTGAACTCAACCTTGGACTAACTTTAGATGATTCTTGGAACTTCTCCGCGGGCTGGCTGGGATGGACTCCATACCAGCCAAAACAGGACGTGGGGGCCGCACATGTCCCCCCCCACCCAGCCCATTTGCAGCCTGGACGGCCTCCTACAGCATTTCACGCATTTTGGCCAGCAAAGGGCTGCAGGAGGCCGTCCAGGCCAAAAACTGGCTGCAGGGGGGCTGCCCCGTTTTGGTTGCCAGAGGCATTGTGGGCCAGTCCTTTGGTATTTTAAGGTTGGCCCCACGGGCCAGATTTCAGCACCTTGCAGGCCGGATCCAGCCCGCGGGCCTTGAGTTTGTCACCTCTGGTGTAGGGTTTCCTGCCTGAGTAAAGGGGTTGGACTAGAAGACCTCCAAGGTCCCTTCTAAGACACACACACACACACACACACACACACACACACACACACGTACTATTACTCAGCTTTTCCACAGCTACTCCCACTTGTATTCCTCCTTGTGAGTATAATTAGAGAAAAACATCCGTTTCTAACTGCTTTACTTCCACACCTTCTTTCCATGCACCCTCAGTTGTTCCACAGCACAGCTTTTACTGGCAATTTTGCTGTGGTGTCCCTGAAGAGAGGCCTTGAAGAGACAGGACGAAAACAGCAAAGGTCCTGGCAACCTATTGGGCAGATTGCTGTCTCTCTCTCTCTTACCCCTTAATGAAGGCTTTTTGCTTTGCCTGAATTTCTTGGTATTTCCCATTTTCAGGTGGGCAAAGAAGCTCCTTTGCAAAGGGAAAAGCATCTCTCTCATATTTAGGGCTGAATTCCTTATCCGCTCCAGGCCAAAGTCAGGGTGCCGGAGTTTGGGGGCCACAGCAGGGCCTGCCTGAAGAATCTCTCTCTAATGGACGATGCAGAGTTAAAGATGGGCTGCCTGCAGTCCCTAAAATGGTGAAATATTCCCTGCAGTGTTCTTAAAATGGCAGAGGGCTGACTGCCAAAGGGGTCTAACTCAACATGGCAGATGGTATTTCCCCCTTCCCTCCCTTCCCCCCCCTCAAAGTTGACAAATCCTCAGTCTCGCAATGCCTCCAGGAGCGTCACAAAGCAGTGCACGCATTTACAGGCCCAGTTTGTGAAAGCTTTGTGCAGCGTCAGCACTTCATCGGCCGGAAGAAGGAGAAGGCCATCCAGCATGTTGAGTTCTCTTCCCGTTGTTCTCTGTTTACCGTGCTTCTAAAGTGAAAACTCATCTTAAAAATCAACCAGATCCTCCATTAATCAGTGGTGATCTTGGGAAGGTAGAAGAAAGGTGGCAGCAATTGGTGCCTTCTTAGCTGAAAAGATCTGTGTGGAGTGGGAGATAATAACATTCCCTTTTTGGCAACGAAAGGAACACACACACACACACACACACACAGAGGTTCATTTGGCTCCTTTCCAAAATCCTGGCTCAGGAAGCAATCAGGGATTCTCCAGCCCTACCAAGGCTTCATACACACAGTGGATTTAACTGGGTCAGTCAATGCACCTGGGAGGCGCCTTCGCATAACCTTCTCACGCTGGGTTTCTTGCGACCTGAGTGAATTTTCCTTTCTGGGACTTGTGTGTATTGTGTGTGGATCCCAATTGCAGGAGATGCTGCACCAGAAACCAACCAGTCAGTGAAAACAGAGGAAGGTTACGCCTGCTGGGGACCCAGAGAGAAAGGAGAGGATCTGAAGGGGAGGCTCATCCTGCAGACGGCCGGTTTCCAGGGACTCCCCAGGAATTGGAAGCTCCCTCTAATGGCCTCAGCCTTCTTCATCGGTAGAGATACAGACGGGTGAAAGGGAGGAGAAGGTCCCTCTAACCGAGCCTCCATTGGGTTCTGGTTTCCCTGCAAGGTTGGCCAAGAAGTGAGGCTGGAAGGAGGGAGGAGACTTTCATCTGCTTATTTCTGCAGAAATGGAGAGCCTGACCTTTGGGACAGAGGTCAAAATCTAGCATGTTGTGTAAAATACGGCTCAGCTATTCACACAGAAAATTTCTTATTTACAAGCAATCTATGGGAATTCTTTCACAGGATTAGTGTTCACACTCTGTCAATTACATTTGTCCTTTTGGGTACAAGATTGCATTTGTTGTATTTAGTACAAGAGAGCAAAACCTTCCTGTCCTAGCATTGTCAGGAATCGCCTGTCACAGGTCCGTAATTTGTCTGTGTGTCTCTCAAGGGAGCTGGCAAAGAGAAGGGGAGCTTAGACAGTCCAGTAGGTAATTTGATCAGTTCCAGGGTCGCTGGCTTGTTTCTACATAATTTGATTTATTTCTGGCTGGCTTGGTGCTTCAACAGAATTTGACACCTTTCTTCTGGTGGGATGGTTTTTCCTTACCCCCCCCCCTTGGGGGAGAAACTACTGGTGGGGCTCAGCCGATATCAGCTCGCACTGGATTGCTGGGTTGTTGGTCCCTCTAAGCGTGACTTTCTCTGCCTGCAACTTCAGCACAGAGGCTGAGGATCGCAGCCAGGATGGCTCTGCACTCTCTGGCTCTGTCGCTTCTGCTGTTGGTGGTAGTCATTTTACGGGAGAGCTGCTTCGGTGAGTCCCTTCGGGGGCCATTGGGGGTTCTGGCCCCTTTTTCTGCTGATGGGAATCCATCCAGGGAATTCTCCTCCCCCCAAAAGATTATTCCGAGAAAGAGAATACTGATTCGGTCCTCTTTCTAGTCCGCTGCTCCTCCCCCTCTGGCCACTCTTTGAAAGGATCCCAAAGGGTGGGTGGCATTCTGATGCTGCTTTCTCCCACTCCCCTCCAGGAGAGCCCCTCTGGGAACAGGACAAGGGTGGACACCCCAGATGTCAGTCAAATCTACCTGGGCGCCCCCAAGTGCAATTCTTTTCCTCCCCCAAAGTGGAGGTTGTCGGAAAGCGGCGTTTGCCGGTGGTTGGGTCACCGTTGATATCTTCACCGCTGGACGGTCCAAATCGGACCTCACTGTCCTGTAGAGACAGTGATAGAGGAGGGCACATCCTACTGATCTCAGGGACATAGCCTTGCCAGGTGTCCACTATTTGAGCGGACAGTCCGCTTTTTTCACATTATGTTCACTATTTTTTTTCACAAAATAGTGGACATTTTTTTAAATTCAAAAGCTTTATGATGAAATGGTACGTAATCTAAAGCTGTACAGTCTAAGAGAATAAGGATAGGAGAATCGCGTTTTGTCTTTTTTTTTTTCATAAGTTAGAATGAGACAAAGATCGAATATCCATTGAACTCGATTCTCTGAAAAAATTAATGATGAGATTAAAATAAAAATATATTATAAAATTATGTACAGTTCACATTTTTAAAATGTATTGTAGCTTGTGTCGACTGACTGCTTGTACCATCAGTTCGAAGTGAACTTTGTATATTTTTTAATATTTCTCAATGTTGTACTGAAATTAAAGAATTATTCCTTAAACACAAAGAATTGATCAAAGCTGCGCAGTCAAATAAAAAATACACACGACAGCAAAGTAAAATGTAATTTAATATTTTATGTATTATTATATTTGATGTTTTGAATTTTAAGTAAAGTTTTGAAGTGATTATTTTAATATGTGTTAAAATGTTTGTAAGAAAATATATAATTTAATTGTAAAAAATTTTTTATTTTTTTACTACTTAACACCCCCCCCCCGCCCACCCACCCCGCTTGTCTGCTATTTTTTGGAAGCAGACCTGGCAACCCTACGAGGGACACCGCAAAGTCCCTGGTTGATCCAGGATAAGCCCTATTTTCCGGCGCTGAAGAGGCAGCCATTAAGTTACTGAAGTTGGGACAGCTCCGAACGGAAGAGAATGAGTAAAAGTGTTACGATCTGGTGAGAGGCTTTTTAAATCTGGACTTTAAGAACACCCTGAAGTGCAAATATAATTAGAATTGAAGTTAGAAGGAATTTACCGGCGGAATTGAGCCTGAATTTAAATTAATTTCCCTCCTTCCTTCTTGATTGTCACTTTCTCCTCAATCCTCTCCCCTCCCCACTCCTCGTCCTAAACCCCCGATATCCCCAGAGCTTTTTTCTAGGACAGGCAGGAATTTTCCCACCCAAAATACTCCTTTTTCCATTTCAGGAGCGCTCAGCGTGGGTCAGTTTGCAGAATCCAAAATCCAGTTGCAGCAGCTTTTCAGAAGGCACAGAAATAGTAGGCAGGATCTTAACGTTAAATAGGTGGGTTGGACACAGAAGGAGGGAAGCGGCTCTGAATAGTGACCGTGAAATGAATGGCTTGCTTGGACACAGAGCAGCCCAAACTGACCAGCCATTCCTAAATGAGGAGGGTTCACGATTGTGAGGACGCCCATGCCCAACCTGTGTTACACTCACACGTTTCTCCTCTCAGGCAGATTTCAGACTTCCTCATTGCTCAGCCCCATAAAGGGAAAGAAGCGGATTCTGGATCATGGAGGGTTCGACCCCCTCTCCTTTTGTTAGAATGATCCCTTTGGATTCTGAAAACTCCTCAGAGCAGGAAGTGGATCTGGGGCTCCCTCTCCCCAAAAGCTCTGAGAAGCCACTGGGATTGTGGGGAGGAGCAGGAAGGAGGACCAGGCCTTTGCCTTGTGACTGGGAAGAACTGGGAGATGATCCCGAACGGAATGGGCAGTGGGAGTATTTATGGGCTGTGCAAACTATGCCCCTTTTCCGTGCAGACACAGATTATACCCAAATAAGTCTTGTGAATGATCCTGAAAATGATCTTTAAAATCACAGATTTTCTGTAGAATAGCAATAGCAATACTGTTTAGATTTATATACTGCTTCACAGTGGTTTACAGTGTCAGGATATTACCCCCAACAATCTGGGTCCTCATTTTACTGACCTCGGAAGGATGGAAGCAATGGTGAAATGTAAAATTTGTTACTACCGGTTCTGTGGGCGTGGCTTGGTGGGGGGGTGTAATATGACTGAGTGGGCGTGGCCAACTTTTTTTTTTTTTTTTACTTTTAAAGCCCTTTTTTCTACAACCTCTTCGGCTGAAGTGGTTGTAAAAAAATGTTTTTAAAAGCCTCTGACAATCCCAGCTGACTTGCCTGATCGGCAGAGGCTTTTCTTTTTTTTTTTAAGCCTCTGACCATCCCAGCTGACTTGCCTGATCGGCAGAGGCTTTGTTTCTGTTTTTAAAAGCATTTTTTCAGCTGAAGAGGTTGTAGAAAAAACACTTTTAAAAATAAAATAAAAAGCCTCTGATGATTGCGCGGCTCAGCTGGGCATGGGGGTGGGGAGGGATTTTTGCTACCGGTTCTCCGAACCACCCGCCACCATCGCTACCGGATTGGGCGATCCGGTCCGAGCCGGGAGCATTTCACCCCTGGAACTTTGAGCTGGTCAGGATCGAACGCCTGGCATTGGGCAGAGGTAGCCTGCAATGCTGCATTCTATCTACTGTGTCACCATGGCTCAAGGTATGAGGGTGAGCCCCGCTGAATCCTGGGTTCAAACCAACCCACTGAATCTTGGGTTCAAAGCCAATGCCTGAACTTTGGGATGGGAAGAGGAATTTCCCTGCCGGGGGGGGGGGGGGCATAAGGAAGAAGATCCGGGGGTACGCAGCTTTGCAGCTCCCTTCGTCCCATCTTTGCCTTTATGTATCTCCCAGGCAAACAGTTTGGGTTTCCCTTAAAGATCCCATTGTCAACTGTCTGCCTAGTGCACCCAAAAGAACTAAACATTCTTGGGAGCTTTGGATTCCCAAAAGTAACACTTTATAGGATACACCATTTTGGTACTGAAGAATCAAAATCAGCTCTGGTTTCCCAGGCAAATGCTTGCCTAGTTAAACAATAGCTTCCCTTTCTCCCCACCCCTGGGTGATCACATTGTCCAATTTTTTTTAATGGGAACAGCCCACCTTCTCAAGCAACTGCAGTTGTGACCTTGATGGTTTCCAGGCTCTCAGAGTCTGTGCACAAGTTCTCAGCATTTCCCTCCCCCCAGTTCATTGGCAAGTTGAATGTCGATAATGTTTGAAAGAATTTGCACTTATTAACAATCCATGTTGGCCCTCAATGAAGTGAGAATGGGTTTTTGTCAGCTTCCAAGCTGCCATAAGGAAAGAGAGGAGAGGCTTGAACTTTCACCTACTTAATTCCCCTGAAGAACTGTCTCCACGGAGATGGGAGGGGAGGGGGAACATTCCTGTGAACTGACGGAGATGGGATGAGAAGAGTGGCTTGGAAGATGGCCAATGAGACACAGAGAATTGGGAACCGGAAAGAGAGGTTTTGGGGGGGGGCAAAGTTCAGTGCACATTGAGTCAGGGTCAGTTCGTTATGCTCAATAAAGAGAAAAATTTCCTCAAAGATCGGGCATTTGGAAATTCATTTATTTGGAGATAACAATGAAGCTTGACAGTTTTTTTCCCCTGTTGGAGGGATTAATGGGGCTTCCTGCTGTGTTTTGAGCTTCTGAGGACGGAGCCCCCCCTTCTCCCTGTGGGGTACATGCAGCCTCCTTGGGGCAGAGTCTAAGCAATCCAGCAGGGGGGGTTGACGGAGGCCTTCCTGGAAAGGGAGAGGGCACAATTGAAGATGACCACACAAAGTTTGGTGATCCTACTCTCTCTTCGGTCCTGCTTTCCCTTCCCTTCCTCTCTCTCCCCAAACCTCTCTGCCCTCCAACCCTTCAGTCCCTCCAGAAGATGCTCCTTTGTCCTTCTGTCGCTCCCTCATTCCACCATTTGCTTATTCTTTCTCTCCCATCATCTCTCCCAGGGGTGAAATACTACTGGTTCGGACCGGTTCAGCTGAACTGGTAGCGACAGCGGTGCGTGTTTCAGAAAACCGGTAGCAGCGGAAGCGAAAGGCTCCGCCCACCTGCCCAGACGTCATTACTTCCTGGTTTTAACCAGGAAGTAACCTGTTTTTGAGCCTCTGTGCATGCGCAGAGGGTCCAAGCGCGCAGGTGACATGCAAAGCAAAGGTGCGCACGCCCTTCCGAACCGGTAGGGAAGTTAAGTAGATTTCACCCCTGATCTCTCCCTTTGTTTTCCCCTTCCTCCTCCACCCCCAAGTCTCTTCTTCTTCCTTCCAGACCTGAAAAGGGGGCCAGCTGTGCCCGACAGGATCAGGGTCCTTCAGCCGAAGTCCCCTAACTCTGCCCCTCTGGCTCCCTTCCAGGCACCTCCTCCCACTCCCTGAAGTATTTCTACACCTCCATCTCGGACCCCAATCAGGAGCTGCCCCAATTTGTTCTTCTGGGGATTGTGGACGGTCAAGTCTTTGTTCACTATGACACCCACAGCCGGAAGCTGAAGCCTCGAGTCTCCTGGGTAGAGAAGGCAGGGAAGGTGCATCCCAAGTATTGGGACAGTCAAACCCAGATATCACATGGCGAAGAGGAGGCATTCAGAGTAAGCCTGGTGAATCTGAGGAGTCGGTACAATCAGAGCGAAGGTGAGTGATGGGGTAGGTGGCTCCTCCTGCACCATATTCCTCATTCCCGGGAACCAGAGGGGGGAGAGGGGAGACCAGGGGGGTGTCACTTCAAAGGGAAAGGCTGCTTCCACACCTTTTTAAAAAGAACGTCTATTCTTTTTTTAAAAAAATCAGTATAAGATTGTCCTTGCCTCCATAGCTGACATTTTCTGCCAACTACAGTTAATAAAAACATTTTTAAAGTTAGCCATCTATCTGTTTGAATATTGATAGGATGCCCCTGGTGGAGGAAGGAGATAAGACAGAATGGAGGGAAGCCTCCTTTCAAGGCTAAACAGCCCCAAATGTCCCAACTTTTTTTATTTTATTTTATTTTAATTTTATTTAGTTTGTTGAACATGTACAAGATAACAGGTATAGGTATAAACATGGACATAAACAAGGAATGAGTATAAATAAATGGGGACAGTAGGACAGGGACTGTAGGCACGCTGGTGCGCTTATGCATGCCCCCTCTTAGGAACAGGGTGAGGTCCACGGTAGACAGTTTAAGGTTGAAGCTGTGAGGGTTAGAGGATGTAACAACGGAGTCAGGTAGAGCATTCCAGGCATTGACCACTCTGTTGCTGAAGTCGTATTTTCTTCAATCAAGTTTGGAGCGGTTTACCTTGAGTTTGTATCTATTGTTCGCCCGTGTATTGTTGAGCTTGAAGCTGAAGTAGTCATTGACAGGCAGGATGTTGTAGCAGACAATTTTGTGTACTATGCTTCAGTCAGACCGTAGGCTGATAGTTCCAGGTTGTCCAAGCCCAAAATTTCGAGCCTGGTGGCGTAAGGGATTCTATTGTGAGCAGAGGAGTGGAGGACTCTTCTCGTGAAATACCTCCGGACCTGCTCAATTGTATCAATGTCAGATATACAGTGTGGATTCCAGGCAGACGAGCTGTATTCAAGAATTGGTTTGGCAAAGGTTTCGTATGCCCTAGTTTGCAGTATAATGTTATCAGAGAAGAAGCTTCGCAAGATTAGGTTAACAACTCTTAATACCTTTTTGGCAATGCTGTTATGGTGAGCTCTGGCACTTAGATCATTTGAGATGAGTACTCCTAGGTCCTTGACAGAGTGAAGGTTGTCTACGAGGTCATATCCACCCAGCTTGTGTTCTGATTTTTGTTGCCAATGTGTAGGACTGAGCATTTGCTAGTTGAGATTTGGAGTTGTCAATTTCACAATCATTCTGACAGATAGTCAAGGTCACTTTGCAGGGCAGCAACATTGTCGGTGGTGTTAAATAGTTTTACGTCATCAGTGAAGAGGACACAGCTGTTTATGATATGATCACAAAGGTCATTTATGTAAAGCAGAAAGAGTGTGGGTCCTTTCCTCAAAGGGAGGCTCCTTCCACCCTCCCATCGCCTGAGTTGCCTCCTCTGGACCTTCTCCAGCTCCCTCCTTTCCTTTTCGGAGGTCTTTGACCAGAACTGCACATAATATTCTAGATGTTTAACTCTAGTAGTATTATATCCTTGAAGTATTATATTATCTATGGTGGGGTTAAGTATTCTTTTAAGGGTGATATGACAGTTTAAAAGATAGTTAAGCAATTTAGTTTATTGTTAATTGTTAATTGAAATACCTTGTGTTTTGCTCTGGGAAGTCGGGGGGGAGGGGGGGTTGGGTGGGAAAAGGGGTGGGGGGAAACTGTTGTTTTTGTAAAACTTTTCAATAAAAAAAATATATTCTAGATGTGGTCCAGGGGTGGGTTCTAAATTTTTTTACTACCGGTTCTGCGGGCGTGGCTTATTTTGTGGGCATGGCTTGGTGGGGGGTAATGTGACTGGGTGGGCATGGCCAACTTTTTTTTTTTAACTTTTAAAAGCATTTTTTCTACAACCACTTCCCGCCTGGACTACTGCAACGCTCTCTACATGGGGCTCCCCCTGGGGTGCACCCGGAGGCTCCAGCTGGTCCAGAACGCGGCCGCGCGGGGGATTATGGGAGCGACGAGGCACTCCCATGTGACACCTCTCCTGCGCGAGCTGCACTGGCTCCTGGTGGTCTTCCGGGTGCGCTTCAAGGTGTTGGTGACCACCTTTAAAGCGCTCCATGGCTTAGGGCCGGGGTACTTACGAGACCGCCTTCTGCCACCAATAGCCTCCCACCGGCCAGTACGCTCGCACAGAGTGGGCCTCCTCAGGGTGCCATCCGCCAGACAATGTCGGCTGGCGACCCCCAGGGGGAGAGCCTTCTCTGTGACGGCGCCCACCCTCTGGAACAACCTCCCCCCAGAGTTACGTACAATAACAGACCTCCGGATTTTTCGTCGGGCCCTGAAAACCTATTTATTTCAACTAGCTGGGCTGGCTTGAGTTTAATTTTAAATTGATTTTAAATTGGGTTGTTTTAATTTACGGCCAGAATATTTAATTATTTTAATTATTGTTTTTAAATTTTGTATGCTCTGTTTTTACTTTGGCTGTGCACCGCCCTGAGTCCTTTTTGGAGAAGGGCGGTATAGAAATTCAATAAATAAATAAATAAATAAATAAATAAATAAATAAATAAGAGGTTGCAGAAAAAAATGCTTTTTTTTTTCATTTTTTTTATTGAAAAGTTTTATAGGAAATACAAACATTTTCTCCCCCCCACCCTTCCCCCCTCAACCCCTCCCACCCCCCTACCTCCCACCCCCCCTTCCCCTCCTTCCCCCCACCCCCCTCCCTAGACTTCCCAGAACAAGCACAGGATATAACATTCACAAACATAAAGCTAAAATATGCTAACAAATTATAACATTCATATTCTCCCTAAGTCTTTAACTCCTTATAACCCAACAAACTATAAACATGAACTACTTAAAAATAATTCATTCATAAGCTATATGTATCTTCTTGTTCGGATACTTTTTTTCTATATAATCAATCCATCTTCTCCATTCCAATATGTATCTTTCATTTGAATGGTCTTTAAGGTATGATGAAATTTTTGCCATCTCTGCCAAATGCACAACTTTTAGTGTCCATTCCTCAATGGTAGGTGGATCTTCCTTCTTCCAATACTGTGCCACCAGTAACCTGGCAGCTGTTATTAAGTTCAAAACCAACTTAGTCTCTATTACAGTACAATCCGTAACTATTCCCAACAGAAAAACCTGTGGTGTAAATTTAATTTTTTTCTTCAAAATATTTTGAATAATTCACCATATTTTTATCCAAAACGCCTTAATTTTTTTACATGACCACCATATATGAAAATATGTGGCATCTTCACACTCATATCGCCAGCGCTTAGGTTGTAAATTTCTGGGGAAAAAATGCTTTTAGAAGCCTCTGACGATAAGGCAACTCAGCTGGGATCGCCAGAGGCTTTTAAAGGCATTTTTTTTCCAGAAAAAAAAATTTTTTTTGCAGAAAAAATTGCTTTTAAAAGTAAAAAAAAAAAAGCCTCTGATGAGGTGGGCAGGGTAAGCGATCGGCGATCGGGCTGGGGACCGGTTCGGGAGCATGGCCAGCCAATGTTATTACCGGTTCTTTGAACTACTACAAATTTTTACTACCGGTTCTTGCGAACCGGTGTGAACCGGGAGCAACCCACGACTGATGTGGTCCCACCTTGGATTTATACAAAGGCTTTATGACAATAGCTTCTGTGTTTTCAATACCATTTTAATGATTGCTGACATCCTGTTAGTCTTTTTCATTTTTTACATATAATTTGTACTAAAACGTTTCAGCAAGAAGATAAAAGCTAATATAAAGTAATAAAAAGTCAATCAAAGAAAAATAAAAAAGTACAAGAAAAGAAAACCAGCCTAAGAAAATTAGTAAAGAAAAAAGACATGAAGAAGTGATTTCTGATATTCTTCACAGCAGTTATAAATATATATCCTCTCCTGCGCGAGCTGCATTGGCTTCCGGTGGACTTCCGGGTGCGCTTCAAGGTGTTGGTGATCACCTTTAAAGCGCTCCATGGCTTAGGGCCGGGGTACTTACGGGACCGTCTTCTGCCACCAATTGCCTCCCACCGGCCAGTTCGCTCCCTCAGAGAGGGCCTCCTCAGGGTGCCGTCGGCCAGACAATGTCGGCTGGCGACCCCCAGGGGGAGAGCCTTCTCTGTGGTGGCACTTACCCTCTGGAACAATCTACCCTCAGAGATACGAGTGATCCCAGATCTCCAGACTTTTCGTCGGGCCCTTAAAACCTACGTCTTTCAGTTAGCCGGGCTGTCCTGATTTTATGATGGGTTTTTAAAATTTGAAATTGGTTTTAAATTGAAATGTTTTAAATTATGGGCCAAATTATTTAATTATTTTAAATCTATTTTAACTTTTGTATATAAAGTGTTTTACTTGGCTGTTCACCGCCCTGAGTCCGAAAGGAGAAGGGCGGTATAGAAATTTGAAAAAATAATAAATAAAATATAAATAGATTTTAGCCCCTCTAAAGCAGCCATTCTCAATATTTTGACCCTGGAGGAACCCTTGAACTATTTTTCAGGCCTGCTTGTATGTTTCTGCTTAGCCCAAAATGGGAACCACCCCTTGTGACCTGGTGATATTTGTGAATATAGAGCCAAGCTTTATAGTCACAGGGATCCCTACAGGCTTCTTTGCAGATCTACCAGATCCTCTTCGAGGCTTCAAGATTCTCAGTCCCTCTTTGCAGCCACAGATTCAGCAACCCTCTGGGATCCATCCCTTTCTTTCACCCCCCCCAAAAGTCTCCCCTGCAGAGGAACGGCAGAAAGAAAGATGGAAGGATATCCATCCCTCCAATTTTTCTGCAATTCCTTTTCTTCTGGGCCTTCCTTGGAATCCTTTGCTGGCCTTTCCAGGTTCCCTTTTCCTGGGGAGATTCTGGGGCTCCATCCTGGGGGGGGGGGAATGCAGGGAGGCAGGTCGAAGGAGGGGAGAAGGGCAGGTTATTGATGGGGGCTTTCTTTCCCTTGAAGGCTAGGGAGGAAATGGGGGTGTCAGTGCCCTTGTCAACGTTCCTGCAGCGAAGGAGGGTCTCTGTCTATCTTGAGGACTCTCCAAACCATCATCTTGTCCCTATTTCAGGCCTTCACACATTGCAGAGGATGTATGGCTGTGAGCTCCAGAGAGATGGGAGCAAAAGAGGGTTTCTGCAGCTTGGATATGACGGAAGGACCTTTATCACCTTCGACAAGGAGACCCTCACCTGGGTGGCTCCCAACCCCTTGGCACAGATCACCCAGAGGAAATGGGATGCTATTCCAGGAAAGAGTCAAGGACATAAGGCCTACCTGGAGGAGGAATGCATTGAGTGGCTCCAGAGGTACCTGTCCCACGGGAAGGAGACTCTCTTGAGGACAGGTAAGCATCTGGATCCAGGCTGGAGTTTCCTCCTTTATGGCCAGATTTCTTGGATGCTTTTGGCCCCTTTGGGTCCCTTGTCTTGGTGCCTGGATGCTTGTGGAGTGGAAAGTACTGGGAGACTTTCCTGCCCCTCCCAAGTTTCTCATCCACCTTCTAGGCTCTGGTAGGACTCAGTTAATTCTGGGGGTGCCATTTCTGCAGAGGCCCCCGTGGTGACAATGAGCAGCAGGATGGAGGCTGAGGATGGGATGGAGACGCACATCTGCCAGGTCCACGGCTTCTACCCCAAGGAGATTGATGCCTCCTGGAGGAGGGACGGGGAGGTCTGGCTGCAGGACACCCTCCATGGGTCTGTGGCCCCCAATGCGGATGGGACCTACCACTACTGGCTCAGCATCCGGATCGATCCCAAAGAGAGGGGCCGCTATCGGTGCCACGTGGAGCACGATGGTCTGCAGGAGCCTCTGGATGTGGCCATAAAAGGTAAGAAGCTGCAGGGAGGGAAAGTCTGGGCTGTTTTTCTGGCTGGAGGGTTGTGGGAGAGAAATTTGATCTCATCTGTGTCCAGCTGTGAGCATACCTGAGCTTTAAGCTGTTGGTTTTTCCTATGTTTGAGGTTGATGGTTCTGCAGGGACCAGTCCATAGAATTGGCTTCAGGTGATTTAAGGGAAGCAACAGAATCCCATCACATGAGTTGACCGGTCCTGATTAAATGCCCTTAGATCCTCTTAGCCTTTGTCACTGGCCTGTTTCCTATCTCCAGCCATGAAGCAGCAGTTATACTGAGCACCCAAAAAAGATTTTATTTTCTTTAGCCTTCCCAAAGTACAAAAGTCAGGTGGAGTCTCGTAGTCCCTTTTCTTAAGGCCAAATTTCATTTAAATTGTTGAACTGCAGCTGACTTCAGGAAATGCACAGAGTGGCTGAACTGAAGCCTCCGTAGTCTGAGTAAAATAAAATTAAAAAATCCTTTTTTAAAAAAAACCAAGCATCAATCCATCAGGGCCGTGGCTGCTTTTCAGTGAGAGTCCTCAGTTTTGTGCAAGAAAAATGGAAAGTTCCCTTCCTTAATCCTGCCCCCCTGGAGCCCCCACCAAATCTGATTCTGCCATTTGAGGGACCCTCTAGAAATTGGATACCATCATATTCCATTTTTCATCCTGAAATTCTGAAAGTAAAAAAATTACAATTGGTCTGGACTGGTCACAACTCCCCATCGCCATCCAGAAATCAGAGGAGGCAGTAGCATGATATAAATTAGATATTAAAATGATAAATTCTGTCCCCGTGTACTTCCCCCCCTCAAATGCTACAATGCAGGTTCCAGATCAACAGAATTTTTTATTTTTTTATTTGTGGTTGAGCAGAATGAAACAGAGAACAAGGGATCTCTAAAAGATGACAAGGTCATTTGGAGGTTCCATGGTATTAAACCTTTATGGTAAATTGGGCATTTTGTCTCATAAAAACTCCATCCAGAGTCAGTCAAAGGCCTCATCGGCTAATCAAAGCAGGCCGGATGGACGGACAATGAAGGGGGATCCAGAGCTGGTTCGAAAATCTTCTTCCAGGAGTCCCCATTGATGGGTCCTCACCAGGTTGAAGATATCAAATGGGTGCCAGAAGAATCAGCCCTTTGTCCTCTGTTCTTCAATATTCCCTTTAGTGATTTGGAGGAATCAATAGCGCAAATAGCTATCCAATTTGAAGATGATATAAAACTGGGCGAGTGAGCTAATATCCTCAAAGAAGGAAGTGAAATTCAGAACAGGCTGAGAGAAACACAATGAAATGGAAGAGGAACTCAAAAGAAAATAATGTCCAGGAAGGATGAGAATCTCAAATGAGCTATTAAAGACACAATTGCATCTGGCTGAATACCTTAATGGATCCCGTTCTGAGCAAATGGTAAGACTAGATGACCTCTTAAGTTCCTTCCTTCTAACTCTAGGATTCTAAGTGCGACATTCTTCACTTAAGAAATAAACATCAAAGGAGGAAGTATTGGGTAGGGGATATTTGGCTTGAAAGGAGACGGAATATGAGTCTGAAGTATAGAGTACCTTTTAAGAAGGCATTGTGCAATTTTAGGCTACCCCAAATAAGATATAACTTCCAAATGATGAGGGTAAATTTCTCCGTGTTCTGCCATGATCAGAGCTTGTCTCAAGGAGAAGGTCCAGTTCTGGGCAACACCCATTAATGCGGATTCAGAGCCATTGGAAAAAGTTCACCGTTTCCGGAACGAACTTCTATTCATTCTGTAGATGAATAGAAGAAGCTCAGCATGTTTAGCCTCGAGTGAAGGTGCTGGTGGGGTACGTAATAGGGCTGCCCTGGGGTCCCCACCTCAGTTGGAGGCTCCAAATGCAAAGACTGAAACAATTTCTATCATGCCACTTCCTGGCTAGAAGACAGAGTATAGGAAGTGAGCAATCATTCTTTTCTTCTTCTTCAGGGGAAGAGATCCATCTTACAAGAGATAAAGAAAATGAAACTATACTTTTTAAAAAAGGGGGATAGATGATATGAAGCCTCTTGCTTTAAATAATAAAATGCTAATATTCAAGGGGGGGAAAGAAAGCTACTAGATTTCCTGAAGGACATAAAGAACAAATCAGCCAGCCTGGCCCAAAATCGACCAGGACCTCCCCAGTTTCTCTAGGGTTCACTTACAAGGTCCTGGGATCTCTTCCTGCAGTTCTCTCAGCCGCCTGAGGAGGACTCAGGTTCTTTGTGGACTATCCAACCACAACAGACTTAAGTGTTGCATCCAGAATACCTTCACTGATTCATGTTTCCCCGATTGCATAATTAAAATAACCAGGTGCAATTTTTCTTGTTTGGGCAATGAGATGCTTGAAGTCAAATTTACATAAAATAATCATTCAAAGAAATTTATTAGGATCTGTTGCATGGATAGATTGGGAGTTGATCCTCAGTATCATGAGCTTTCCTGCCAAGGATTTTAATCATGGTTTTTCTCTCAAAGCTGCTGGAGCACTGGTTAAACTAGATGTAATAAAAGTTAAGGCAATGATTGGGTTGAAATATCTCCTAATCATGTTGTGGTTTGATTGTTTTGACTTAGCACACAATAATCATCCTGGCCTCCTTCCACATTCTAAATTTTTATATGCTGTTTTTATAGTTTAACATTTTATTGTAGACTGCTTAGTGTTCCTCCATGAGGGAGATGGGCAGTTTAAAAATATGAAGAATGAATAGGAAGAAAGAGAGAGAGAAAAGAGAGAAAGAAAAAGAAAGGAAGGAAGGAAGGAAAGGAAAGGAAAGGAAAGGAAAGGAAAGGAAAGGAAAGGAAAGGAAAGGAAAGGAAAGGAAGGAAGGAAGGAAAGAAGAAAAAGAAAAGAGTCGGCTACTTTCATGCTGGCTGATCTGAGACAAAAGCAGCGTCATGAGGACACGTCATGTAAACAATGGCTTGCAAGGCGTCTTCATGCTACAGTTAGAGGGACATGAAGAGAAGCCCTTTAGACTGTTTAATGTTGGGAATTCCCAGCCCTTTGGCATAATTAGGTGCTACCTGCCACCAAATGGGGATGATTATTTGGGGTTCTCCTTCAATGATCTTCTCTTTCTCCCAATTCCGTTCCAGAATCCAACCTGGGCCTCATCATCGGCTGCGTTGTGGCTTCTCTTGTTCTGGTGTGTGTGATTGTTGGGACTTTGATATTCTTCAGTAAGTATCTTTTTTTTTTTTGGGGTGTGTGTGTGTGATAGTCTCTCCCTTTGGGGAGATTCTTCTGGGCTTCCTTTTGTCCCGTTTTCCCAGCCCTCTTTGGGAGCATCGGAGATCTCGGCCTCTTGGTGGGACGCCAGTCTCCGTTTGGCTAAGGTTGTTGGAGGTTGGGACAGTCCTGTTTTCTTCTGAGTTGGGAAAAGGCATCTCTGTTCTGTCCCTCTCAAAGTCTTTGGTCAAAGAGCAGCAGAGAAGGATTTCCACGAAAACCTTCCTCCCTTCCCAACTACTGCTGCTTCCCCCAATTCCCATTCATCCATCTCAGAGTCAGCAGGTCTCTTTTGGGGCAAATCTGTTCAGTTTGTCTTCTGAAGATCTTCCTGTGTCTCTTAATAGGAATGGCCTGGAGTTGTTTTGACTAAACAACTGTAAAATACCTCCTGGGGCTCTTCCCTCTACACAGGGGGGGAATTTGATGATTTCTAGTGGATTCTTTTGAGCTTTGGCTATTTTTTCTTTTTGCAGAGAAACATCAAACTAGATGCAGAGCAGCATCAAGTGAGTGATTTGTCCTCTTTACACAGTAGCTCCAAGTCAGAGTGAGAATCAGAGGCAGCATCCATTGAGATATGTGTGTGAATGTGTGTGCAAACACAAAAGAAGTTCATGAAGAGTTCTGCTATTTTCTTCTTCCTCTCAAGAACTAATCTGTGGAAAGTGGGTCTCTTTGCACAACAGCCAGGCTGTTCTTGGGCGTGGAGACCCCAAGGAGAAACATCTGGGACAAGGAGCCCTCAAGAAGGTGAGAAGACTGAGCTGGGTGGAAGATCCCTCTGATTGAGAAAATGCTCTGTTTTCCAAGAAGGTGTAAAGGAAAAACTTGGCCATCACATGATCAGCAGGAAGCATTTTGAGAAGAAAGGAGCTTTGGTAAATGCCAGCTGGATCTCCTCTTGCTCTGCCACCACAAGGCTCTCCAACTATGAACTGATTGGAAAAAGAGACTTTGGAGTAATGTATAGGTTGTGCTCCTTCTGTGTCTGGTTCTGGTGAAACACGAATCTATTTGGGTAGTTTGGGACAATTTTGCTAGGGAACCTGAGGAGCAAATCATTCAGATCCGTTCAGAGAGAGAAGAGACCTGGGGAAGTCAGGAGGGGATGACTGAGATGTTGTCTTCCCAGGTGATGTGGGATGAATTTGGTCTTGTCCCTCCTGAGCAAATGGATGGGGCCCTTTGCAGCAGAGGCTCTACCAAATGTCCTTGGCACTTCCTGCCCTTCCTGGCTGGTGAAAACCTCTGCAGTTGACAGGGAACATGGCAGGGGTGAAATGCTCCCAGTTCGGACCAGATCGTGTGATCCAGTAGCGATGGAGGTGGGTGGTTCGGAGAACCGATAGCAAAAATCCCTGCCCACCCCCATGCCCAGCTGAGCCCTGCAATCATTAGAGGCTCTTTTTTTAGTTTTTAAAAGCATTTTTTCTACAACCTCTTCGGCTGAAAAAATGCTTTTAAAAGTAAAAAAAAAGCCTCTGATGATTGTGCGGCTCAGCTGGGATCGTCAGAGGCTTTTAAAAGCATTTTTTTTAACAACCTCTTCAGAGGTTTTAGAAAAAATGCTTTTAAGAGCCTCTGACGATCCAAGCTGAATTGCCTAATCGGCAGAGGCTTTTTTTCTTTTAAATGCTTCTGACGATCAGGCAACTCAGCTTGGATCGTCAGAGCCTTTTGAAAGCATTATTTTACAACCTCTTCACTGAAGAGGTTGTAGAAAAAATGGTTTTAAAAGTTAAAAAAAAATTGGCCACGCCCACCCAGTCACATTACCACCACCCCCACAAAGCCACCCCCACAGAACCGGTAGCAACAAATTTTAGATTTCAGCACTGGAACAAGGCAACAATAAATGGTGCCTTGCCTTTATTTCACACAAACAATCATGCATGCACACACATACCCCACTCTGTGTTCCTTCCCCTCCTTGTAAAAATGCCTTATGGATCTGACTAACTCCACAGTCAGGGGTGGGGTGCTGGGGGTTTGCAGGAGCTTGGGAGAACCTCTAGCTAAGATTCTGTGCAGTTGAAGAACCCCAAATCTCACTCCTGGCTGGCTCTGCCCACCCCTCCCCTCCCCTTCCCGGAGCCCCCAAACCAGGGGTGAAATCTAAAAATTTTCACTACTGGTTCTGTGGGCGTGGCTTAATTATTGGTGGGGCTTGGTGGTCAGATGACTGGGTGGGCATGGCTTGTTGGTCAGGTGGGCGTGGCCAAGTCAACATCACTTTGTTGCCCTTTTTTAACCTACAAAACACAACACAACACAACTGGCTCACCCACAATGTAATAGCAGCTGTGCTAGACCAAAAATGGCCCCTGCAACAAGCAGGAATCTCACACAGCCACAAAAAGTCCAAAAAACCAACTTTCACACTTTACACACACAAAATTTCACATACAGCTTTGTAATATTTTGTGTGTTTGTGTAGTTAGAGTGAAACACTACAGAAACACACAAAATCTCAGAAAGCTGCACAAATATTATTTTATTTTATATTAATTTAATTTTTATATAAAAGCACTAAATTTAAAACTTCCTAAACTTTAAATGGCTAGGTCTAAAAAAAGAACAACTAAAAAAAACTCTGATTAACTGTTTTTTTTAAAGCTCCCAAAGGGGAAAAAAACTTACAGGCAGGCAGGCAGGCAGAAAGAGCTGCTCACCAATGAGCTTGATTGCAGGCAGGGAGATTCAGTTGCTTGCTGATGCAATGGATTGCAGGGATTACAGCAAGCAAAGCAAGGCAGGCGTTGCGACCAGCAGCTAAGGTAAGCAAGCTGGAGGCAGGGGCGGGGGGAGGGATTTTTGCTACCGGTTGTCCGAACTACCCTCCGCCATCACTACCTACTTGCCCGAGCCGGTCCGAATCGGTAGCATTTCACCCCTGCCCCACATGGCCTATTTGGGATGCAGGTAAGTGCAGGGCATGCACAGTGGCTCATGGAGGGTGAAAAACAGGCCTACCAGAAGTTCAGGAAGCCCCCGGAGCCTGGGAAGGCCGTTTTCACCCTCCTGAAGACTCGAGCAAAGCCTCCGGAGCCCGGGGAGGGCAAAAATACCCCCCCCCGCCGTGGTTCAGGAGGCCGACTAGCCTACACCCACCTTGGCCACGCCCATCCAGCAACCGGGCAGAGAACCCCTTGCTAAAATTTTTGAAGCCCACCCCTGCCCACAGTGTTACCAACCCATTTCCTTCCAGGTAAGGTGAAGGTCTCTCTTTGCTTCATGGACACAACCATGAAGCTTTCTTGGCATCGAGACAGAAATGGCCAATCGCACCTTCTTTCAGGATGGTTTTTGAGGGCCAGCCTGGAAAACAGGCCTTGCCTATCAGACAAATACTAAACGGCCTAACCCAGTTTGTATTTTCGGATTTAAAAAGGCTTGAAGGGAGTCTGCCAATTCAGGTGGTGGCAGGTAGGAGTCCTGACCACCTGAAGCAAATGAGTGAAGGGATCTTTCGTAAACACCTTTCCCAATGAATGGAAGCCAGAGCAAAGAGGGACCTTACCCAGAGCGGCTATATTCCTAAAATCCTCCAGCATAACTTCCCTACAGAAGGCCCTCTGGCTGGGATCCAACAGCGCCCATTCCTCCTGTGTGAAACCCACATCCACCTCTTCAAAAGCACCAGAGCTCTAGAAAAAGAGAGAAAATCTTCCTCAGTAGACAATCCTTCAACAGGCTTGTAAATTTTTTTATTATTATTATTATTTGATTTATATGCCGCCCTCCTCCGGAGACTCAGGGCGGCTTGCAATGCGTTAAGCAATAGCCTTCATACTTTTGTATATTTATACAAAGTCAGCTTATTGCCCCCACAAACTGGGTCCTCATTTCACCTACCTTAGAAAGGATGGAAGGCTGAGTCAACCTTGAGCCTGGTGAAAATTGAACTCACAGTAATTGCAGGCAGCTGGATGTTAAATGCTGCCTTAGGAGGCATTAGCCTCCTACGCCACTCAGGCTATGTTGTCTCTATGTAAGTTGTCTCTCTTATTGTACAAAACAGGAATCAGAGCTTTGCCAAATACCAAATGTGCCTTTTTTGCAGAACAGAGTTATGTTGGATGTCCATATAGTCAACCACACTTTTGTATGCTTTTTATTTTTTTCCCCTAAAAAAATTCAGTTTATTTTTCAACTGAATCATTTAGCTTATACTTATATGTTATATTAAAGGAGGAAAAAAACTCTGAAGTGGTTTGTCTTGGTCTGATTTTCTTACATTTTAAAAAAACTGGCATTTTAACAGGGGTGGGCAGACTTTTAATATCCCCTGTAATCTGGTTCTCCCATTGATTTTCCTTGTTAGAAGCCCTTCGGAAGGTCACAAATGGTGATCACCTGACTCCAGGGATGCTCCACAGGTCACAAGTGCAAGGACGCGTCATAAGTCACATTTTTCAGCAATGTTGTCACTTTGAGTGGTCATTAAACGAATGGCCATTAACTCAAGGGCTACTTGTAAAGCTAGGGAAGTCCAGGCAATGTTCAATTTACCATCACTTGTTTGGCGAATGTTCCAGATTATGGCAGCACTGAAAACACTGACTGGTCCTCGCACTTATAACCATAACAATGTCCCTGCTGTTACATTATTGTGACTCAGGTGCTTGGCAACTGTCACACACTTATAAACAGCTGCAGCCTCCTGAGATCCCATGACTTCCATTCACGATGTTTCCTTCCAGCTTCCGACAGGCAAAGTCAATGGGGAAGCCGGCAGGGAAAGTGGCAGTCATGTGATGTCTTGCTTAACGACCAGGGATTCACTTCATGTGCTCACATGAAGTTTCACTTAATGACCACACTGCATAATGACAAATTTTCCAGTCTTTATTGTGTATTTAGTATTTAGTATTTATTAAATTTTTATACCGCCCCCTCTCCCGAAGGACTCGGGGCGGTGAACAGCCAGAATTAAAAACACACAATACAAATATTAAAATACATTAAAACAAAATTAAACTATCTTTGGCTTCTCCAATTTAAAACCCCTTACCCATAAAATTTACCCAATTAAAAATTTAACCCAGCCCGGCTTGCTGAAATAAAAAAGTCTTCAGGGCCCGGCGGAAGGTACGGAGGTCCGGGATTAGTCGTATCCCTGGGGGTAGCTCATTCCAGAGGGCGGGTGCCCCCACAGAGAAGGCTCTTCCCCGGGGGGTCGCCAGCCGACATTGCCTGACAGACAGCACCCTGAGGAGGCCCTCTCTGTGGGAGCGTGTTGGCCGGTGGGAGGTTATCGGAGGCAGAAGATGGTCTCGTAAGTAACCGGGTCCTAAGCCATAGAGCGCTTTGAAGATGAGAACCAACACCTTGAAGCGCACTCGGAAGACCACTGGAAGCCAATGCAGCTCGTGCAGGAGAGGTGTCACGTGGGGGCGCCATGTCGCCCCCATAAGTACCCGCGTGGCCGCATTCTGCGCCAATTGGAGCCTCTGAGTGCTCCTCAAGGGGAGCCCCATGTAGAGAGCATTGCAGTAGTCGAGGCGGGAAGTAACGAGGGCATGAGTGACAGTGCATAGGGAGTCCCGATCCAGAAAGGGACGCAACTGGCGTATCAGGCAAACCTGATAGAAAGCCCCCCTGACCACGGCCGTCATATGCTCTTCTAAAGACAGCCGTGCGTCCAGGAGGACACCCAAGTTACGCGCCCTCTCCGTGGGGGCCAATGTCTCGCCCCCAATAGTCAGCGATGGCACCAGCTGACTATATCGGGACGCCGGCAGCCACAGCCACTCAGTCTTGGAGGGATTGAGTCGGAGCCTGTTGTGTGGTCCTAAGTGTAAGAGGATTATGGGTAAGAACAGTTTGGGATGCATGCAAAGCTTTTATAAGAGGATATTTTAACATAAAGGTAACTTTAAAGAGAAAAGGCTAGAAGAAAACACAAGTGATTTTGGATGAGATTAAAAAAAAAAAAAAAGGAAGGGTTTAAAACTACCCAAACAGGACAACAATTACCCACCAAATTAAACTTCCACAGAGGCAATTATCTATGAAGGTTAATAGATAATTAAATAGTTAACTAATAAATATGTATTATCAGTAAGAAAAATGGAAATAAAGATGAATTATGAGAAAAAGGAAGTTTTGACTTTACAACTGTGCTGGGAAAATGGGTGACATATAAGTTGGCCAAAGAAAAAGAAAAGCTAAAGTTTACCTGTCAAAAGGAGAGCAGAACAAAGGTCCTATTGGTCATTGCCTAGCAACAGAGTAAACATTCCAATGAGTGACAGTTGGCTGCAGCCTATACAAGAGGCTGGGCTGCAGCCAACTGTCACTCATTGGAATGTTTACTCTCTGCTGGAAACAATATTTAGCTCAGGTGTGTCTGAATTTCACTCTTGAACCTTGGA